CGGGGCTGCAAGAGCTACTTAAAGTTTACAGCCGACGGGGCCAAAACAATGCCAGACAATAATTGGCCAAATTTATTGTAATTAGCCGCACACGCAAGCCAGGCACCGGGCATTCCAGTAACCCGACACATGTGTCCGGGCTGCGGCGTAATTATTATCATTACGGAGGAGGGATGCTTCTCCGGAGGTTGGACTCCGGTCTCGGGACTCGAGGCTCGGAAACGTGTGTCACATGTGTGCGTGGCGCGTTGAGAACGCATTTAATTGCACAAAGCCTCTTTGCTCTTAGAGAGTTTTTAAATAATTTAGTTGTGTCGTTAGGCCGGTGGAGTGTCCTTTCGTGCCTCCCTGTCAAAGGCATCTGGCAGGACAAGGTAAACGGGGCGGCTACGTAATGCAGTCAAGTCACGTCACACAGAATGTCGCTAATTTTTCTACCTTTTTTTCGTACTTTCTCTGCTTCTGTCTCTCTCTCTTGGGCACAAAGTTTCCTTCACTGCAATGCGCTGGTTAAAATTTTCCGTTTTTTTTTTGGCAGGGGTCAAGGAGGGATATTTTCAGAAGGATGATATACCGAGGAAAAGGATGGGTCGGTATTAACAGGAAGTGACTTAACGTTGGGTAAGCCGTTGGTTTCTTTTTAAAATATTCTGTTTTAAGATTTTTTTTTTTTTTTTTTTTTTTTTTTTGTTGGAGATTCTGGAGAATCTTTAAAGTTGGATGTAAATTACATTCAAATGTCAACTTTAAAAATCTTTCAAAATCTTTACGAAAGCATGAAACAATTTTCTTAAAGTCTTAAAGTTCTTTTAGTTTTTAACAGTATTTTAAGTATTCCTTTTATGATTTTACAAATGGATTGAGCCAATAATATCACAAATTCTCTAAAAACTTCGCTAAAACTTCGCTTTGTGTGCTTAAATTTGTAAGAATATCTTTTGTCAAACGCTAGGTACAGTCACCAACTCGCACGGTGAGCACGAGCATAACGGTATATCGCTAAGAAGTGCAGCACAGCGCACAGGGCACGTTTCCTTTTTGTAAACTTTATTATTTCGTGTTAAAAGTAAATAAACTTAGCTGGCAACTTCACCTCTCTCTCTCTCTCTCTCTTTCCCCTCCTCTGAGGATATGTGAAAAGAAGGCAGGGGATTTTGGGGTTGGAGGACACCTTCTACATTGTTTGCCATTTGCGGTGGACGGCGACAAGTTCTGTCAGGCAGCCAGTCCAAATTGAAATGGGACATTAGACGTTCACACAAATACTCGTACACAAACACTTACAGAGAGAGGAAATATTGAGAGAAAATAAAATGCGTTTTATGTGCGAAATACATGTACATCCAACAGATATTTTTAAAAACTTAAATCAAACTTTTATGGAAATTTAATTTAAATATTTTATGAATTTTTATACCCTTGCAGGGTATTATAATTTCAGTCAGAAGTTTGCAACGCAGTGAAGGAGACGTTTCCGACCCTATAAAGTATATATATTCTTGATCAGCATCAACAGCCGAGTCGATCTAGCCATGTCCGTCTGTCTGTCTGTCCGTCTGTCTGTTTCTACGCAAACTAGTCCCTCAGTTTTGAAGCTATCTGAATGAAACTTTGCATATAGTCTTCTATATGCTCTCACTGCTATATATGTCGGAACGGGCCGGATCGGACGACTATATCATATAGCTGCCATACAAATGTTCGATAAATTTTTAGAAAAAAAAATTATAACTTGGCTGTTTTCCAACATATGTGCACTATTTTTTACATATGACCATTTTATATTATTTCTGAATTTTGGTAAAAATTTTATGAAAATCGGACGACTATATCATATAGCTGCCATAGGAACGAGCAGGAAATTAATAGAAAAAAAATTATAACTTCGTTGTTTTTCAAATTATTTTTATCTACTCTGAGATATAAGCTTATTTTATTAGTTCAGAATTTTGGTATAAATTTTATGAAAATCGGACAACTATATCATATAGCTGCCATATAAACCGATCGGTAGGTGTAGGGAAAATGTAAAACTGGGAATGTAAAACTGAAACTGTCAAACTCTCAACATAATAAGTATAGGTAGAATGCAATGAAATAATATCTGCAAGGGTATACAAACTTCGGCGAGCCGAAGTTAGCTTCCTTTCTTGTTTGTATTGATAATAGTGTTTTTTTTTTCTTACCTATCACTTAATATATCTGATATAATTTAATTAAAATTAATATTCAACAAATTAAGCCTACTTTTGGGCTTATTTTTAATTGATTTCAAACCTTGAATAAGATATTTTTCGCCGTGTACCCATATATATTTACATGGCAGCTTCTGTCGTCGCCGCGACTGCTGACAACTTGAACAACAACAACAAGAACAACAAACAGAACTTCAACAACAACAACAACGGGAACAACAACAACTGAACACTAAGGCACACACTCATTGTGAATGACAACGCCCCTGGTACGTGATTTCATTTCCGTTGTTGCCTTTTGTGCATTGCTCGTAACTTGACTCGTCCTGCTATTTTTTCCACCCACAAAAAAACCCCATTTTCCACGTTCTTCTCTGTATATTCCTTATTTTTTTTATTTTCTGTTAAAGCAGCCCCAAATTAATAACCCACTATATAAAAAATAGAAGCGGGAAAAGTCTCGACTAAATGTGACGACTAGTGGTTAGTGGGGTTTATCTTCTTTGTTTACTGTGTATATATATATGATAACTAGTTTGATGGCAAACTAGTTGACTCCACCCACAAGCGAGGGTAGGTTAAACATTTTGGGATTTCAAGATATTGATATAAGATATATTTCAACAACTATGATTACTCAAATAATGCTTAATTTTATATTCTTATGTGCTTATATTTTTCATAAAGCTTATATGTGGACTATAATATTTCTATACAGTATACAGAAATGTAATAAAATAACTTGAACCATTAGGTTAAAATCAACAAGAGGCTTTTTTTACATACATATTCATGCTGGAAACTAACTTACCATCTTAAAATTAATGTATTATGGATAGCTAATGACGTATCAGCATTTTTAATCACAACATTATGGATTCAAGAGCTGTATTATATTTGGCCAAAAGCAAAATTAGCTCACAACCGGTTATTATGCTTATAGAATTGTGGGAGCAAATAGATTTAATGTCATTCAAATTTATTCCAACTCCAACGAAACCCCAGACGATGCCCACCATTTATCATGCCAGCAAACAGAAAAAGATCACCCTTTATTTTTGGAAATTTTCTCTTCCGACAGCCAAAGGTTGTTTATGGCCAGAACTCGGTAGATCTTATTAACACGGTGCCATTGACTGATATTATAAGATGTAAATTTAATTAATAAATCATTCAATCGACCTTTACATGGCTACTTAACAAGCCCATCTTAATTACGGGAAAACAGAGTTCGAAAAGTCCCCGAAGTAATGGCTTAGATATGCCAGAAAATGGTCCAGTCAATGTCAAGGACAGGAAGATGTGAGAAATATGCGTGTCTCTCAAACCAGTTATGATCGTTTGGATGTGGCAGCTGGGTCCAAACCCGAGTGAATAAACAATGCTTTAATTGGGATTCGCCTATAATGCCATCTGCTGATATACACGCGGTTAAAAGCGGGCCAAGTAAAAACAATAACGGAAGCCATTTGCCATGCAAATGCTAGACAAAAGCCAAGCCGTATCGATCGGCATTTACATACGTGAAATATAAACAAATGCAGAGGAGATGATTTCGATGCCTGGTAGTTAAAACTAAAACTAAACTCTGAAAATTAACAACACGTTTTTTGATGTTTATGTCATGTTATGTTTGCGGACCATGAAGACCAGCCAATGCTCAGCTCCCTCCCAAGTCATAAAGCAAACAGAAGATGACAGTATAAGTATATGGATTTTTTGACCTGTGTGTGCAAATTAAATTATTAACTAGTTGCAATTTAATTCCTGCGATGAATAACGGAGGCGCACACTTTGCGATGATGAGGAAATAATTTATACCGCCAAAGAGCGCTGATGAAGCAGTCATAATTATCCGCGATATTGTACTATGAGGTTTTATGCGCTGAGGTCCAAGCAATTATCTTAGGTGTGGATCATATAATTATGTACTTTTTGCTTTTTCTGAGAAGATCCAACCGTTGAAAAACGTTATTCCATAAATAGTGGGGGCCTTGAAGAGCAGCAGACTGGTCGAATACATTTTTTGGGGCTCACAGACGTCAGCCAGACCTATTTCTATGGCCATAATCGCGATCAACTGGTTTTGTGGCAATTAATTGGCCACCAAGGGTTCGTTAGATAACCGAAATTATGAGCTGTTTGTTTCTCGTAAATCGGTTTACCATAAAATAGCATAAACGTATTGTTTGTGGGCGCCTCGCTGGGACAATGGAGTCTATTAAGAGGTCTGCAAGAGGCGACTAAAGTGTTGAATATCTCCGAATTCTTTTAATCTAGAACAATGGCTTCTAACCTTTGGCAAAACTAGTCGTAAAATGAGAACCAACCAACCAGTTTCTGTTTCTGCAAAGTCATTATTGCAAATTTCCGGCTACACCTGACGCATGCGCCGAGAATACAAATAATCTATTAATCCAACTGACAAATAAAATCTGCAAACGCCCATAAACTATGCCGTTAGCGGTCACTAACTCAGATTAATGTCGCCTGAAAGTCACTTTGGGTGTTGCCCGCCCCACTAAACAAGCAACCCATCCATCTAACAGCGACGCGATGCTGTTGGCTCCTTAATTCGCATAAACGGATTAAGTTCGGATGCACAGATTGACACTTCATTCTGACGACCCTCGGCGGAGCAAAAACCAGCTGAACAAAAAATACAAACCCATCTGATGCTGAATATTCAGATGAGGCGTCGCTACGTTGACGACGATCTTCACCTAAGTTCAAGTTTTTTGCGGCCTGCAGAATTTTTGGGCTCGGTCTCTCGGCCGCCGGTATAAATAGTTAGCGCCTCCATCCGATCAGACAGAAGCGAATCAAACGCTCGTGGAGTAACAGATCGTAGCTGTCATCATGGTGAGGATCTAGCCAAGCGCCCCCCGGAGGAACAGGATCGAGGATTATATGACTTATTCGCCTCCTACTTTTTATATTTTAGAAATTCATGGTTATTGCCTTTGCCGTCCTGGCCTGCGCCTATGGCGATGTCTCCCATTTGGGTTACGACTACTCGCCCCCGGCACCGGCTCCGGTTTACCACCCAGCCCCTGCTCCCATCAGCATCCCAGCTCCTGCTCCAGCTCCGGTTTACCACCCAGCCCCTGCTCCCATCAGCATCCCTGCTCCCGCTCCAGTCTACCACCCAGCTCCTGCTCCCGCTCCAGTTGTGATCCCTGCCCCAGCTCCCGTGGCCATCCCAGCTCCCGCCCCAGTGAGGACCTATGTGCCACCTGCACCCATCAGCATCCCTGCCCCTGCTCCGGTCTACCATGAGGCTCCTGCCCCAGCTCCGGTCTACCACCCAGCTCCTGCTCCCGCTCCAGTTGTGATCCCTGCCCCAGCTCCCGCTCCAGTTGTGATCCCTGCTCCAGCTCCCGTTAACACCTACATTCCCCCAGCACCTGCACCAGCTCCAATCCACATTGAGGCTCCTGCTCCCGCTCCCGTCTACCACCCAGCCCCGGCTCCGGCTCCGGTTTATCATGAAGCTCCTGCTCCCATTCCCGTGAGCATCCCAGCTCCTGCTCCCGTCTACCACCCAGCTCCAGCCCCAGCCCCCGTGGTGATCCCTGCCCCAGCTCCCGTGAGGACCTATGTGCCCCCTGCACCCATCAGCATCCCTGCCCCAGCTCCAGTCTACCACCCAGCTCCGGCTCCTGCTCCAGTCTACCACCCTGCCCCAGCCCCCATCAGCATCCCAGCTTCCAACCACCAGGTTCTGGAGGAGATCGAGCCCGTGTCCAACGATGGATACCGCTACAAGACCGTGCGTCGTCGCGTCTACCGCCACCGCTTCTAAACTTACCAAAGCCTAACGAAAACTGTTTCCTAACGAATCCCCTCGGGGGATTGCAATAAAAAACTACCGCCTTCGAGTTTGTTAAACAAAAAGAGAGAAGTCTTCAAATTGTTTTCCAATCATAGCAAATCACATGAGCCACTGCAGGGGAGGTGGATAGCTCCAAGTTTTCTCCGGCCATTTGAGTGGGAAATTTATGAAAACCCAAGGAAATCAACTTGCCATCGGACAGATAGCGCTGGAAAGAGGTGCGGGAGGAGGAGGAGGGGCCAGGATAATAAGGAGTTGCAAGCAAGTTGCGGAACACTCCCCAAGGACTCGTGGTCCTCCTTGCAGGTCCACAGTCGCCGCCGCCACTCCACATTTATCACGAAATTTATGGCCTGGAATGAGCTTTGATGATGTGGAAATTTTTTCTCGTTAGATTCAAAAGTTTCCCATTGCACTTAGAAAATGGGAAATTGATTCAGGACAACTAATATATGCTTAGATGTGGGGAAAATTGGTTATGATAATAACATATGGACGGTGGAAATACAGGGAATTTAAATAAAGTAATAAAGTAAAGATTTTGACTAAAGCAAAATCATAATTAAAAGAAAAAAGAACAAAAGACAAAAGAACAAAATTGTTAAAAGATATTTATTGCTTAAATGTTTAATAAATATTCAATATTTAATTCAAATGTTTAGCTTGACAAATAATAAATAATTTAAACCTGCTAATAACTAAATTTCTTGCCTAATTTTAAGAGCTTAAAATGTAAATAAATTTACCTAAAATCCCAATCAACTTTTGGGTGCTTTCTTATAATATTTTTTCCTTGTGCAACCCACACGAAATCGATGAAGCCGACGCTCGAGCTCAAAAAAGAGACGATGCCGAGTGGATTGGCCTCATCAGACGACCACTGACCACTTGTGGCTGCTAACAAGTGCCAGGATGGAAACGAAGGAAGGACATCGACAGACGAGAGACGCTGCAGAAAATTAACAAGAAAATGCAACGACAAATGTCTGCGGAGCTCTTTTCATTTTCATCCCCCTTGCAATTTGATTAGGGAATGTCTGGCCATGGCAGACTTTGGGGGATCTGCCTGGAGTCCATCCCCAAACTGGTGTGTCTGAATTCCAGGACAACCGCAGAGCCACATATTACACTTGCCACGGCGCGCATACTAATTAAAAAGCAACAAACAGCCAAGCTTCTAAAATTAATTGCGTAATTAAAACAAAATCATTTTTTTTCCAACTTCACCCCACACCCTTGGGAGCCACCACATTGGATTGATTGTCCCAGCTTATTTCGTTAATTGCATTCTGGTCAAATATTGGCAGCTCAATTAAATGAATTAAAATACATTTTTGCTTTGAGCATAGGACTTTGTACCGAAGGGATGCTGGAATGGGGAGACTCCCAAAATTATTTGACAGGCAATTACAATTTAGGGACGACCGCATTCCCATCAGCAGTGATTAGTTTTTGCGGTGCGTAAATTAATTTTTGAATTTTATTTTTTATATTTTAATTTTGCACGCCTTGTGTAGGATGGGTATACAGCTTAGTGCCGAATGAGAGTGTATATAAACTGCGGCGACACCATAAAAAATGTATTCTAAAAAAACAGAATTAAATATTTTTATTTTTAAAATTTATTCAAATATACATTTTAATTTTAACAAATTTCAAAAATGGTATGTAAATTTATTAACCGAATTTAAACTAACCCAAAAAGAAACTTTATAAAGTTGAATTAAATTTAAATTAAGTTTGTAATTACTAATTGGTGTTTCAAATGTTGTTTTTTCATTTAAAACAACAAAATCGAAAACAAATATCGATTCAAGAAATGTGAAAATTTCAAAGCTTGTTGGAAGCATAAAAAGACCAACAGCTAGAACATTCAACATATTAAAAATCCGTCATACAACCTTTTTATTATTTTTTAAGAAATAATAAAATATATATTTATTTTTTTATTTTACAAAATTGTTAACAGCTTTTTAAATTGACCAAATTGTACTAAATATTAATTTATGGAAAGCGCATCTTAATGTTCATGCTAATGTAAGAGATATTTTATATTTAAGACAAAATTCTCAATATTTTCACAATAAATAAATTAATTTCAGTACAACAGTAACTTTACTATTCAATTCCTGTTGTCATATTTCCAAACTACCTCCAATATCCACCATATTCGATCCGTTCAACTAATCCCCGCCAGCGATTAGTTGAAATTCGCATAGTCACAATGCGAAATGGACTGCATTTCGGGTAATTTTCAGGCTCATTGCATCCTGCTCCGTCGGGCAGAAGAGAGACTGGCGATTAAATAAAAAACCGTCAGGTACGACGGTCGGCCAACAATTGACAGTTGGTTGCATTTCCAACCGCACTTAATTAGCAGTTAATGATGCCTGATTAACACGCATTATGGCTCCGAGAGACATCCGCGGCGCCCAAAACCACCCAAGCCCGGATACACCCAATTCCACCTGTCCGGCAGATGGTCTGAAATGTGTAATCAATGCTTTAGGCGCCGCGGATTACAAAATAATCACGAGGCAGCCGGCCTAAAAGTATGCAGAAGAAAATGCGCCAGTGAAAAAGTGAAAATTGTGTGGCTGGGACAAAAAAAAAAGAGAGAATATATCGTCATCAATAGCAGACTGACCAGTCCTAAAGCTGGTAGTCGAACACCTGATATCCTTTACATTCTTACATGAAATATTTTAGAACAGAAAAGTACACATTTCTAAAGGAATTAACGCAGGAAAAACAAGTGAAATGTTTGCTTAATAAAGATATATATTTAAAAAATCGGATCCTAACTGATTTTAAAAGAATTACATAAAATTATGAGGCTTACATATACATATTAACTAATTAAGGTATAGCTTAAAATATTTTAAAATAAATATTTTTACAATTTTTCGACACAAACCATATCACGTATCTTCCCCAAAAAATACCCCTTAGCCCCCGGCTTACTCAATAAATCGGGCGTAAAAATTGATGGGTCCCTCGAACCACGAATCCCGGACCCAGAGCCCGTCGCAGGACGACGGCTGGCTTACGGCTTACGGCTTTAAAGCGACACTGCGGAATCGAACGTGCGGAGTGGAGTGCACATGGATATGGGACATGGATCGCTGCGAAATTGACAGTATCAACGTAATTATATCAGCAGGAGGGGCCTGAAAGCGGGAAACAAAACAGTAAAAGGCGGAAGTCCGTGGGGGAAGAGGAAAGGAGCAGCGTCAGCCACTGAAATATGCAAACGTTGACTGCCTTCATTTATTTTTACTGTTACTGCATATTGGGGCGACATCGGTGGCGCTGGTAGGGGAGGCCGAACAAGAGGCGCGAAAATAATCGTTATCCTGGACAGGTGGGTCCTCGATTCCTCTGGCCGGCGTTCGATGCCAGCAGTTGCACTTCATTTGCAGCATTAATTTGTCGCCCGTTGATTTATCTGGCCTGGCTATATGTACATCGATACACAGTATATATATATATATATCGGGTAGGGATATATACCGAGTCGGCGAATGAATTTATGAGTCGAGGGAAAAATGTCGAAAATCGATTGGCGAGAGTTTGTCACTTCCACTTCGGAGTTGACCAAGTCAACGGCTGTTGCATTTTGAATATTTATTAAATCAACATTTTGCACAAATAATGCAAAATAGTTATGCAAATCTTGTGTAAAAATGAATGCGAAATGGATCTGGTTATCTCTCAGCTTAGATCGTGATTAAACAGATATATAATTCATTAGACTTTAAGCAGACGGAGGTTTAAGCCGATATCCATCTCGTTAGAGGGTCGTTGAACTCTTTAGTTATAATTTCTACGAGTTGGATTTATCATTTCATTAGCAGATATTAATTTTCTAGCTTGAATCTAAGTTTTGTAGTATTTTTTTTACATTTTAAAAGGCTTTTAAATAAAGAAGTCTAACCAGAAAAACAATTTTCTCTTAGTTTATTAAAATAAACTACATTTTAAGAGGTTGTAAAAATATAAATCTACTAAAAACAAAACTGTTCACATTTAATTATTCATGTCAACTACATTTTAAGAGGCTGTAAACGGTTTGCAGAATCAACTTTGACCCTTTGGCCAAACTATTTAAATCCGAGCGAGGAAAAATATTTGTTTGCCATGTGGCATTTTCCAATACCATTATTTCTGGTTCCCTCATGTTCTCTATTTTTTCAAGCCCTTTAAGGGGAACGAACTATATATTTTTCCTTATTTTTTTTGTTTTTTTTTGTGCCCTCGGATGACGCCATCCGATGCAATGCATGTCAACTATTAACAGGCAAACAACTAAATTACGTATACGCAGCGTTCCATGACCAGCATGACGGGTGGTGCAGCGCTAGAGCGTGTTTGTGTATTTGCTCGAAATACATTTGCAGTTTCGCTTTATTGGCGCTGCGAAAATAATGGAATTGTCAAAATAAAAGGGGTTAAGTGCTTGTTTGCATAGCTTTTTGACAACTCCGATGAGTCCCCTCGTGTGGATGTTATGCAGAGTGCGAGTATTTTATTTGGGGAAAACAAATTCAACGGAAATTAAATCACAGTGGCGTCGGCAAGTCTCCAGGGACTTTTGGCACCGACCGGAAAAATTGTTCATTAGCAATTTGTGTAATTAAAAGGAGAGAGTGCCGCGACTCAAGTGGTGTCCTTCAGCCAAGTGGCACTTCCTCCTCCTCCTCCACCTCCTCCCTGTCTGGCTAATTTGTTTTCCGCTTGGCAGTGACACATGGCGTCGGTCTAGCTGGCGTCATGTTCAACTTTTGACCCGGTCGAAACCACCGCCGTTGCTTTCTGATTCTGATTCCGATTTCTGGCCCACTAGTTGCCCCATCTGCGTATAATTAAGCAATAGGCTCAATAGCAATGGCCACCTTATCATAGCCAATCAAGAGGATTAATGACCGCCGACGACTGCAGACCAATAGACTAGGTGGCCCCCGTGTGTAGGCCTGTTGTGAGTTGTGCCAAAAGCCAGACTTGGTTTCCAGTTTTCGAGCGGCTTTAGTTTTGGTAGTTCAATTTGATACACTAAGGCATAAATGTTTTTATGCAAATGATATTTAAATTAAGGCAATGGCAAAAACAAGCAAGTACGAGTGGAGATCAGCGGGTTCAGCTAGGTTGACTTTGAGTGGCGCTACATATTGTTGGTTGTTGGTTTTACCTGGCTTGAAAATGCAAAAACTTTGTGAATTGGGCTTTAAAATTAACCTGAGCTTAAGAAATTTCAACGGGTTGCAACTTCAGACTAAAGATAGAACTACAAATGGTTACTACTATATACCAGAAGAATTAATATAAGAAGGTAAACGTTATTACTCGAAAAAGGTTACTCTACGATCGAATACGAATACCCCCCTTGTAGACTGTGTAGGGCACATCAGTTGACCATTGGCGGGGCTCGTAAAATTCTGGTTTCTGGCATATTAAGAGACCCTGATATCCGCACTTCTTCACTCGGTCTAATGTTTATCTTTTGCCTCTGCACCGCGCCCAGGTTTTGGTATAAATACAACCCGTGTGATCCGTCCAAGACATACTAGAAACGCCAACGTTCCAAGTAACACATCCAAAATGGTTAGTATAGCAGAAGACTCTTCTTAAAGGGCTTTTAGATTGAGAAATTAAATCAATATTCTTTAAATGTTGCAGAAATTCCTGGTTGTCGCCGTCGCCCTGCTGGCCGTTGCCCACGCCGATGTCTCCCACCTGTCGGGTTACAACTACGCTCCCGTGAGCGTGCCAGCCCCGGCCCCAGCTCCTCTGCCCGTGAAGGTGGCCCCCGCTCCCGCCCCTGTGAACACCTACATTCCCCCAGCACCTGCACCAGCCCCCATCCAGATTGAGGTTCCTCAGCCAGCACCAGCCCCGGCTCCAGTTGCCATCCCTGCTCCCGTGAAGGTGGCTCCCGCCCCTGCCCCAGTGAACACCTACATCCCACCTGCACCCGTCCATGTTGAGGTTCCCGCCCCGGCCCCAGCTCCAGTTGCCATCCCTGCCCCCGTGAAGGTGGCTCCTGCTCCTGCCCCGGCTCCCGTCAACACCTACATTCCTCCCGCACCCGTGAGCATCCCTGCTCCCGCCCCCGTCAAGGTCGCCCCTGCCCCTGCCCCCGTGCCCGTCCTGGCTCCCCAGCCCGTCCTGGAGGAGATCGAGCCCGTGGCCGCCGATGGCTACCGTTACAAGACTGTGCGTCGTCGTGTCATCCGCCGCCGTTACTAAATAGCAACTCCTTAGGGATCCCTTTTTAGAGATCGTGAGGATAGCTAGAAGTACAACAAATAAAACGAAAAGAGATTTTAATAACTAAAATATAGAAGTTTTTATTTTTTAGGGGTTAAAAATACTTTGAAGGTATTTAGGTAATAATTTGGGTTCGCCTTCTTAAAACAAGAAATTTGAGGAAACAAATTTGACTTAAAAAATAATTAAGCAGAAGATTTAGTTCTAAAAAACATAACAAGATTATACTAATCTAAATTTTTAAATTATTTAACTTTCATATTTTAATAAAATGACACAAAGTCAAAGTCCTTTAAACGGTTTCCTTAATTTAACAATATTTTATTTCAAGATTTCCAACATAGAATTAAAAGTCTTAAAGAAAATTTACCCTAATCTCAAATAAAACAGAATACAAGCCATTAATACAACCTTTATTATATCTTCTCCTCAGAACTTCAATCTTTTCAAGAACAAACACTCCCCGCGTCTTAACCACTTGCTAAAACACAAAAATAAACTGTTTTATAAGCCAGGTGTTGTGTGTGTTCGGAAAAGGCAAAGCCGCCAGTCCGGACTCATGTAATTAATTAGGCTCTGCCAACAACAGAAAACCCAACAACATGAGACACCACCGCTAGACATTGTCAAGATCAGCATAATCTAAGCAAATTGAAATTAATTTTGGCATAAACTTGAAACGACGCCATAGGCCCGGCGGTCTGCTAATAATTTGCCCAGAGCCTCTCAAAGCAGAGACCAGAAGACTAAAAACGAGAAATTAAAATAAAATAATTAAGAAGAGACAAAACGCAAGCCAATGGAGCGTGTGACCCACGAACATTCATCAAAAACACGCAAAATGAAAACAAAATAAAACCATTATTCAGCCATCAAAAGGTTTGTTTGATCTAATTAAAAAAAATAAAGCTATTGAAGACTGAAACAAAAAGTCAGATCAAGTCAAAGCAAAGATAATGCAGAATATGGAAACTAAAAACTAAGCCATCGAAAAAAAAAATAAAAAAATGAAACTAAAACCCGTCAAACTGCCTTGGCATTGGAGGCTCGGTATATGGTATACAGTGTGTGTGTGCTCGGTTTCGGTTTCTTGGCTGATATCTTCCGAGTTTTTTGAGTGAGGCTAAGACCCCCATGTATCATGGGTTCATCATGCAATTAATTTAGCTGCGGTTGACCCGCAGCAGCACCGAAAAACAATGAGCTATAAAAACCGCAGGCACACTTCGAGTTCGGCAGCACAAATCAACTTGTGATCCAAGCAGCAACAAGCCAATCTTCGCAATATGGTGGGTACAAGGATATACCAATATTAAGGATTCTAAAAAAAAGAATAAGAAAGAAAATAAGAAGAATTTCCTCAAGAGGAAGTCAAAGCCTTGCAGTAGTTACCAATTATATTGGTTATTCATAAAAAATACAACTCTTCTAAAGGATTTTATTAACGAAAAACAGATAGAAACACCCCTTAACATACATATTTCCTCTCCAGAAATTCCTGATCATCGCCGTCGCCTTCCTGGCCTGCGCCTACGCTGATGTCTCGGAGCTGGGATCCGGTGGCTACGATTACCCTCAGCCTGTGGCTCCCAAGAACACCTATATTCCACCCCCACCACCGCCGCCGCCGCCAGCACCCAAGAACACCTATATCCCACCCCCAGCAGCTCCCGCCAAGGCCTACATCCCACCCCCCACCACCACCACCACCACCGGCGCCCAAGAACACCTACATCCCGCCCGCACCTGCCCCAGCTGCCCCTGTTGAGACTTACATCCCTCCTCCAGCAGCTCCTGCGCCCGCCTACATCCCACCCGCACCTGTTCAGGCCGAGGAGCCCATCATCGAGGAGATCGAGCAGCCGGCCCAGGACGGATACCGCTACAAGACCGTGCGTCGCCGCGTCTTCCGTCACCGCAACTAAGTCGCTACAGCGACGTCTGTTGACTAATGTGATAGGCCCCAGCAAAGGTCACTTTGCTGCGGAATCTGTTAATGTTTTGTTTTGAAGATCGATGTTTGTTTTATGGAGATGAAGAGTGAATAAATGATGAAGAGCAAGTAAAATTACAGCTTATTAATCAACGAGGAAGGGTTGGTGTTGGTATTAAATATTCAACAAGCTACAGTTCATCCACCCAAGTAGGCTGGGAAAATGTTCTAAAGAATATAAGAATAATCATGAAAATACAAAAACTTCCCCGCTTTAAGGGGAAGAGTCATCCGTTGCCAGGATGTGTCTGTTACGGGAAAACGAGGAACGGAGATCTGGCCGCTGCTGGCTGTCCCGATGGCTTCCGATCGCCGTGATCCTGGTCATATTGGTATGGTCCTATTACCTCTTTGTCTACCAGGTCTGCATCCGCAAAGTAGACAACTTAATCTATATGGTACTCCTCCTGCTTGGCTACCACCTATTGCTAGTCATGTTCCTGTGGACGTGGTGGAAGTGCATCTGCACGTCGCCCGTGGAAATACCCAACCAGTGGCAGATATCAGACGAGGATGTGAACAGACTACAGCAAAACAATGGAGCTGAGGCAGAAGCACGAATATTGGCCAATGCCGCCAAGAATCTGCCAATACACATGTCCACCAAGGAGGGATTGGTGCGATATTGCCGCTTCTGCTGGATCATAAAGCCGGACAGAGCACATCATTGTCGCAGTTGCCGCATGTGCGTCATGAAAAGGGATCACCACTGTCCCTGGGTGAAGAACTGCGTCCACTTCCACAACTTTAAGTACTTCATACTCTTCCTGTTATACGCCGAGCTCTACTGCTTGTATATCTGTGTAGCGATGTTCTACGATTTTTACCTCATCTGCCAGTTCAAAGCTGAAAGCCTGCGCCGGGAGCACACTTGGGCCCTCGCCCAGCATGCGGCCGTCTTCATCATTAACTTATTCACCCTGATCATGTTCACCATTAGCGTGCTTAACATGGCCAGGAATCGCACCACCATGGAATCAGTGCATCCTCCATACTTTTTTGTCGGTGGCAAGAACAAGAATGGCTTCAACCTTGGATTTTGTGCTAATTTTCGAGAGGTTCTCGGCGATAAATGGTACCTCTGGCTCATTCCCATTCAAACCTTACGCGGCGATGGCCTGACATTTCCGCTGGCCGCTGAGAGTGCAAAATCAGCAAGAGTCCAGGATAGGAGGGGAGAAGAAGGTCTCACAAGGGCCCGGTATAACATGGCCCGATTGCTGGGCATTCATATAGCAAACGATATAGACTATGCAACTGATTAAATGATATATATTTAATTGCAAGAACTATAGAATAAGCAGCATACTATCTTCCTCCTCTCAAAGCAAACAGCTTCTACTTGAAGTCCTCAACTCAAGGAGTGGCGACTCCATCAACATCTAAATTTACGAGTCATTGGCCAGTGCAGCGGCATCCGTATCAGCATCGACTCCCGACTCCATTGCAGTCCGTCCCGCTGAGTGGCCGGCATCCTCCATAAATCCTCCGCATTCCAGCTTCCTTGGCTTGCCTCTCCTATCCACTCGATTTCTATCCCACACAACCGAGTCGTTTATAAAACGCTTAACATTCGTGACATATTTCGCATTTGGTCGCCGCTCGCGTCGCTCGCAGAAATTTATAGACTTTATCCATTAGGAAAACAATTACGAGTGCAAACAATGGCCAATGTGCGATGCGGACTCCCTGGCCAGAGGCACTGCCTCGGGGCATTGAGCATATGTTGGGATTGGCCCCAGGTTCATTGTCCTCCTCGGGCGGAGTTTTATATATTTTCTTATTATGCTGCGGCGACTTGTCGACTTCTGCTGCAACACAAATCCAATTACCTTCAAAATAATAAACTTATGTACATACCAAAAAGGAAAAGAATGCCATCTAGAGTCCTTTCTTCCTCCTCAGCTCCTTGGCTGCCGCACGCACATTTTGCTTTATCAACTGTTGATAGACTCCGTGGGGAATTTTCCGTATGTCACGACAAAGAAGGAGCTGGGAATGGAAATGGAAGCTGCTGTCTGCTGTTGGTCGGCGTTTTTTCTTCCTTTTTTTCGCAGTTCTGTGCCCACTCTCTTGCACTAAGAAAAATATATAAATATTTTAAAAATAAAGAAAGATATAGGGTTCATACTGCTTTCAAGTCGTGTGCAGAAGCAGCAGCTTCATTATTCCCTTCGTTTTAAGTATTTATTTTTCTCTCAGTGTCTATCCCTCTGGCTGACTTCCTCTGCTTGTTTGCTGCTCATTATTCGCCTTTGGCCGGGTCCGGAGACGTGTTCCCCGGTAGTTGGCCGCCAAATGCACGAGCGCAAATAATTTTTGCCACTTGCATGTCATCAGCATAAAGTAAGTGCAAAATATGTGAGCGGAAATTCGCCTTAGAGCGCAAAAGTCAACAGCAATTGGCCCAAGGACCACAGACCATCTTCTGTCGAAAGGAGGAGAGGAAGGATCTCGCCTCCATGGCACATGTCCATGCCATGGTCCTGCCCCCTTCGTAGCTTATTGAATTCGCATATTTTCCCATTTTGCATTATGGACAAACATTTTTCCCATTTCGCCATCCTTTGTTTTTTTCGCTCTCTGTTTGATTTTGTAATCGAGGATTTGTTTGCTTTGGCTGAATCGATTCGAGGGTTGAGGGGGGTTTGGAAAGCACTTTTTGTCCCTGCTCATTGAATGTTTCAGCAATTTTTGGTTAAGTCAAATTGGTCTAGTCGTCGGTTTGACCTTTTTACTGCCAGACTTTCGAAAAAGAAAAAGAAAGGGGGGAAATCTATTGGAATGCCTTTGCCCCGCTGTGTTGTTGGCAGAGAACATGTGTTTGGCCTTGAGCGGTTTGTTTAGGCCATTCGTCGATTGCTTATTGGCGGCAGTTGAAGAGGGTTGAATGTGTGGAAAATTGGTAGGAGGAAAAGCCATTTGAATAGTGACTTTGACATTGGAAAAAGAACGTGGCTGATGGGAACCTGTTGATAAGAAGGATTAAATTTGAAAATTGTGGCTTTTCCTTCCAAGATGCCAGATAAAGGGAAATTACTTGTGGTTATTGCTGAAGTAAAGATCTAAATAGTTGTTATTTTTACATTAAGTTTAGTGTATTTTCCTGTTCTCTAAACTTTGACGTAGGTCAAAGTAAATACAAGACAACAAACACGTGTTCAGTTACAATTTCTCTTCATTATTTACTCTTCAAGTGCATTTTCGGAGATGTTATTTACAAATTACACTCGAGTCAACAAATTAACAATAACAATTAACTTTCTGCTTAGTTGCGGTGACGGAAGACGCGACGACGCACGGTCTTGTAGCGGTATCCGTCCTGGGCCGGCTGCTCGATCTCCTCCAGCACGGGCTCCTCGGCCTGAACGGGTGCGGGCGGGATGTACTCGGGTGCCGGGGGTGCTGGGGGAATGTAGGTCTCCACTGGAGCCGGGGCAGGTGCAGGGGGTGCTGGTGGGATGTAGGTCTCCACGGGAGCAGGAGCTGGCTGCTGGTAATCGTAGCCAGACAGCTCCGAGACATCAGCAAAGGCACAGGCCAAAAAGGCAACGGCAATGATAAGGAATTTCTGGAAAATAATAAACATGGAATTATTATAATTATGCAGATTTTAACTTATAATTTAACTGCTATTAAATATATTTAAAATTTGATAGAGATATCACTGTTTTCTGGTTCAATTGATAGATCTCTTGAAAACATAAGATCAAGATATGCTCCACTTTCTGGCCGACGACTCACCATGATTTTCAAGTGTTTAGGCTGCGCTCAACGGAAGATGTGTGCTACCGATGCCAAGATCTTCCATGGCTTTTATATGGCCAAGACTCTTGGGCCACAGCTCCGGTGCCAATGGCAACGGAAGCAACATTAGCCGCCGATGACTTTGAACTTGATCTGCGGCTGATCTTCAATCGCTCACTCAAGACTTGATCGATGGATCCAGCAGATTCGAACCGGATTTGTTTTCGGATGCACAGGCCATAAATTGATGGAAAAGTTTGATCACGTTTCGTGTTGGCTATTGTCCGCCTAATGCATCGCCTGTCGCCCCATTGTCTTAACGTGGCCAACTGATGACTGACTTCTCTAGAGGTCACCATCACCACCATCACATATGGACGAGTTTGTGCTCGAAAAAATCTCGAATCTTGACTTTTGCTTTTGTTTTGGGGCTCCGGGGCGCAGCCCTTTAATTGATTTGCTTGTTGAACTCGGCCTTGTCCTTCTGCGGCCCCCGCACGGAAAATACACGGTGCTCGAGCTGTGGCTCTGGCTTCGCTTGATTAAAACCAAATTTAATTTGCATCTCTGTGTTTGGTTGGCTTACTCGGTTTTGTTGTTATTACTCGCTGGCCTGGGTGTTTATTGCCGGACCTAACCCCAATTACGAAAGCCGATGGGAAACTGCAGTTGCCAAGTTTAAGTGGGGGCCAAAAAGTTCTGTTTGGAATCAGTTTGCACAGTGGGAGGATTTTTCGAAAACTTCAATTATTTAGAAATTAACTAGCAAGGTTTACTTATTAGGTTTTTGAAAATGAAAAAAAAAATTAACAAGTTTTGAAACTACTTATTAACATTTTATTTAATAAAAAATCTATACAAGAAAGCAAAAACTATTTCGCATATATCTACAAATACATCCCACTGCCTGATTTCTGATTTTCTGCATTTCCATTGCGATTTCCTTGCCTCCCCTGGCATATTTTCATTTCATTTCGGTTTTATTTTGCAGCTCAACATTTTCATTTCTTCGTTTTGCTTTCCACTGTTCTCTGCCGTGTTACTTTTGTGGCCCTTGATAATATTGCAAATAATTTTCTTTTTTATGTTGATTATTTTTTGGACACCCTCCGGCCCAGACACCTGAGCTGCCGCCGCCCCCCCTCCACACCTTTACAACCTTTTTTATTAACTTCGTTTTCATTTGTACCGTTGCCTTCACGAGCTCATCATATTTTAATGTGGAAGGGATTCGGCGGCATCGTCTTTTGGCTTTTCTTCTCCAGTACCAGTACCAGCTCCAGCTCCATTTCCAGCTCCTGGCTGTGTTCTATGTTTCAAATTATTCTCGAGAGATTTGCAGTTCGTGATTTTATGGCAGTCGCGGGGCAGAAACAGGAACCAGAAACAGAAACAGGGCAGGAGAAATCAGCCCCAGGACTACTCGCCAAAATGGGGGATGGAAGCCACCATTCACTGTGAGTTAAGACGTTTCCCGAATGCAATTGCAGCTTTGGCTCTTAATTACCCCGCTTAAGTCCGTATTAACTCTGGCCTAAGCCTTTTTTAATTTGCCCCCGCCTCTGGCCGGTAGCTGTCGTAATTGAATTAGGAGCCAGGAGACAATGCAGCGTCGCTGAACCTTTCACGCTGTTATCCTTGATAATTAATTTAGACGCCATTGTCCAGTGCACTCCCCTCGGCAACGGCAAATCCTTTGCCATTTCATATCACGTGCCACGTTCTCCTCGTTCAACTCCAGCCGGTTTTTTGTGTATTTTCTTTTTTTTTCATAAATCGCCAGGACACACACAAAGTTGTCCAGCTGCTACACACAGGGGGGGATAGGGAGGGGTAACTGACCCCCGAAAAAAATAGGAATAGAGAAAGAAAGTTCCCATTTTTATGGGGAAAAAATGAAGCGGCAGTTTTGACAACGCACGTCCTGCCTGAAAAGGAAGAGAAAACACTCGAGAAAATTCTATAAAATATTAAAGTTTAAAAAAAGGTTGTTAACTTTTTTTTCAATATATGGAATAAGTTTATGATAAATGACTTATAATTATTATTTAAAATAAAACAAATATATATTTAGCTGCATATAAAAAGCAAAAAATGTTTATGTTTTAAAATATACATTTTCTTATAATTTAAAATAAAATTGTTCCTGTTTATTTTTAACAAAATCTCTTAATACCTAATGTAAAGCTTATATTTTGTAATATACATAAATAAAATACAAGAATTATAATATAATATTATTATTTAATATTTTTCATCTTAGTTTTGTCTTAAATAATTTACCTTTGAAAAAGTTGTAAAAAATCAAAATAATTAATCTCCAATAGGTATTTTTCTCTCAGTGTAGTAGTTAGGTCCAGGTCATGTGGCTTGCATATGGAACTACAATAGACAGGTACAAGATGCACACGTAGCACGCAGTGCCAGAGGAGCGACAAGAAACGAAATATGGAATCACCTTTTGTAAGTTCGGGGCCATGAAATCGAGTTTACATCTTACTCCTCCGTTTGGCAGCGTTGCCATAATTAAATGTCAAAAATGACGCTACGTGCAGAGCAAGCAAATCGGCTGACGAGTGCCGGGGCAGAGTTCACAACAAGAAAGAAGAAAAAATGCTACTTGCCAGTGGGGTTTTATGCAACTTTCAGACGAAAAATAAATATATAAACTTATTTAAGCAGTTGTCGAAACCAAAAGTTCTAGGCCCAAGAATCGTTGCATACTTTTGCTGTCGAGACTAATTGCTAAGACCTGCGACTGAGGAACTCGAGGTTGCAGGTTCAATTCCCAGGCAGACTAACAGTTTATTTTCTTTTTCCCTGATATTTTCCATTTTTATTTCTATTTCTCCTTTTAAGCCGGTTTTTACTGACAAAGAGCCCCCAAGAGTAACTTTTCTTGATATCAATTTATAATTTCTAGTATCAAGAATAGCCATTTGTAATCGCTTAATTTAGTGCCAGAAACTTTTACACAAAACGGAATACAAAATAACCAAAGCCCTACAAAAAATTACGCCAAAAGTAATTTAACATTGGCGGTGCTTCGCCCCCTCTCGCAACCGCTGCTCGCATTTGCCAAACTCTCGAACAAGTAGCTGCAACTATTTAAAGTTTCCCTTTTTGCTGTTGCTTTTCCCTCAATGTGTATCGTAGTTTTTATTGCCATTCTCTATTATTTGTTGCCCCTCTGTCGTTCCATATGCATATTATGCCCACGAGGCATAGGAAAACAGCGTCTCACCCAACGACCGCTCCGCTGCAGAAAGCCAGACAACAACAACAACGACGAAGACGACGACGGTTATGAAAAAGTACTTAACCTGCACAAAACTTATGTGCCAAGAGATTTTATATATTTTTTCCTCATAGTCGGGCAAAAGTTACAACGACATGCCAATTTTTCAAAGGACCAGGGAGGCAATAGGTACTCCAGGGGAGCACAGGGCGGTCCTGGCAAGCTTATAAAATATTGCCAATAATACGTTGTTAGCGGAGTTGCCTCCCCGAACGCTGAACGCATTTCTCCTGGCAGCAGCCAAACTTTTAATGCACTTCCCACAATGCACAAACGGAATGAGCCAACTTCGACTCGGCACTCCGCTCCAAGGGGAACGACGACTAACCTCCCTGCTGTAGCATTAATTTGTCAGATAAAAGTGCGGAGATTTTATATATAAATAGCTCAAAATAAAAACTAGAAACAGTAAAAGAATAAGAACCTCATTAGAATGTACACTAACTGTTATCTTACAACTTTGCTAGAACTATTTTTTGTTTTCAAATTTATTTGTTAAAAAGGAGCACCACTCAGAATTCGCCCTATCCGTTACGAACCGAGCGATCATCGAAGCCCTGCGCCCCGAAGGATACGAACGCCGGAGCGCCGCACCACAAAGGGCACTGGGCAAATCCTCACGCTGCCGAATAGGACGATTCAACTCATCAACGCGGGTGCACTTGGCTTTCAGCTAGAGTGAAAGTATGTGAAGACTGACTACAGAAATGATCCTGTGAAGTATAGTCTTAAGGATTGAGTACCCGACCTGTGGTTCTTGGTGCGGCGCAGGCCAGAACCAGTTGGGAATTTCAGGCGCTAGCGCTGGGAAAAATGAACAGCCCGCGGGTCGATAAGAGCACGATGTATGGGAATGCCAGCATTTGGGGTGGGAATATCTTCTAATATTTGTTGTTGCTCGTGTTTCTCGCTTGAAAACTGCTAGAAACGATCAGAAAATACAAACAAAAATGAAGAAAAAAAAGTATTTCAACTTGGCAGCGGTGGGATTCGAACCCACGCCTCCGAGGAGACTGGTGCCTTAAACCAGCGCCTTAGACCGCTCGGCCACGCTACCATTTGATGGCTTCGTGTCAAATGCTCATGTAGAGCTACAGCTACAGCCTGCATGGTGTTCTGACATTCTGAGCGAGAGCACAACACAGGGGCACATAAGTTTTTGGGCGCTGCTAAACTATTTTTATTTTTACTGCCGCAACACCTTGTCTTTATTTTTGCGCCCACACTGCGGCGCATATAAATGCTCTCATTTGGGAAAAGGAAAATGTCAATCAAACGAAATCAATTTCGCCGCAAGCCTTCCGCCTTTCGCTCTGCGTCGTTCGCTGTTCTGCTGCATTAAAATGTTTATTATTTGTATTTTGCAAAACTGTCAGCAGTTTTCCAGGCGGCGTCAGCTTAGAAATGCGTTTAAAATTCAAATGAAAATGCGAATTTATGCGTGACAGGCGGTGGTCGTGGTCGTCTTCGCTCACACATGCAACCGCAGCAACAATTTCCCATTGTTGCAGGCCATAAACTGAAGCCGGTGGAGCTGGGAACGGGCTCAAGCTGGAGCAGGAGCGGGAACAGGAGCTGGAGTTGGGCAGAAGACTCCGCAATGAAATTAGAAAATTGCAATAAAAATCTTTGCACGGGACGACAAGCAAAACAAAAACAAAGTCTGCGGTTGCCATAAGGGTGCTGTACAAGGCCGCAGCCGTGGGGTGGTAAAGGAGCAACGGAGCAACGCAGCATTTGCGGTTTCATTAAAATGCCACCGAAAAAGGGAGCAAAAAGTCAGACGCCGCGTCAGCAGGGGAGATACTTGCCACACACGTGAATTTATACAAATTTAAGGGCGACCGGCACGGGAATAATTGTAAAATTGTTCAATTCCCACTCCGGAGAGACGGACGGTCGCTGGGAAAACACAAAAAATCACGTACAACCAAACGGACTGAGGCGAGCTACCTGGTCGTGGCCAGGTGCAAACGCTAATGGAGTTAATTGTGGGCATTATCAAGAATGTCGGCAGCACGCTGCTATGTCCGATTTAAATTAAATTTCAAACAATTGACAAATTGAAATGCCAAGAACGGAAACTGAACAATAGCCGCATTCCGAGCGCTCCAGAAGAGGTTTAGATGGATGTCCACTTAATATGCCCGCCAGCAGGAGCTGTAAATGAAATGAATGACTCGACGAAATAGTTTTGGCCAGACCACAGAGCTGGGAAATTACTAGAAGCAACAAGGAGCAGCCACAATGGAAATAACTGGAAGCAAAGACAGGCTGAAATGCCAGACTTCCAGACTTCAAAGTACACATTTTCATGACAATTCTAGCAAGCAGACAGCGCGGACTTGTATGTGCGATTTCGACCGCCCGCCGCCATGGGGTAGCGTGGCCGAGCGGTCTAAGGCGCTGGTTTAAGGCACCAGTCTCCTCGGAGGCGTGGGTTCGAATCCCACCGCTGCCAAGTTGAAATACTTTTTTCTTCATTTTTGTTTGTATTTATTTGTGTTTTCTGATCATTTCTAACAGTTGTCAAGCAAGAAGCACGAGCAACAACAAATATTAGAAGATATTCCCACCCCAAATGCTGGCATTCCCATACATCGTGCTCTTATCGACCCGCGGGCTGTTCATTTTTCCCAGCGCGTGCGCCTGGAATTCCCAACTGGTTCTGGCCTGCGCCGCACCAAGAGCCACAGGTCGGGTACTCAATCTTTAAGACTATACTTCACAGGATCATTTCTGTAGTCAGTCTTCACATACTTTCACTCTAGCTGAAAGCCAAGTGCACCCGCGTTGATGAGTTGAATCGTCCTATTCGGCAGCGTGAGGATTTGCCCAGTGCCCTTTGTGGTGCGGCGCTCCGGCGTTCGTGTCCTTCGGGGCGCAGGGCTTCGATGATCGCTCGGTTCGTAACGGATAGGGCGAATTCTGAGTGGTGCTCCTTTTTAACAAATAAATTTAAAACTCCTGAAATGTCCTTAAGATCTGTATATTAAATTGTTCCGAAAAGGTATTAGTTTCCATTGTTCTGTTGTTTTTAGAACACTTCAGTTTTAAAATATATAAATATTATTAATTTGTAGAATTTTCATAACTTGACTATTTAGTTGTAATGAATTACAAATAGCCATAAACATTTTCTGCTACACGATAATTAAACGCAAACTTTTCTGGTCCCTTGGTTGAGATATTGTTATTTCCGCTCTAAACGGCGCTGCTACTTTGTGAAGCAATTAAAACAGCACTTGAACGGCGACCCTTTTGCTGCTTCGCTCGTTGCCAGTTGCCAGTTTCGAGTGTTTTTGTTGCACGTTGACAGTCCGTTAAAGGTGACACACTGGATGAGGAGGGCTCGGCGCGGCCCATTGTGCATAATAAAACATTTTAGTGGGAAGCAGATTTCCGCTTTTTTGTTCCCTCAAGTGCGCTTCGTGCTCAAGACTTGGCAGTCAAGTGGTCGAAAAAACTGTAAATTTGTAATAAAATTTTCGCTAATGGCCCCGGGATAGGGGGCCACTAATTACTTAACGCTGCATATGAATGGTCCTTGAGCGGGGGCGTGATTTTTGGCTTAATTCAGAGCTGCAACGATCTCAATTAGTAGATGATGCTGATGACTACTTGGAAGTGCTTCAAGTGCTCTGTGTGTGTCCTTGGATAACTTTTCCATGTTCGTGTTTTGGTTGGTTTTCTCGTTGAATATTTCCAGGTTCCTGCGTAAGGCATAAATATTTGAGGAGCTTGTCTGTTGCACGCAACAACAATTAAGTGTTGCCTAGTTTTTGTCAACCGAATCCCATTTGGCCCCACTCAGGGGTCTCGTTTTTTTTTTTTTTTTGCCATTTCTGTTGCCAAAACACATCACAACACGTACTGAAAATTTATTTAAGCAATGCAAAGCAAATACCAGTGGGGACAGTGCGGTTAATACACATAGAGAAGTCATGGCTTATTATAAATATCTAAGGCCTATTAGTTTTAAAATTAAATATAAATAATAAAATAAAATAAAATACCAGTTCTTTAAACTTTTTCCACACTTTTTCCTATGATATTTATGAAATTTTAATGAATGAATAACACTTAACGTTGTTTTTATTCTTATTTTTGAAGGATTTTTAACTTCTTTATAATTTATATAGTTTAGTTTAAAAAAATCTATAACAATTATGACACACACTGTACTCAGTGTTCAAGTTTGCTTACAATTCTCGTATTTTTTGAGTGCTTACATAAAAACACATTTGAAATGCGGTTAAAAGGAGGCGAAGGACGCAAAAGGAGTCTGGGGAAAAGGAAAAGCAAGCACAGCATTTGAGGCGGTGCCACCTTAGGGGCCGGAATTGACATCATCATCATCATGCATCGAGGGGCCAATCGATGATGATAATGATGCTGCTGCTCCTTCTTCTTCTACTGATGATGATGATGGCAATGCGGCTGATGCCGTAATTGATGTCTTTGCGACATGCTTTCGCAAAGTGTTTACGTTGGGAATTACCCATGTGTGAATGTACGAGTGTACGGACCACGGACCACGCCCCCAGCTAGTTGACAGGCTGCCGTTTACGTGCACTTAATGAAATGTGCCCCAAAATGGAAGCACGTACCGGGCATCTATTTAATGAGCCTGCCCGGCAAGAGGTCTCTTCTCTTCGAGAAATTTCGGTGGGTTTGGTACCGGAGAGTATCTATGTATGTGAGCTCATGAAATTTTTAAATGTCGCAGCTAAAATTCAATTTAATTTGGCTTCCTGAAAATGCGCTCCACAGGAGCAGCTATAGCTGCATTATTCAATGGCACTCACACGTAAGCCGCTCAAAGGAAAACAGAGGAGGAGGATATGGAGAATCCTCAAACGCCCCCCAACTTCAACCGCAGTTTAAAATTCATGTGAGCTTTTCAACAATTTTCCCCAAAACAAAATGCGATTAAATGTGCGGAAAATGCTGAGCTCTTGTTCTCGGTTTCGTTCTTGTTGTTGCTGGGATAAGCCACAATGGGTTAAGGCAACGTCTTGTTTGCACATGTGTCGCTGGGGGGGTGAGGAGCGTCACCACATAAAAAGTGGGAAAAGAGGGGCACACACACACACGCAGATGCCGAAGGTGCAAAAATGCGTTAAACATAACATGCTAATTCCTGGCGCCTGCAGCTTCAATCTTTCACCTGGCCCAGGGTCGTCTCGCAGCCCACTCCTATTCCCATTTCCATTCCCAGTGCCATTTCCATTCCTAGCCAGCGTGCGGTGGGAGATCCTTCTGCTCCAGGACTCGTTGGCTATGTAATACGAGCGTTTTGTGTGCCATTTGATGCTGAAGTTTTCCTCTATTTTCTGCCATTTGCCTTTGTGCTATGTGTGGACTTGTATTCCCTGCCAGAAGGTATTTTCATTTCTGAAAGTAAAACACTGAAATCTCTTCGTATTTAGCAAGTATTAAAATCTTAAAAGAGACAAATTTATTAGGTAAAACTAAGTAGTTATCTATTTATTATTTCTGGTAAAAAGTTCTTTATGAAATACTAAAATATATTTAAATAGAAAAATAAATACAAAATAAAACACTAATAATATTTGGCTGGTAATTAAATTCAATATTTAAGAGTATTTACACTTCTTCCCTTCAACCGTTTTTTTTTTACTTTTTTGTTTGATTTTTTGTGCATTTGTTTTTCCTACTTTTGCAAAAGTTTTCCAGGCTGAGGCAGACAGGCGCCAAAGGGCGTGGCAGTTTGCCTGACTTTTTGACTTGATTAAAGTTAAACTAAATTTAACAAAATATTAAATTGGAACTGGGACGCTTGATCGTTAATCCCGCAGCCCTGGCCAAAGCTTTTCCGAGCTTTTCCTCTCACACACTCTCTCTCTCCCATTTATTCACGTGCTTTCAGTTGTTTTTTGCCAGCCGCCAATTCGGTTTGTTTGTTTTTTTGGCATGGAAACCCCAAAAAACGGAGGAGCTGCCTTTAAATATGGTCCCGCTGTCCGGATTGGCATTGCCGTCCTGGTGCTGCACACCGCCGGCTGGCTGGGTTGGAAGGCGGTCAACCAGGATGCGGAGTCCAAGGAGGCTAAGGTCACTGCCAATGCCAAGCACGAACAACTGCGGGCGGCACTTGCGGAAAAGTGACGTAATGTGGAATTATAAATACGAAAAATCCAACAAGCTGCAAGAAACTGTGTAAATAAAGTTATTATTGTTAAAAAATATATAGAAAAAGTGCATTGTATAAAATAATAAAACAAAATTAAAAGTTATTCGATTTGTTTTGAAAAATAAACAGAAAGAGAGAGTAGCTTTTGTGCTTGTGATAAAGAGAAAGAAAGCTTTCGATAATTATCGAATTGAATTATAATTTATGGGATTTACTTAAGTGTTAAAATTTTATTATGAAGATTGAGAAATTGTTAAGCAAATCTATAACATTTAAATTCTTTAAAAATGTATATGTAAATTTTAATAAACTCAGAAAACTCGTGTTACGTGTTACGTTGATCACTTACCATTTTTCATTTCCATTTATTTGTATGTATTTTTTTTTTAGGAATTACATTACATTTCCTAAAAAAAAAAAATTTGGAAAAATTGTATTCTTTTCAAATATCAATACTCTTTTTATGAGTTCACTAATATCATTTTAAAAGATAGGCACAGTACTAATATTAGCTAAATAAATAAAAAGTCGCTATAGACTTGTGTTTTCAAGATATCTGTGGCAATCCTTCAAAATGCTATCCATGTTTTCACTTATCTTTGGCCTACTGAAGACAGAATCTTACTGCTTATAAATACTGTCTGAAATATACATATATGTACATATAACTCCGAGATTTCATGTTCAAACACTGCTCTGTTAATCAAGTAAATATTACCTGAACAAGGTGATAAACTTGGCCCAGAGAGAGCAAATGAAGGCAGCTTTCGCTCTTGATCTTGCAGAAAGCTCAAAGCCAACCCAATCTCAAAATATTTTCTGAGCTCGAGTTCAGTAACGCAAATCACAGAACCGAGGGCAGAAGTCGACAACACACCTGGAAAACGTTCTAAAAAATATTAATTAAACGAAATAAAAACCCATGGAGCTGCATTCAAGATTGCTGCTGATTGCCGGCCTACTGATGTTGAGCTGGCATTGGGCGGCCGGCGTGCCCAGGAGTCCACCAGTGGATATAGTTCCGACAACAACGCATCAGGAAAATCTCAACAATACTACTGATTTTAATACGTCGGATGTATTCGTGCAAAGCATTTTCGAGATAAATCCGACATGTCGACCTGGTTATATACTTGTGGGCAGAAGGTGCCATAAAATGGCCTAAAGTGCTATAAATGTCAGAGGTGAACGTGTCTACTAAAAGTAAACAACAAATAAACGATCGAATATGAACGATTTTTGGCAAACTTCCAAAAACAAGTAAATTGTCTTAATAATCAAAGTAATAAAAGTGTCAGTGAAAAACGTGCTTTTTACTTAGTTTTTATTTCTATAAAAATAATTGCATTAAATAAATTCACGCTGGTCTTCGACAACGATTTAAAAACAGCTTGAAGCCCTCGGGACAGGGAGAGCTGGGGTGGTTTTCCAGTGACAAGAGTAGTGACACCACAAAGAGAAGATTTAGGAATATACGCAGGTTGTGTCTCATCTTCGATGCAGTTATATACTTTCTAGATGCGTCTGCTTCGACACGCGATTCCAAACTAATTTGATTTCTTTATTTACTATTATTTATTGAATGGGTTCTGGGAATGCTCCCGTTATCTGCTTTCACCCCGGGAATATTTGCGATGTAATCGCATAATCATGGGAGTAAAATGATCTAACAATTTACATTGACAGCTCGACAGTTCGGAATTCATCTGAAAAGTGTACACATTCCTTCATATTTGTGAATAAGAAATGCGTTTATTTGTTATTCTACAAATGCGTATTTATAATTTATAAATTAAAATGATCATTTTGATGGATTGTCGTATGCATTTTATAATCATTTTTAATTCATGTTATTATTTTTATGCATTTTTTTTCATCACGCTTTTGATTTGTTTTGCAAATTACCCGTTAGCTGAGAAAGTAACTAAAATAAAAACGTATTGTTTGATAAATAAAAATATAAAAAATTAAATGAAAAACTATTTTTAGATAGATATTATTAAAGATTTTATTTTCATAGTTACTTAAGGTTTTAATTTCACACAAAATATTTGTAATTAATTTAAAACATATTTGTTTAGAACCCTGAGATGCATATTAAATTCAGGTTGATTTTCGTTTTGTATATCTTATATAACCCTCTGGACAGTTGTAATTATAATAGTTTTTCAATAACAATATGGCTATTACTATGAGAAAATTTAACAATATTTGCAGGTAGAGTGATTCATCTTCGATTCAATTACTTCTTTGATGCGAATCCTCCGACACACGACTCAGAACTAATTTGTTTAGATTTTGAATGGGTTTCGTGAGTGGTCATGTTATCAGCTTTCAGTTCGGGATTATTTGCGATGTAGATTGAGAATACATAATCATGGACATAATGTGATCTAACAATTTACATTGACAGCTTGACAGATTTGAATAAATGTGAAAGGTATTCGTATGAGGAACTTTTGGGGAGAAGCCAGGGGTGTGTGCATATATTAATTTTACAAATAAATATTTGGCAACTTGATTAACTTTTGTTTACCTAAAAAATATATATATTTAAAGACCATTCTATCATAATTATTATATATATACAAATGTAGTGCATTTTTTCAAAACATTTGTGCTTTCTTTAAAAATGTATTGATTAATACTGAAAATAAAATGAGCAACCATTCAAAAAACTCGACTAATATCTGAAAATTCCATTAATGTATCAACATTTCACCAATTAATGAGATATTTTTATCACTGATCATATACATATTTACCAATTTCCCTCTACCTTCGCTACCCTCATTCCTTTGTGATCCTCAGAGCACTCGTACTTTCCATCTTACATAATAACCCTTATCATTTTAGGAAATATATCTCTCAAAGTTCTCAGTACTTTTTAATTACTCAGAACAATGCACATTTATTGGCACAACTCGGTTTTACAATTTTACAGATATATGTAGATAAAACATTTATTATTCCAGATTGAAGAGTTACGTTACTCTTGACACTTTCTAGGCCTTCTTCCGGCAACGTCCAGCCATCCTCTCGGTTCCATTGGTGCAGATGGGATCAGTGTCGAAAAGGTTCCGCTGATTCACCGACTCCGGGCGCGCCTCCTCAGTCTCGGACTTGGGATCCCGCTCGGATCCTGACCTGGATCCCACTCCTTGGCTTAGTTCTGGTGACAGGTAGTCCTGGGTGTTGAAGAGGTCACCCAGATTGTTAGCCACATTGTCGCGTGTCGAAGTCTGGCCAGGAATGGGTTGGATCACTGAGGAGGCTTCTCCGGCTTCTGGATTCTGTCCCGGTCGTGGCTGCAGACTGTTTGGAGTTTGGAAATTAAACTGCGAGAAGTCGTCCTCTTCGTTGTTGCCTGGACGAGGCTGAATAGGATTGCTGGAGCTTCCCGGCTGATGTCCAGGCTGCTGGAAACCTCCCCCTCTTCCTGGGCTTTGACCTGGTCCTGGTCGCGGCTGCAGGGTATTCTCACCACTGCCGGTTTGCCGGAATCCTCCGGGGGAATAGGTCGGCAGCTCATTGCTGCCTGGTTGCCTGGCGTTGAGGTCACCCTCAGGTTGCTGGAAGCCAGGTGGTGATCGATTCGTATCAGTTCCTGGCTGCTGAATGCCAGGTTGTCCTCGATTGGAGCCTGTTCCAGGTTGCTGGAAGCCAGGCTGTCGCCTTCCATTGAAATCTCCTCCTGCCTGGCCTCTGTTGAAGTCTCCACCCGTTTGTCCCCTGTTCAAATTTCCTCCTGGCTGCTGGAAACCTGATTGTCCTCTGTTGTAGTCTCCACCCTGACCCGGTTGAGGTCTGAAATTGGAGCCAGGCTGTTGACCTCCAAAGACGTTGCCGGGCTGTCTATTTCCAAAGTGACCGCCGCCAGGCTGTTGTCCAGAGAAAGGACCTCCAGGAAACTGGTTGACGGGATACGTAGGTGGTGGGTAACGACCATAGGTTGAAGACTGTTGGGGAGGAAAACCTCCAGAGAAACCCGAGCCGTAACCAACCCCTTGTCCTTGTCCATGTCCAAATCCATGCTCGTGTCCGTGTCCGTTTCCGTGTCCATGTCCATGTCCGTATCCATGCCCATGATGCGGGCGATGATGATGCCTGTAAAAAATTTTATAATTAAAGACATTAAAGTGCAACATATACATTTTGAAAACAATTTAATACTTTATTGATAAGTAACCCTTATCAGCTTTCTTTTATATATTTTTTTTTCATCCCATTCTTCACTAAGAAAATTATAGTATACAGTAGAATCTTACGTTTCTGGTCCTCCAAATCCGCCCTGTCCTCCGTTTTCCACATAGTAAGGATTCTGAGGACGTGCATCTGTCCAGTGACCGCCGATTAGGAAGATCAGTGCCAGAGCCAAGCCCAGAGATAAGAGCTGGGAAGCCATTTCTGAAACAGAATCAGAACCAACCACCAGCTTTGAATATTCAAAAGAGACTGAGTTGTGTCTCGTCTTGAAACAGAGATGATGGCACCCGAACAAGTGTTGTTTATACGCAGTTGATAAGCCAGGTTCATGACATCAGATAAGGCGCCGATTACTATATAGATTCCACCAATAGAAGGGAAAAACAATTGCATTTACATACATCCGTTGACTGAGTCACGAGTTGAAGTCTCCAAACTATAATTACTCTTTATGTACTTTTGTATAAAGTTTCCCCCACAGAAAGTTTCTCTCACTAATGTTGATTTGGTTTGCTGGGGGATTTTTGTTTTTGTTTGCCGCGATTTTTGACTAATCACCATCACACTGTGCCCCATCAATCAGCATTAACATTTCTATTCAAAATAAAATATCACTTTATTGACTCTAACATGGATCTCTTAAGACTAAGCCGACTTTCGGCAACGATTCGCCCGCAGCTCGAAGCCTTCTTTGCATTTCGGGGATGTATCGATCAATATTCGATTGTCTACCACCGGCTTCTCGGTGATCAACTCCTCCGAATCGGTCGAAACGAGCTCAGTTGTCTCTTTAGTTGATAAAGAAGTTATTTTTGTGGTCGAAGGCACCTCCGTTGTCGTTGAGTTGGCACTCGGCAAGGCGAACTTGGAGGAGAATACGTCTTCATCGTTATCCTTGGGAAATACTATGCGATCGTCGATGCAGGGCCGAGATCTGGCTTCAATCGAGAGGAAAAGCAAACACAAAGAGCCCAGGCACAGCACCAATAGGTTAAGAGCGAACGACATCATCGGACAGATGCACGTTTGTTTTCTACGACGAAGCTCCACAGACTGAGACACTGGGATCATCTTCCCATTCAGACTGTCAAGTTATACATATTCCCATGCCCACCGAAAGCCTAAAAGCCAGACAGATAAAAGATCACGACCGGAGAGCGGAGTTGATGGGAAAAAGCCAGACACACCAGACATGCTCTCCCACAAAATAAAAACGTAAACAAAGCAGCCGCAAAAGCTTTTAAACATTTTCGTTTTGTGAACTACACTGATTCGAAAATCATTTAAAAATTAAAGTCGCAAATGTAATTAAAATATATATATAGTAAACGATAATCCACATCTTAAGGGTATTATTTGTTTACATAACTTATGTACTTAATATCAACTTACAAATTCATTTGCTTCCGGCATCGATTTCCTTGCAGCTCGTATCCGTTTTGGCATATCTTCGGAATATATAATAGATCAAAAATCTTTTCAGGGGTTATTGTTGATGTCGCTCTGGGGCCCGAAAAACCGTATACTTGATCAGCTATGGAGGGCATTGATCGGGCTTCAATAATGACGGAAAATAAGGGCAGACAACAGATTCACAGTAGCATTTTGCTTAGACAGCTTAACATTATATGGCAAAATTGCGTTTCTTTGCTATAACGAATCTTTAAAAACTGACATATGTAGATCACATTCATAACTCCGTTCTAATTTCGATCGGCTTGCCGCTTGATGGAAAATACTTATTTATTATAGTAGTCATCGTATATTATAAGAGTCGTTTCCGTCCATATTGTGGTAGGCTAGATACGAATAAGGCCCACTGTACATTGTATTAGCATAGAATCAGGATAAAGCCCATTGTATTGAAGAGCTATACAAGACAAAATCCCCGTTAGAGTTAAGTATAAGACTGTCATCTCTGTCTATCTCGCACACTAGCATTAAGGGACAAATATGTATGTATACCTATCTCGCTTACGCCTCAAAAGGTATAAGTAGAGGAAAAGAAACGACGCCGCGACATTCGGTGGCTCGTGCTCGAGGAGAAAAGTTTAAATAAAGCATCGGATTTATATTCTTAAAAACAATTATCACGTTTACAACATCAGAAGTGGTCATTACTCACTATGCCTGACATAGAGTTAAAGCAGTTCTCGGTGCTCCAACTGAAAAATTGGTTGGGAGCTCTCGGACGCCCGACTTCCGGCACTAAAGCGGAATTAATCGCGCGTCTGCAAGCTATCTCCCCAGAGACACGTGGCGACCCGCCAGCCAAGACATCGAGCAGCCAGGACGATCAGCCACCAATCAACCAACCGGCAGCAGAACCAGTGAACGGGACAGATGGAGCTGCATCTTTGCTGGTACTGCAGGAGCAGCACGGTGGAGACTTGCAAGAAGTCTCAGGCGACGCGCAATTAATGGCGTCACAAGCCTCGGAGAATTTCGAGTTTGAACAACTATCGCTCGTGGATGCTGAAAAAGCCACCCTACAGAAGATTCGTGATGAAATAGACGCGAGCATGGCCGTATTGCAGAGGATTCACACAGAGATCGACGGCGCAAACAAGAACAAATCCGTTCATGTTCACCAAATCCATGACGTCATCAAAAATACCATGGAAAATTCTAGAAGTGCTAACATTGGCGCCAACAGCGACGCTGTTAAGTTTAACAGCACCAAAGTGACCATCACCGCCGATAACATTGGTCCGGACAATACCAGTGTTGGAAAACAGATCGATGGAAGTGTTGATCAACGCATGAACACAAATGTAAACAAACTACTGGAATCTCCGGCAGCATCGCTTGCTTTGGCAAAAGAAGTTACAATGGAATACAACGGCAGCGTGTGTGCGCGCAATTGGGTCACACAGCTTCAGAACATTGGCAAGGTGTATAATTTAGACGATGGCTGCATGCATATGCTTCTGATTGCCAAACTAAAGGGAAACGCACAACGCTGGCTGCACGCAAACGCCACGCGCATTCTGGAGCCGGCCGATCAACTTTGCGAACAACTTATTATGACGTTCGGCGTTAAAATGTCCAAAGGAGAGCTGAGAAACGCATTCCAAAGACGTCAATGGAGTCCAGAAGAGAAGTTTGCCGCTTATTTCGAGGACAAGGTTATGCTAGCTAACGACATCAACATCGATTTGGAGGAGCTTCTGGAGAACATCATAGAAGGCATCCCAGCACCAGCGCTGCGTAACCAGGCACGCATACAGTGCTTTTCCGAACCGATGCAGATTCTGCGGGCCTTCGCGGAAGTCCGTTTACCAGAGCGCAAAACTGGAAGCACTTCGACAAAGCAGCTATCTGGAAGAGTTGCATCCAATAAGGACTTGCGGTGCGCCAACTGCAACTCCAAAGGGCACTTCGCCAAGGAGTGCCTCAAACCGAAGAGGGAGCCCGGTTCCTGCTACGCCTGTGGCACGATGGGACATTTCGTCGGACAGTGTCCGGAGCGCAAGAGTGCGAACACAAACAACTATGTAAGACAGATTAAGATTTTTTTTCACAATAGTTTTAAAACCCCATTAATTGCAGAATGCCTCATAGACACAGGGAGCCCAATTTCATTTTCGAAAGTAAGCAGTATACCCAAAGAAGTTAATTTAGAGACCGTTTCGGAGAACTATTTCGGGCTGAATAAAAGCCAACTGAAGATATTTGGAAAAATTTTGTGTTACATATTAAAAGAAAAAATAAAATGTTATTTTTATATGTACGTGGTCCCAAACGAGTCTATGAGTCATAATGTAGTTCTTGGAAGAAATTTTATGGAAGCTTGCCAGCTAAAATTGGATCTAGACACTTTGGGAAAGGTTACAATTGACCCTTTAGATATTAAAAGAGATAGAAAAACAAATAATGATAGATTTAGTCATACAGTTAGTGATACAGTTAGTGAAACAGTTAGTGAAACAGTTAGTGATACAGTTAGTGATACAGTTAGTGAAACAGTTAGAGAAACAGTTAGTGATACAGTTAGTGATACAGTTAGTGAAACAGTTAGAGAAACAGTTAGTGAGACAGTTAGTGAAATCGTTAGTGAAACAGTTAGTGAAACGGGGAGTGAAACGATTAGCAAAATAGTTAGTCCTAAAATTAGTGAAACAGTTAGTCCTACAGTTATTAATGAGGTTATTGAAACAGTTATGCCTTTGAATACAGTTATGCCTAGTTATGAAGAAACTGTTAAAGAAATATTTAGTATTGATTATATGGAAGATGAGCAAATGAGTTATATATGCGGCACAAATAACGACCAAGGCTTAAACTGCCGATTAGAAGAGATTATTAAATGCAATTACTTTAGCGTAGAAAAGCCTGCAGAACCTTTCGTCAAATGTGAAATAAAACTGAATTTGGAAACTTCAAAACCATTTAGCTGCGCCCCAAGGCGACTAGCTTATTCAGAGAAAGAAAAATTGCAAAAATTGCTAGATGAATATTTAAAAGATGGAATTATACAACCCAGCGAATCCGAATATGCTTCACCCATAGTTTTAGTCAAAAAGAAGACAGGAGACATAAGATTATGTATAGACTTTAGAAAACTGAACAAGGTTTTAATTAAAGACAATTATCCGATACCGCTTATCGATGACCTCTTAGACAAACTGGTTAACAAGAAAGTTTTTTCGAAACTTGATTTAAAAAATGGTTATTTTCATGTGTTTGTCGATAAGGAATCGGTTAAATACACCTCGTTTGTTACGCCTTTAGGACAATTCGAATTTCTTAGGATGCCAATGGGCCTGAAAACTGCATCGGCAGTGTTTCAAAGATTTGTTAACAGAATTTTCGAGGATCTTATTAGAGAGAACAAAGTGATTGTATACATGGACGACATCATGATCGCCAGTAAGGACACTGAGGAACATTTTCAGATCTTAAAGGAAGTGTTTCTCAGGTTAGCTCAAAACAAATTAGAATTAAGAATGGATAAATGCGAGTTTCTTCAAACTAATATTAAATATTTAGGATTCATTATAAATGGCGAAGGCATTAGGGCTGACGACAAAGGGATAGAAGCCATACAAAATTTTCCAGTTCCAGACAAGACACAATCCGTGCAAAGTTTCCTAGGCTTATGTTCATACTTCCGTAGATTTATAAAAGATTTTTCAACATTAGCGAAACCATTATACGATCTTTTGAGAAAAGATGAAAAATTTAAGTTTGGAGAGAAGGAAATGAACTGTTTTTCAACGCTTAAAGAAAAGCTAGTACAGGCACCAGTTTTAGCTATTTACAATTACAAAGACGAGGTAGAGCTGCACTGTGATGCAAGCGCTCTTGGTTTTGGTGCTGTGCTATGTCAAAAGAAAGAAGACGGGAAATTACACCCCATATTTTATTTTTCGAAGCGCACAACTGTCGCTGAGGCAAAATATCACAGTTTCGAACTGGAGACAATGGCTATTATTCACGCACTTCGAAGATTTAGAATATATTTATATGGAAAACGCTTTAAAATTATTACTGACTGTAATTCGCTTACTTTAACCCTTAATAAGATTGAACTTAATCCGCGAATAGCTAGATGGGCGTTAGAGCTCCAAAACTACGACTATGAGCTCATACATAGAGAAGGAAAAAGAATGCAGCATGTTGATGCTCTTAGTAGATGCACAAATATTCTGATTGTAGAGTCGAATACGTTCGAAGATAATTTAGTAATCTGCCAGGCCAAAGATCCAAAAGTTCAGGAGATTAAAAAACGGTTAGAAAAAGACGAACATAAGTTATTTGAAATGAGAAACGGAATTATTTATAGAAAATGCAACGATGGCAGACTATTATTTTATGTTCCTACGGATATGGAAGAGCATGTTCTATATAAATATCACAATGAGGTCGGACATGTAGGTAGAGACAAAATGTTGGATAGTATTTTGAAATCTTATTGGTTTCCCAGTGCCAAAGAAAAATGTTTAAGTCATATAGAAAATTGTTTAAAATGTGTCGCGTTCTCCCCTAAAATAGGCAAGGAAGGATTTCTGCATTGCATTCCGAAAGGTAGCAAACCATTCGAACTAATACACATCGATCATTATGGTCCAGTCGACTCAGGTAGATCAAAAAAACACATTTTTGTCGTGATCGACGGTTTTACGAAGTTTGTACGCTTATATGCCACAAAGACTACGAATACAAGAGAAGTCGTTACCGCCCTGAAGGACTATTTTAGAGCATATAGCAAGCCTAAATGCATCATATCAGACAGGGGAAGTTGTTTCACATCCAAAGAGTTCGATGATTTTGTATCAGAGTTTGATATAAAGCATATGAAGATTGCAACTGGATCACCTCAGGCTAACGGGCAGGTTGAAAGAGTCAATAGAAGTTTAGGTCCAATGATAGCGAAGCTAATAGAACCAGAGAAAGGTATATATTGGGACACAGTAATAGATAAAGTTGAACACGTGTTAAATAATACGCTACACCGTAGTATCAAGCAAACCCCAAGCAAAGTGCTTTTTGGCTTAGAACAGAGAGGAAAAACTGTGGACGAGTTAAAAGAAAAACTAGAAGAAATAGATAATACTCCAGAAGAAAGGGACTTGAAGAAAATTAGAACCGAAGCAGAAAAGAATCAAGGAAAAACTCAAGCGTATAACAAAAAGCATTATGATAAGACCGCAAGAAAGCCATCTGAATACAAAAAAGGAGATTATGTGATGGTGAAAAATTTCGACTGCACAGCAGGTGTTTCTAGAAAGTTAATTCCAAAAAATAAGGGTCCATATGTAATTTCAAAAGTATTAAGAAACGACAGGTTTTTGTTGAAGGACGTAGAAGGTTTTCAGGTATCCCGTAACCCTTACCAAGGTGTCTGGAGCATTCAAAATATTAAGCATTGGATAGGCAAAAAGAAAAAGCATGATTAAGCAATAAAAAATTACGGCAAACTGCAATAATATGTAAATATGTATAAATATAAGAAAAATTGTTATTCATTGTAAATATACAAATAAGTAATATAACCCATGATCAGGGGATCAGCTAGTCAGGACGGCCGAGTTGTGGTAGGCTAGATACGAATAAGGCCCACTGTACATTGTATTAGCATAGAATCAGGATAAAGCCCATTGTATTGAAGAGCTATACAAGACAAAATCCCCGTTAGAGTTAAGTATAAGACTGTCATCTCTGTCTATCTCGCACACTAGCATTAAGGGACAAATATGTATGTATACCTATCTCGCTTACGCCTCAAAAGGTATAAGTAGAGGAAAAGAAACGACGCCGCGACATTCGGTGGCTCGTGCTCGAGGAGAAAAGTTTAAATAAAGCATCGGATTTATATTCTTAAAAACAATTATCACGTTTACAATATAAAGTATAGATATTCTTGATTAGCATTAACAGCAGAGTCTATCTCAACTATCTATCACCTGCAAGGGTATACAAACTTCGGCGAGCCGATGTTAGCTACCTTATATTGTTATTTTTGAGGAATACAAATACTGATATCTGATATTCGTGTGTTTAGTTAGTTTTTCCTACATTAAATAGAATAGATTTTTTCAATTCCCATGTCAGTCTTCAGACTTATAAGCTAGCTTTCGGCAACAATTTCCTTGCAATGTGAGTCCTATTTTGCATTTTTTTGGGAATGACGAACAATGTAATAAAGGTTCCATTAAACGGAGCCTCGGTTTCGCTGGAGATTGGCTTAGCTTTGGTCGTTGGGTTCACTGCGTTTCCTTGGGGAGATTTTTTTGAAAAGGACCTTGATCTTGTCTCGAGGGTGGTGAAAAATCCTGCTAAAAGCAACAGCAGCAAAGTGGTAAGATCCACATTGCTTCGGCGATTCTTCAGAGGCTGATTGCCCTGACGATAATCTTCAAAGCTAAAAAGCTTTCAAAAGTGAGCATCGAAACAACGCTTGAGCTCTCCCAAACAATATTTTGCAGCAGAAAGCTTTTTAAGGTATATATATATGTATATTGGTACACTAGTTTACACTGACAAAAATCAGAAAAAGCGAAATTGGGCTTCGATAAAAGGTTTTCTTTTGTTCCTTTTCAAATATGCGATAAACTTACTTAGTTTGTCAACTCATTTCGTTTAAGTTTATTATTTAATTGTATTATACTAAGCAGAATACTGATCTCATTTTTTCAAAAATTATATATGCATCAAAACCGATTTAATAATAGTTCAAAAATACATAAAATATTCACAAATACTTATATAAATGCGAATTTGGCGAATCCTGATAAAATTTAATTTTAACAGAATACAGACTTTGGAAATCATGTTTAACTCTAATTTTAAAAGAAGTTGATAACAAAAATTATAAATTATAATAATTATAATTATTTTATTTAATAAACCATTTTTTACTAGGCATTCTTGCGACAATGGGTGGCGCTCAATGTGAAGCCCTCCGGACAAATTCGTGTCGTTTCCAGCGTTATCCTTGGCTCCAGCACCACCTTTATCTTGACGGTCGTAGGAACCTCTGTTTGGTCCCAGGGACGCTGGCTATTTGATTCCGGCTCGCTGCCAAAGGTTATCACCTTGGATTCGCTGGAAGGACGGGTTTGGTTTCTCGGTGTAGTAGGATTACTCCCCTCCGGAGCTGGTTTTTTGATCTCTTCTTTCCCTTTTCCGGTTGTGGTTGCTGGTGGCTTTTCACTTCCGGTATCTATACTAGTACTGGCCATTCTCGGCATGCTTTTCTTGGCTTCCTGGGGCACCATGAGAAGACTGACATTCGTCAGACGTGACACTTCGGCCATTTCCCGATCGATTTCCTTGAGACGGGACTCCAGTTTGGGCTGTGACTCCGAGGGAAAGACAACGCGATCGCTGGGCAACCGAGCTGCAGCATTTGGTTCCAATGCCAGACACAACCAGACACCGACAAACAGAAACAGCAGCTCCGGCCAGGGAAGCCGCCGTATAATGGCCATAATCGTAAAAAGTTGCTTTTGCAATTGAAGGCCCAAGTAAACACGTTCACGCTGGCCAGTATCGCACTCGAGACTGAATCTCTCCCACCGGTCTCCGTTCGGTTTCAGTTTCTGTTTCTGATTCAGTTTCGAGATTCCTACTCGGCTTCAGATTCAGCTCGAGAGGCCAGCGCCAAGAGAGCCGAGTCATTAGCTCGTTAGTTCTACGGCAAGTGTGCGGGCTTGTTTGCTCCCAGATAAGGCCTACAACACGGGAGCTAACTGAAAAGCTCTTACATAATTAAAAATTTTAATCAGCGAATCAGCGAAACGGTCGAATAACCGCAATGCGAATATTTATTTCAAGGCTCACCCACTGCATCTGATACTTGGTTTTCTTAAAAGGGAATAAATACCGGAGTGAATAATCTTAGGTATTCGGAAATAACTGGTAATGGGATAGGTCATTCCGAGACAGAAAGTGATTAATTGTGAACTCAAGAAATTATCTGGAATATAATAATCAAGGAATGTTATTAATCGCACTTTCTGAATGTATAGTTTGCTCCATAAAATACGGCATGACAAGTTTTAAGCTAAAATCCATAACTAATTCAATAAAAAAATCCTAGTTTATCACGTCTCTTGAAAGCCTTTTGAATGCTTGTCACACATTAAGAGACAATGGGGACTCTTTTCCACAACTAATAACATTTTCTTCGGTTTAAGCCTTACTAATAATTTGGTAATTACAATTTACCAATACTTCTCTATATTTAAAACCTCGAAAGAGTCAGTAATGATTAGATGTCATTAAAAAAGTTCCCCAGTTTATATCATCTCATCCCTTAAGTGACTTTCTACCCAGTAACCTGAGCCCGAGCCGTAAACTGCCTAATAAATGTCAGCAATTTGAGCGAATAATTTTGACAATTCTATTGTCAGCCGGCAGGCGGAAACCACATAAGGCACACCAGCCAGGAACCAGAAGCCTCCCCAATGCTTAAGGACCCAGGACCCGGGACCCAGGACCCACATCATCATCATCAAAGTGCTTGTCCTTGGGTGGTGGGCATAATTTTCGCGAAGTGAAAAAGAAAAGGCAAACGAAAATTGAAACATAAAAATGTCATTTGGCCCTGGGTGTATCTGTATATGTATGTGTGTGGGTTAAATACAGGGGACCTTATTTTTTTCGCTGTGTACCGCATAAAAGTACATTAAAATAATGCCTGTTTAGGTCACAGACAGCTGAGGCAGGGCCAAAGGCTCGTAGAGTCATTTATTTATGACAGCCACCTTATTCGGCTTCTCCCCTTGCCACGAATGCAAAATTTATGCTAAACAGTGGCTGGAGAGGAGGGTGGAATGAAAATCTCTAATTGCAGGGGAGGGGTCCTGGGACAATAGTCCTTCTGCCCGGCTGTTAATCAGTGCAAGTTTCGGAAAGTAATCAGCAAATATTTGCTCACTTTTTGTTGCGATTTTCTCAAGCATTTTCTTCATTTCCATAAAAGCTAGCCAGTCGGCGGCGGCTGCTCATTGTTTGCTTATTGTTTATTGTTTATGTATTTCCTGCCAAGAAATGGCAATTTGAAATCTATCAAAGCAGATCTGATTTGGCTGGGGCAACCTTCGACGGACTCGAGGGCCCTCGTAGCTGGTGGGTTGCCTTATAAGCCACTAACTACTTTCACAATTGTCTTGGCCAGATCGGAGTCGAAATGGTTAGCAGAAAAATGTGATTTTGATTCAGTTAAAGTTAACCTATCATTGGAATAGTATGGCATCCGCTTTGTGGAATAATTTCTCCCTGCTCGTCCTTGGCCTACTGGTAATCAGCAGCAGCAATTTACTCGCGGGAACTCTGGCCACGGACAGCGAAGTTGTGGAAGCCGTCATCGATGTAACTGGTCCCAATGAACCCTCAAAACTGAATATGGAATCGACGTGGGACTCCCAGGGAGCCATGCAGGTGCAGCCCTACAATATCCTGGAGGCCAACTGTCCCGAGGGCTATATCCTGGCCAACAAACATTGTCATAAACGTGTCTAGTGCGAAGAGTTGTGAATAAAATAACAGAAAACCTCAACAGTGGATTTTAGATGTTTAAATCTTAAAAAAAACCTACATTTTAAAGTTTTTTCTCTTAAATGTAAAACTCATTAAGGTGTTTTTTCCCGAGACCCACACTCTAATTGATTAGTTCCCTTACTTTCCACTTAGTTCAACCGCAGATAAATATTGCGTCTGGGTTTATTTTTAAGTGCCTTGAGTGAAGCCCATTTTTGCAGGAATCCCTACACCCACTATTTCCTCGCACATTCAGCTTCCTACATCTACTCCTTTTGGTCAACTATCAACCAATATGTTGTGGTCGTTTCCATGTCTAACCTGTCCTCCGCTTTAGCCCAACGTTACCCCAGGGACGAGGTGGTCCGGCTAACCGCATACATAATTTGCGACAGCAACCGCAAAATGTGGCTGGAGAGGAGTGGGAAGCAGATACAGGAGCAGGAGTTAGGGCAGCAGCAGGATCCCCATTCCTCGACTCATCTCCTGACTGATATGCAGCCCGGAGGCTGTCATTAGTTAGAGGTCCATTAACAAAAATGCAACCGAAGGCATCAACAGCGTTTGAGCCCAGAGCCCCAGACGGTCGGTCGAACGTCATTTACAGGTAGCAGCTGCATTGACAGGACCCCTAAAACAGAACGCTGCATGGGTCCGGAAGCTCCGGCCGTATTAATTCTCCACCGAGAGCCCATGAAATATGACCGCACTCGGGGGCCACTCTGCTCCGCTGAATGAGTTAATTAAGCGTCTCACGGCCAGAAACATAATTTCAGCTCATTTATCAGCGCGTTTCGTGCGGAGGTGTATGTAAATTTTGGCTTAGAGATGGGAAAATGTCAACGGTTATTCCCCCTTTTTGCATAAACATGGTGAAGTTTCTGTATAAACCGCACACAAAGGATAAATTCGGAAGGCATTGATGGTATCAACGGGAAAATGTAAACAATAAATATTGTTTCAAGAAATATATACAAACCTGAGAAAAACAGTCAATAAATGCTTGCAATGAATTACTTGTTATTTATTTTTTCTAAATTTTCATTTAGAATTTAAACCACACTCTTTATTTTCTGTGTACTCTCTTTATTGGCAAAAGGTCGGCGGGCTTACAGCTGCTGACCCAGGGGATTGTCCAGCCAAGGATAGACGACGGGGCACTTGTCGCAGACATTTAGGTACCGCTCCTCGCCGGTGGACAGCTTCTGGACATGACACTGGACGGCACGACAGTCTGCCTTCGGAAGCACAGGACAATCCTTAAAGGGTGCGCCCAGAACGGGTTTCTTTACGTACTCCAGCATCCGGGAAATGCCGGTGAAATAAACATCCGGATAGGTATTCAGATGGTTAATAAATCTGTGGAAATATAAAGAAAAAAATTTGCATACTTTTGGACATTTGAAATATACATACAGATCGCGGAAACATCTCTTCAACTAACTATACTTATTAAATTAACTTAATATTTGTTTAAATATTATAAATAAATATAAACTCACTTTTTGAAGGCCCCAAAATAATTGCGTCCTCGCGCGAACCAAGCAGCATGCAGATACATACCAAAGGGAGCTCGACTGCCCTGATAATGGCGGTTAAAGTTTTCCAGCATCCACTCAAACAGTGCATCCACCTTGTCCTCCGGCGGATAGACGCAGGCATCGATCATGGAACAGCTATAGCCCTCGGTGTCGGTCCACGTGACCATGGGATTAACCCACAGGCCAGGTATGGAGGCCTCCGGACAGGGACCGATCTGGCAGTCCTGCTTCGACTGATAGTCCAGGGTGTAGGGCCACATGGCTGGGTCCTTAAACTGCTGCGTTGGCCAGGAGCTGTCGTAGCTCAGGCCCAGACGACGTGCCGCCTCAAAGGTGTTATTTCCGGAAATCTGGAGGAAGGGCAGTCGCATGCCCTGAATACTCTTGGGATTAACCTTGGCGAAGGCCTCCAGCATCTTTAACTGGGCTCCGAACTCTCGCTCCACGGTGGCCACATCCGCTGAGCGCCAGTAATCGGTGCCATCGCCGTGAGTCACCGAATGCAGGGCGATCTCATGACCTGCTCTGTACAGGGCATTGACCCTCACATAATCTGTGTATTCGTGGGACAGGAAGAAGGTTCCGGCGGCCGAACAGCCATCCGGATTGATCAAACCCTCGAAGAGCAGCTCATACTGGGCATAGTTTACCGCATTTACTGCATCGTCAAAGGTTATGGTCACGAACTAAGGATGATTTTTGTAGAAATAAAGGAGTAAATATAAAGATATTTTCTTGGTTTTAGGCTCTGCTCCTTCTCACCTGGGGAATCTCGCTCTCCTTGCCCTGAAACTTAGACCTGGGCAGCACGGCATCCGAGCAACGGCAGTCGGGCAGCTTACAGTTGGCAGATCGGCAGGGTTCCGCCAAGGGCAGTACCTCCTCCTTCTGGGCCTGCTGCTTCTGCTTGTTTTTCACCTTCTTAGACTTGGTCTTGGCCGCCTCCCCAACAAGAGTGAGGGCCAAAATGAGGCCCAGAATTAGCAAAGTCGAGTACTTCATGCCTCCGGGCTAGCAGTCGCTCTTCTCATCCGGCAATGCTGCTTTCGGGGCCTCTTATAACCTTTGAATAACTTCGATATATCTTATCATTGGATGGAGTTTGCTTGTTCAACACGGGGTGTGTCTTCCCACCATACATTTTGGGTGGGTCTGGAGTGACCTTGGTACATTCGCAGGGCACTACTAACTTCGCCCGAGCGGAATAAAAAACAGACAGAACTTTCAATTATACGAGCAGACAAGAAACCACCAGCGATCGAAGTGGCAAAGTTTGCCTCATTAGCATAACCAAGGAGAACTTAACAGCTGAGATTTGCCGACTCCAAGTGGAAAACTTTTCACACTTGCCGGTGGAGAGATCGCAATCGATGGAGCCCCAAATTATGACAGTCACTCCTCCGCCGCCAGCAAATGCACTTCAAATCGTAAACAAGTGCTTCACAAAAACTTTCCACAAGGCAGGCAGCTCTCAAAAACAAAGCACAAGAACAACTCCAACCCCCGGCCAATCGGGGGAGCATCCAAATCCCGGCGAGCAAACAGCAAAAAGTCAATACAAGATTGAGGAAAAATCTGCAAGGACAAGGACTCCAGGGAATAAGGCAGAGCAACCAGCAGGCGGAAGACAGAAGAATTCATTCCGCTCCCCTATTATTCGGGGTGCACGCCCCGAATGCGATTTGGTCACGTTCTGGGGCGTTGCCATCCATGCTGGCTAGGAGCTGGTCCTGGAACGAAGAGCCAACCAACCGCCAGCTAGCCGAATAGAGCCTCGGAAAATCGGGCGGCAAAGTGGGTGGCACATCGCAGGACACTCGGCTCCTGTTGTAGGGGCAATGCAACATGTTTGAGTGAGTTCGATTCGCAGGACTTTGGCCTTACATCATCCTAGCCGTACGAGGGACCCTAATGAAGATTGAAGTAGCGCCGGCTGGCTTATTGAAAGTTGATTGACAGTCAGGTGAACAACATAAGAGGAGGCCACTCTATCATATTTTTCGCTCATTAGGAAGGCCACTGCACTTCAAAAAATGTAGGATAATTACTTCAAGAGAAGAACTTTAAGGGTTCTTATTTGAATGAAGAAGATTAGGAAGTTTATTTAAGATTACTTGAGAGATCAAGCTAATAAATACTCTCTCTCTAATCTCTTTAGTTAGTAAAAAATTTCAAGTAGCATATGAAAATTCAACTCAAATTATTATTATCTTTTATTTCCCACTAATCCATGGGGTAATCAAAATTATTCAATCCTTCCTGATTAAGGCACACCTTCCCCCTTTGCTCTGTGATTGGTTCACACTCCTTCATCTTTTTGCTCATTAGGAGGGAGCCACCACTATGCCGAGGCGTTGGAGTGTAAAATCAAAGGGAATCCTTGCCGCTCACGTGACTGAAACTGCTTTAATATGCAAATTTCGCAGGACTAATAAAAAAGGTTACTCATATGCGTGGAAGATTTCCCAAGTGCAGAGGAAATCTGCACGCACGTCTGAAGCTGAAAACTATTAAGGGGGCGCTCCGCCCAGGGAACTTTCTTCTACTTTTGAGGGTGTGAAGTCGGTGCGTGTGTTTGCCAATTTTCGCGATAATCACACAGCTAATTTGCATAGCACTGAGACCAGCAAATCTAGGCTAATCAAATCAAATCAGCCAAACGAACAAACTCAATTTGCGGTGAGGGTATTTATGGGAGCATATTCATGCCACTATGTAAATATACTTGTACTTGAATTATTTTGAATACACTTTGTTAGGGGTGTTTCAGTTAGTTATCAGTTTGGCTTGTGATTTTAAATTGAATTTTTCTTGAAAATTTTTACTATATCAGTTAATTTGTTTATGTATCAAGGGAGCTATAACTAGGGATATCGAAAAGGAAATATCGAGTTAATACATCGATCAAAATATCGATTTCAATATAATATATAACATATCGAAAGATAATTATCGAAAATGTCGCATTTAAAATGAAAATATCTCTACTAATGGTAAATTGTTTTGTATTTAATAATAATAAATAAATAGTTATACCTGAAACATATTTAAAAAATATAAAAATAATATTTTTATTATTTACCTTTTTAATATATAACTATGCAGTAATGAGATCTTGATCTCTTTTCCCTTCCCCAGAAACCACCATGCTTCTTTTTTCATAAAAAATATTGAACTTTAAGACTCATTAATATAATAATAAATCAGGAATCATATAACAACAATACCCATTTATTAATGTAATTTAATATATCAGTACAGCTTTATATTCATATAACATTATTCCGAAAGAGCATCCACCTTTCCACATAGTCCTTCCCTCTTTCATCCCCGTCTCCTGCTTCCCTTGAGATCTCCTGCCTTATGATAGGCCTCAAGAAGTCCCTTTCATCCATCTGTTATTGCGTTGATGGGACTATGCAAATCTCGGCTTACCGACATGGCCTGGCATTACATTTCAAATTATTTTCGGCGCAGCAGAGATAACAATCCGAGGAAAGCAAACAAAATTCCAAAAAAAAAAGAAAAAACAAAAAAAAATAGTAGGCAAAATTCCAAATTACAAGCAAAGGATGACGCAGAGGATGCTAGGAGGAGTACAAGGGGCAGTGGCCAGGAGAGATCTGCCGGAGAACTGGGATGCGGAGAGGACGTCACGGTTTTTCGCAGATTTGCAGGAGAATGAGGTGCGGACAATGCATTATCTGGGCCTGGCCTACTTGGTCCTCTCCCGGCGACCAAGGCTCCAGCTGAAGGTGCCACTCGCCACCATGAACTATGTTGAGGGCGGGTCCGCATCCGGGATCCGTGTAGGCTTTGCCCTTCAGTTGGTCTTCACCTGTCCGGCAAGATATCCGCTACAGGTGCCGGAGGTGGAGATCGTCGAGAAGCGTAATGTCAGCGAGTCCTTGGAGGAGGCGCTGCGCGTGGAGATTGCCCAGACCCTGGAGCAGCACCTGGGCCTCCAGATGATGGTGCCAGTGATCACGCGGCTGCAAATGATAATGAACAGCGAGATAGGAAGGTTTCCTCGTGTTCCTCCACGTGCGGCGAATGTGTAATAAAGTATAGCCTTCGTTTAGTTTGTGTTACTTTTGTTTTTAAACTATTCTACTACTGTAGCTTGAATTTTGGTGTGAAAAAAGTCCTTCCTTACTCGTACCTTTTTAGAAACCATTTTCCACCAAGTCTTCATTGTGAATTTACTATTTTTTTCACTCCTTAAATTCCAGAAATACGTGACTTTTGGCCTTGACAGACGGCCACTTGGTGCTCCAGGATCTGAAGTGGGCGAGCGTTAACACGTGCAGGACGACGCATTAATTGGCGACTCCTGCGCTCAACTTATCTGTGTCTATCCAGGACCCTTTTTGGCTTTGCATCCTCACATTTCCTTCCTGTGCCAAATGAAATTTGCAGCGCCAAAAAGGATGAAACCAACAAGAAGGAAGAAAAAAAGGAAAGCCAAATGCAACACATGGAGCTAGTCAGACTCCTTGGGGCGTTTCCTGTTGATCCTTGAGCGCATAAGAACGTCCTGCCGTCATGCCGGATGTCTCTGGGTAATTTAGATAGCTGCAGTTCCCGCTGCTGTGCCGCTCAAAGTTGCATAATGTCACTTCCAAAGTGTCGCAGGGCAGAAAGGACACCGCCAGGCGTACTCCACCCAGGCAGGACATGCAGACATCTTAAAGCTGCGATAAGCTGGCAAACGATTTTTATGAAATTCCTAAGACTGCCAGTGCTGCTCGTGTGTTTGCTTACGACTTTTATTCTTTCCCCCTATTATTTTTTGTGTGTGTTTTTGGCTTTTAGTCAGCATCCTTTTTTTAATGTGACGACCGACTCAGTGTATGCCCGAAGGATTTGTGCGTAATGAAAAACTGTCACATCAAAGGATGGGCCTAAGCCATTCCTCGCAGGTACGAGTGCAAGTATGTGTGGAGAAATTGAAAATCGCTAGCCGGAGCGGAACCCAAGAAGCATTAAAATGGCAAATTTGCGACCAGGACTCCGGCCAGGACATTTATGGCCGACAGACGGCGACGACAAGGACATAAAAACGGCGGCGACGCCTGCATGATAAGCGCATAAATCAGTCAACGTTACGTATACCTTTTCCAGCAAGGCCAAAAGCTAAGCCCAAGACTTAGGACTCTAATATAATTTTTGCTTTAAGAAAAAAGCTACTTGAGTAACTCCTTGCAGGTTAATTGTGGATTCAAATGGAAGAAGGATATCTATGAATCTTTAAGAAACCCATACAAATCTTCTCCTGCAACTCTAATTTGTTGTAGAAGAAATCCTATACCGGCAAATCAGGATTTCTTATTCCAAAGTATTATATGCGCCCATAACCGAAACGCCAACGGAATGCCTTATATGCCTTATACAAGAAAACAGCAACGAAGGACGAAGGACGACACAGAGAGCTCATTGCTTATGCTCGAACACGAAGCAAATTCAAATTACAAATTATGTTTTCGTCATTGACCCGAGAGCTTTACGAGGAATTCCGCCTCTGTCTCCGCCTCGTTCTTGGCCTGCATCCCCATTCCCGGTAATCCAATGGTCAATGTCCGCGCGGTGTCAACTATTTAGTTTCCGGTTTTAACTTGCGCCATAAACCGGGCGTTATGTGTCCGCTTTTATGGCTTCTAGCGGCGTCCCGGCTTCATTGTTTCTTAATAATCCTGGCGAGCGTCTTCGGAGTGCACACGTTCTCGCATTAAGGATGTTTATGGGCCCAGACACTGTTTCTACAGGGAGACCCACTCGCTCTTCTGCTGCTATCGAGGGGTGGTAGCTCCTCATCCTGCTTCCTCCTAGCTGCATGCCACACATACTTCCGCTGCGCTGCAGTCATAAATGCGCTTAATTGGCAATTTTTGTGTAAGCGTGTTGAAATTTTTATACCCCGCCCGGACTCGACCGAAAGTTGCAGTCATAAATAGGAAATATGTTCCGTGTTGCCGTGAAGTGCCAGTCTCTCGGCTCGCAGCTCCCAGTCCCCCGCTTTTATGGGTCATGCATGAATTTGCTGGGATTTATATGCGGGCTACATGACCTGGATTCTTATGGCCATGCAACCGGAGCCATTCCGTTGGCTAATCAAAAGATATTTCGGCAGCCGCAATAAATGAATTTGGCTCGACCGCAAATGGACATTATCATTTTTATGCCTTGGAACAATTTATATAACATTTTATTCACAAAGATTTTTGGGACCAGACCAGGAAGTAACCCTAGCAAAGGTTGGTTTTGGAAGGTGGGGAAATTAAGTGAAAGGAGAATCGAATTCTGTGAGCTTGAGAAATTCGAAGAAGTCAGAAATCTTTTAGAGTTTCCGGCGTTTCAGAGACCAAAATGCAACCAACCCAAGGATCTGATTGTGGTTGTCCTTACCTTCCATTGAAATCCAAGATTGAAAGAGTTACAAACTTTGGTATCTAGTTACGATCCTCTGAGAGAGAATTTAAACACCCATTAAAAGAAACAAACACAAAATGTATGTACACAAACTTACTCTCATAATAGAAAATTCAAACGATTTACAGAGAAAACCTTAAGATTATGAACACTCTTTACTAAAAGTGAAAAGGTTACAGCTTAATATCCTTAAATTTCACTATAATTAGTATACTGTTTTGAATAACCATAACTTTTGTGATCTCTGTATCTCCAAAAATTTATTATAAACTCTCAACCAAATTTAAAAAAATGATTGCTTTCAACAGGTTTTACTCAACTTGGAATATTGATTGTTGACTTTAGCTACGAATAAATCAAACCACCCATTCTCTTGGTCCCTAGACCCCTTTATTTGCTATCCATGGAAAGGACTCTCGGTTCATCGAGGATTCGTAGGCTGGTGGTGCAAATTGAAGCTGTCTCGGCTGTTCGTGTGTCCCCCGGAGTCGAGGTTAAGGCACGCACCAAGTTAAGACCGTATACCCCCATTCCCCTCGTCGACTGGTGGATTCTATTAAAATTGCCTGTCATTGCCGTTGCCGGCATCGTTATTGTCCGCTATGTGGATCCACGGGATCTGCTGCCTGCTCCTGGAGGCAGGCCCAGGCCCATCCTCTTTTCGGGATGGCAGACATGCTTAGTCCCTTGGACGACGCTGGCGACGTTGTCTTCTGGCAGGACCATTATTCTTCAACAACGTGCATTATATTATCCTTTGGCTGAAGGCATTTGTATGCTGGTCCCGGGCGCGAATTGCATTTGGGATCGGGTGGTTTCGGCTGCTTCCTGGACGCTTTCCGGGCCCCCAACTAACTCCATGGCCTTTCAGCTGTCGTCAGTGCAATTTGTATTGCCGCCCGTCGGTGGCGTCTGTAACTTGTTTTTTATTGGTTTTCTCGTTTTAAATTTCAATTTGGAGCCCTGTAAGCAAGATGTATGTACAAGGCCTGCCGGAAAGCCAGGAATTTGGTGCTGCAGAGCATATGTTGACAGTGTCAGGTGCGCCAGCAACGATGGGCGATTTATTTGCGTCAACCCGGCCAGGTTGACGCTTTCAAGGTGCTGTGACTTGTTGTCCCGACTGCTAACTGAACTGTCACTCAGCTCTTGGCTTTTACTTCTTTCAATTACACGCAGAGAAAAATGGCAACAAAATAATCTATTTAAAAAGGAAAGCATGACCAGTAGCTGCTTTAATTAGACTCTGCCTTGAATTCTCTTTCTAATTTTTGTAAAGACCAAACAATCGTTGGAAGTAAACTAAACATTTCTCTGCATTTTTCCAGCGCAAGGTTATTATGCCATTAGGGGTTACGGTGCTGGCTCCCATTTTACACCGCATTTAACCCAAAAAACATGCCACTTAACAGAGAGCATTTATCAATTTGGGAGTGTGGGTGTGAGTGGTGAGTGTGAAAGTGTTTCCCCCGTAGCCCTACGTGATTTTCCGCCCCCGCATTATCAGGCATCAAGGAGAGCAACCTCATCCTTGAACCCTCATGACGCTGCACTCTCTGGGCGATTATCGAGCGCTTCCGTTTCCGTTTGCTCGTTGTGCGGCTTTGGGCCATGCCCCGAAAATTACATGCCTTTGTTTTTTATCTAATGCCATACGGCATTATGCCTAACCCGGGGTCTTAAGGGTCTCGGTCTCGCATTCCTCCTCCCCCTCTGCCAGGCGGAACGTGTCCTGGGACTCTCGCAGGATTCAGATGCGCAATTCGATCTTTTATCAGTTGTCATCGTCGGCAAATTCACACATTCGCATGGGCATTTGTCGCTCTGCTTGATTTGTTCCACCGTAACGGGGACAGTGGAACAAGATGAGCAGCTTTTTGGTGAAAAATAGATTGTCCCAAATAAATATTTTATTTATTTAGTAAAAACTAAACAGTAAAATGAGTATGAAGCTTGCAATTGTCGTAGGGTCTTACTTAACATTTAAGGTTTTACTTGATGTAGAGCTCCGACATACAAAATAAAGGCACATCTATGCTCAGTTTTGAAAGATCCACAGAGTAACTTATAAGTATAGTTGCTTTCTTGTTAATCTATAAACTGATTAATAATTATGCCCAAAACGCGTGTTGGTCAAAGCCAGGGTTATCAGTGCGTAGGTCGCCTTTGGTCATCTCTATCACTATCAAATGCCTAGCCACCGGCTTAAATTTGGCTGTTTTTCGAGCTTTTTACTCAGTTACTCGATGAAGATGGAGGCAATTACTCGTGTTATATGTCTGCTATTGCTACTCGGAATTGCGGCAGCCCACAAACCCAGTCCCGATGAGGTGGCCCTGAACGAAATACTTCAACGCATGGACAACACCGCCAATCCCTGCGACGATTTCCAAAAATTCTCCAGCGGAAATATGAGTTTCGAACCTGAGACCTACAATTTCAATGGTTTAGTCAAACGGAAAACCAATGACAGAATGCAGAAGGTGTTTGATCGACTCAAATATAGAGTTCTGAAGGACCCATCCAGTTTGGAGGAGAAGGTGTGGCTTTTCTACAATACCTGCCTCACAGCTCCAAAGTTCACGCACTCGTGGAAGCACTACATCGGATTGGTGCCTCCAGGAAGGGGCCTCACCTGGCCACATCTTACACCCCCCGGCAGCCTGTGGCCCGAGGGGAATTTCAAGTGGCTGGAGACTCTGGCTCGGCTGCGACGCTTCGGACTGAACACGCTGCTTATCGAAATGAAGGTACAGTTAAGCGGGGACGACAGCGGCGAGTTCAAGGTGCTCATTGGAAAACAGAATATCCACACAATCGAAACGGAAAAGCAAACCAAGGACCTGCTCATCACGCTTGGGGTGTCCCGGAAGAGAGCTGGAATTCTGGCCCGCGACATTACGGTCCTCGAGAGAAATATAAATGAACTGGCGGAGCTTAATGATTACCGAACCAACTTGACCATAGAAGAGTTCGAGGTAAGAACGGGCTTATCCCTGGGCAACTACCTTAGCATCGCTTTCGGCAGCTCTTTCGACTCCAGTTTCGTGGTTGAGACATCTGAAATGGCATATCTAGAGCGACTGCAGGATCTAATGGATAAATTCGAAAGTGAAACCGTGGCTAGTTACCTGATGGTAAGCTTCGTTCGGTATCTGAGAAGCCTGGATGGCAGCGGTGCAGAGGGCGATCCCCGAAAGTGTGCCGCGGCTGTGGCCTTTAACATGGAAACCGCAAGTGAGCTGCTCTACAAGGACTTCTACTTCAGGCTGGGAAAGCTTCAGCGGTATAATGACGAGGTCCAGCGGCTATTCGACCTCATCCTGGGCCAACTGAAGAGCAACCGCTTGAACCTAACGTCCGAAGTAGCGCAGTTGACTGTGGGAAAGCTACCGAATATTCAGAATCAGCGACGCTTTGTCAACGACTTCTACTGGAACCTCAACCTGGAATCTAGTGAGCTGGACTTTGCTGTGATGCACTTGAAGGTATTGGAGCACCGCAATCGAAAGGTCTTGGAGCAACTGGATGGACAGGTGCCCAAGGACAGGGAATTTTTACTGCTTTCCAACGATAAATATGCCAATGGCGACTTGGAACCCTTGGTGTTTAAGAACACCGTTATCCTTCCCATTGACATCCTACAGGAGTCCTTCTTTACGCCCGAAATGCACGATGTCTTCAAGGTGAGTCTGCTGGGCTTTATCCTGACCCGCCAGATTCTGAAGAGCTTTGTGCCCCACGAACTGTTAGTCAAGGGATCGATGATGAGCTCCTTTGAACCAAAGCTGAATCACGACGATCCTATCGCCTGGCTCAATAAAACAGACTTGCATTCGACCGAGGATCGTGAGCTCGATGTGATGGCCCTTAAAACTGTCTACAATTTGTACTTTAGAGACGACTCCAAGTTCAGCCAGGAACAGCCGAGCTTCACCAAGTTGCCGTTAAGTCAGCTGTTCCTTCTGAACTTTGCCCAAGTTTACTCAGGAGAGGCGGAGCCTAGAGACACCAGGAGGCTCAATCAGGTGGTGAAAAATCTGCAATCTTTTGGTAAGGCCTTCAACTGCCCCACTGAATCCGTCAGTAAAGAGTGAAATGTGGTAGGATATTTAATTTTTTGCAAAAAATATATTAATTAACATAAAGTAAATAATACCATGAACCTGTACTTTTATTAAAGTTAAACAATATTAAAGAACTCTTTAGTACTCTTTTTGAGGAAACTCATTTTGCTCTACCTTTTGTGCGTTCTCGCCCCACTGTCCCTCCAACTCTGGTCCGGGGGGAGCACATTGTTTCACGTGCCATTTCGCAGCTGGAAATTTGAACTTTTTCAAGCACCCGAAGCAAAAGAACTAAACGAATTCGCAAATCCAGAGACGAGGCGGCAAATGTCGGACGGATGGATGAAGATGTGTGCTGGATGCGTGCCTAAGTGTTGTGTTGCATTTACATGGCTAGATAAACCCCTGGCAGATATCGGGATGTATATATTGGGCTGGGTGGGAGGAGCAACTGTCGCTGGGGCGTGAATTGGTTACGCACACACAAGTCCAATGGAGCAGCAGGATCTGGGCTCGTGTGTGGGGCATATTAAGCAAAAATTAGCAACAGTTGTGGCCCCAACAGTTGCCCCATTTCCACCTCCATTTTCCGAATATGTCAAGTTAATTTAATGTAGCATGAAGGGGAGGATGGGTTGGAGTTGGAGGATGCCATATCTCCCCGGTGCCATCTGTTCCTCCATCATCATGTGTTGCCCGCCTACGTGCAATAATTTGTGCAATTACTTGGCAAATTTGCTGCTGTCCTCCGGCTCCACCCTGCTCCAGCAACGTGTCCCAAAAAAAAAGAAAGAGAAATTCAAATAAATTATGCCCCTGGCATTCTACAATTCTATTGCCAAAAAATTCTTCCTTTTCTTCGCTTTTTCTTGCGTTCGAAATTATGCATTTAGTTTAAAAAACATGTGGAGCATGTTGAACCAACTACGTGAGGGGCATAGACAAAAGAAGAGCCGAAGAGCCAATGGCCCAGAAATATTGAAATATATTTACTCAGAGCGTAAAGACTTGGGAGAGCAAATTTAGGAAAATTTTGTAATTTTCCAGCGTGTTTTTTTGGGGGCTCATAAAAATGTCAAATCGTTTGCATACACGTCACTTTTGTGACAACTACTTGACAGACATTAATACACTTAAGCTGCCTGGTAAGAACACGGGCATTATCCTTTAGCCTCATATCCTTGGCGCCCCCCTGGAACATCCTTTATCCCCCGAGCAAACGACAAGCGGATGCGATGGCGGCATGCCAACATAAATGACATAATATAATAAACCAACAGCCAGAGCAGAGCCAGCGAGTGAGCACATAGACTTGTATGAAAAGTACCAACAAAAATTTGCTTAGACAGCAACTCACATGGCATCCTCCCTGAATATCCTTGGGATGTCAAGGGAGTCAGTCTCTCTCCCATTTTATTTTTTATATATATTTTTTTTCGCCCTCTTAACAAATTGCTTTTGTGCAAATTTTGTCACATCCCCGGCACACACCCACGGAAATGCATATAGGGCCAGATGGTACACATCCTTAGTCCCTCCCCTCGTGTCCTGTTTAACTTCATTAGTGCAGTTTTCGGTTTTATCTCTATATTTTTACTGGCTCTGGAGGAGCCTTTCTGCAAGGCTTATTTTTCCTTAACGAATTTGATTTTTGTTACAATCACTTGACCGGATAATCAGGACATCTAATGGGGGAAATCAGTTTTTGATTCAAATCGAAGACTGGGTCACACAGTGGGCCTTCCATCAGGGAAATTGGAGCTTATATTGGGCGAATAATACCTTTCAAGAGGACAACTTTTAGGCTGGTTTTAAGGAAATATAAGGCATATTTAAGGGGGTAAAATAAATAAATATTGTTATGAATTAAGATAATAGTTAATAAATATTATAAATGTTTTTTAATAGAGTAAATGACTCAATATTCCGAAAATAAAATATTAAAAAATTGGTAATATAAACATTTAAAAGAATTAAAATTTTAAAAGTGTTTTATTAAGTCAGCCACCCAATTTAGAATTACTAAATATTTATTCTTAAAATGTCAACAGATAAATTAGCATCAATTTATTGTAAAGAAAACTTTACCAGACTTAAAAATATAAAATACTTCAGCAATACTCCCAATATTTATTTTTTATTAACTATTTATAGACTCCCCTCAAATATGAAATTTCGCACATTTTAAAAATTTGCAAACTGCTTTTTAACACACTCCCAAAAAAACCTCGTCAGCTTGTCAAGCTCTTCATATCCACATCTTTTTCTCGGACACGGTTCATTAGATTTCCTTAGACCGTGACTTGGCTTCTGGTTGGAAGGCTTCCTGCATCGGGGCCGTCATAAATTCTAAATAAATAGATTTGTCATAAATTTTTCGGTGGCTGCCGCAAGCAAAGCACACACAGTGTATGCCCCATGTGCTTTGGCTGGCGAAAAAGATGAAAAGCTATTTACATTCTGCTGCAAGGACAACGGAGACAAGACAAGACTGGGATTGGCCACTGCAAAGGCAATTTATCATAAATATTTGTCAAGCGACTGCAGCAAGCTTATTTTACGCTCGGACAAACACCGGGGAAACTACACACTAGTTCAAGACTACGAAATAACTTAGCTTTATTCTTAGATATCTACAATCTAGATGGGATGGGTTGGGTTGGGTGGGGTGGGGTGTGGTCACCAGGAACAGGAGGAGGTTATGGTGGCGGTATCTTCTACAAGTACTGCCATATCAGCCAAATGGAGATCACCACTCCAATGACCAGATCCATGGGCAGACTAAAGGTATTCCTGCGGGCGTGCTCGTTCCTCGCGATCTCAATGATCTTGTGGGTGGCCTGGAGCCACTGCTTCACCACCGCTGCCTCGGAGGCCACAAAGGAGAACTCCTCCCGCTTGCCGCTGGAAGCACTGCTAGAGCTGCTACTGCTGCCTCCCTCCTGCTGCTTCACTAGCAGATTGATGGTCTTATTGGCATTGGAGGTGGCCAGCTCTAAGGGTCGCTGTAGCTCCACATTCTCCCAGAGGTAGTGCTGCCGGAAGGCCAGCCTTTTCTTACGGATTTCGGTGCAGACCAGGCTGCGATCGAAGAGAAAGATCTTGGCGCGATACTTTTTGCGGGTAGGAAAGTGATGGGCATCGAACTCTGTGGAGCGGCGGAAGTTACCCAACTGCAGGAGGTCCAGCTGGGGAAAATATTTAATAATATTATTTGAAAAGCTTTGTAACTAAAGAGGTCACTTCTCACCTCATTGAGCTCCTCTATATTGGGTATCTCCTCGGCCTGGTTGACCACATCTAGAGCGCGTCTCATGCGCGTCTCTAGCTTGCAAACCGCACTTAGCACAGGCTTGCAGCTAATTCCACTCTTGTAGAATTCCTGAAAATATTAAAAAACTTTAATTAATAATTTACTAAATAATTTAAATGAGATCCCATACTTACCGATATAAATTGCTGCAGGAGCAACGGATATCTGGTCAGTCTTTGGATGGGCTGAACTAGGAAGCTGTCGATGCCCAGCTTGTCTTTTATTGAAGTTTGATAGGTCTAAAGAATACATAACTTTAATAAAATTGTTATCTTTAGAAGAGTTTCTTAATTATATTAACCTGCAACCATTCCCGATGATCCTGTCGCAGCTGCATAGAGGATTTCTTGCCCATGGTGAAGCTGACATAGCAATAGAAGCGATTTTTCTAAGGGAACAAAAGTAAATAAGACTTTATATTAGATGATAAATATAAAAGCTGCACTTTAGATGTTTTTAACTTAATTAAAGCCCCAGCCAGACACATCATCACAACGAACCCCAACTCAAGCCAAACAAGGTCTTAACCCATCTTAACCCCAGCCAAACTTGGCCAACCTTTGTGTCTAAGCCATGTGCTTCCATCTCATACGAGTTTCGTTCACATTTCGCACTTCGCTGAGATATATATATATGATATATACATCGTGCTAGACAAACACATGGGTGTACAGGCCTGCTGGCGAAATCATAATTTCTTAAGCATTTAAGTCACGTAACACCGAGTTCGAGCTCAGAGGAAACCCTGACAGAGCCAGAGCGAAAATTTGAAATTCCTGTCGCTATCCGGGGGGCCAGTGCCAATGCAAATGTTTTCCCAAAAAACCCCGAAACTCCGAAACTAGTGCAAACTGCAAAGAAAATTGCTTGTCTAACGATTTCCTTTCCATTTTAATTTCATTAGCTACGCCTGGGTGCGGAATCAGAACTCGAAGTTCTGCATTTAGATGATATGATAATCATCTCTCTGCGGGCTCAGCCATAATAATATCTCCCCCATTCCAGCCCGGGGCCCCCGATGTTTTGCATGTCTAATGCGATTTGGACGGACAAATGACTGCGTTAAACAATTGTCGTAGTCTGGCGGCCAAAGGTGACAATCTATTTTTGCATCTTGCGAAATTTTGCTCGGTGGGCGGATATTTTATTAGCATGAAATTCCTATCCGCAATGCATTCCCCTTAATTTAGCAATTTGGTGTCAGTATTTGGGGAATTTAAAATTATATAGCAAGTCTATTTCAAGTTTACACTCTGTCCTATAAATCAAGCCAAAATCTCAGCCAGTTTAATGGGCGGAGAGGTTTTTGATGGGTTTTAATTTCAAAATAATGGCCTTTATACAAGCTTTTTTTTCTATTCGGACGCTTAAATGATTATCTAGGAAAAATACTAAAACAATGATCAATTGGTTTTAAATACAAATTAATTTGTTTTAAAAACAAAAGCTTCACATAAATTAGATTTACTATATAAATCTATAAAGAATAATAACTAATTCAAAGGCCAGAAAAAACCCAATAAATTATTTAAAAGTGCTCTCATTTTTTCTGCGTTCGTAAACAATTCACAGCCCCTTCAAAATCATCTGCGTTTGTTTATTTTATGGCTAAACATCAACGATTGTGATCGCCACCAAATCGATTGCCTCAAATCTGAGAAATCCCCGACCCCTTGGCCATTTGAAACCTAAAACTTTTAATTGATTTTGCGCCTGAGAAATCGAAATAGAATCGACACGCTTGTCACTTGCCTGTTCTTGGCCATTTAAAGCCGATAAATAAATGAAGGCGACTCTATTTATGGCCCGTTCTTCTGGCATTTGTTGGATGCGAGATCTCCGGCTGGACAAGGCCTGACATTAATCAAAACTAGGCCTCTTCAGCCGCAAAACATCAATATTCGTGTGTCAAAACTAATCGATTTGGCAATTTAACTTGTGAAAAGCCTCCATTAGCAGGCGACGAGTTTGAGGGTAAATTCATAACATGGTTTTGTATATTGCCTGTGCTAGCGTCTATTGTTTATACAACATGTTGCCAAAATAAGCAAAAAAAACTTGGGAAAATATGTATAAACAAATCTTTTTTGAACATTTTTATGATATATATTTAGCCAAATTATCGCTTTAGCTCTGTGCTCCTGTGAGTCAGGAAACAAGAAATAATGCCAAGTGGTTGCCAGAGAGGAGAGATACAAAATATAAAGAAATGAAAACAGCATAAATCAGATCTCTGGGGGCTTAGCATGTCTGTCGAGCATTAAGATGCCAAATCCTCGGGGAGCTCAACAGGAATGTTACCTGCTTTGGAAACGGTTCTGCAGTCTGCCTGCTGAACTGTACAGAAAGTTAAACCTTATCTGCTGTGGGCACTTCTGGGAACTGCAGAATGACATAAGAGAATTCCACACAAACCCACTTCTCCTCCTCCGGCAATTTCAATTTAAATTGATCATTTGCGTTTGTCAACACTCGGCCCGACATGGCCACATGGCCGCCGCGCAGAGAGTCCGAAAAATCATTCCCAAACAGAGCACTTTAACGAGATCCCCGGCAGTGTAATTCATGTTGATTTGTTGGGGATTTCTATAGCTAAAAAATATATATCTAAATGTGCGACTCTCCCAGCCACAGAGATGACGTCAGCTGCCGGCAAATGAAGCCCAAGCCCAGACATAAAAAAGTCTGTTTGCTTTAGCAATTTCTAACCGATTTTCGTAACTGAGTGCCAGCTCTCTGTGTCGTTGTTGTTCTTTATAATTATTGTGTTCTGGTGATTATTTCAATCTTATCAGCTGGGGACTTCACTAAGCCCCCCATTCGTCATCCGCTGCTAAATACAATACGTACATATATCTTTTTATTTTTTGGCGTTTTCATTAACTTAATTTATACGAAGCACGCCGCGGCATATGAATGAACCTGCTGACACACAATTCTTGTCCGAGGTGTGAGCAGAGAAATATATTACACAGAATTAAATATAATAAAAATAATTCATTTATTTTCAAGCCCAATTGGAATTCCTAAGCAGTTTGCATAACCCACATGGCTTCATTTGCATTTATACACGAGTCTCTCGGACTAAAAATAATATTTTTAAAATATCCAACAAAATTTAACAATGCTTGACAAAGCAAAAAGGTAATGAAGAAACGAGAAACCGTCACTCATCTTAAAAGCAGCAATAGCAGGTGTCAAGTGAGCACAAAAAATGCAAAATAATAAAAAACAAAACTTTTATCAACTCTGCTTTGGGTAAATATTTGAGGTTGAATTTAGCTTGGAGTGCCTACGGAAGAACACAAAAGACTGGTGATCGATGGGATGTCGGAACCTGTCTAACGGCTACTTGGCTAAATGACACGAGTTTCGGCTAATGGACCCAACCCACACAGTCTCCCCTGCGTTTCTCTCTAATTTACTCACCTCAAAGTGTACGGCAAACTCATCGAAGAGACCCTTGAGATCCCGCTGATTGCGCAGCATCAGCGGCAGAATCTCCTGTTCGTGGAGCTCCAGTATCTCCTCCACATTTCCCAGCAGTAGCCTCTGCTTTGCCTCGCCACTCAGTCCCTCCGGCACATCCTCCACGTCCTTCAGCTTGCCATAGTTCAGCATTCCCTTCTTCAGATTGTTTACATAGTTCACCTCCGTCTGGATGAGCTCATCAATTATGAAGCTGATCTTCTTGGAGGCATAGATCTCGGTCTGGTCGCACGGAAACAGATTCTCCAGTGACAGTGTATCCTCATCCTCGTGGCTAGGTATTAATTGTTAATTATGGTTAACTCAATTACCAATAATCCGCTAACAAGAGTGAGTGTTGGGTACTTACTACTCATCGCCCAGGGTCTCGAAGCTGAGCGTGTGCGAGGGGAAAGTGTGGAAACCATTGTGTGAGTTTCGGTATGTCGGAGATGGGTTCGACGCACAGGTGCTGCTGATGGAACTCAATGAGATGCCGCTGCAAACAAATGTAACAGAAACACAAGAACAACAAGCCATGAGAATAATGGGGGGACTTGCAAAAAATGAAGCAAACAAATTACAAAACATTAAATAACATTTCGATAAGGACAGCAAGCATTGAATCAAATCCAAATTATGACTTAAATAGCCCCTTACCATCACCACTTCCTCTATAAAAATAAACAAGATAACAAGTGCTATCTTTTAATAACTTCCTTCCGCTGCTGGCAAAAATAAAAATCCTTTCTTATCTAATATCTGTCCGCCAAATTAACATGTTTATAATGCATGTCGTGAACTCGATCACCAATTACCCTGAAAAGCCTTAAAAATAAAACATTCCTGGCGTATACGCTATCTTATCACGTATACGCACAGTTGACTGTAAATCTAAACTATGCCAAAGGTCGGACATGCCATTAATGGACATTTATACGATGATTAAAACAATGCACAGCTGTCAGATGGTCGTAGAATCGTGTTGTGAAAACAAAGGGTTAAGCCTTACCTATCGGTATCCAGCAGACTGGCTTGCTTCTCCAGCAGCTTGCCATTGGAGTTCGTTGGAGACTTTGGTGGCGAGGTGGCTATCGGTGAGACGGGTGACTCCAGTATCGGACATTCTTTCGCGGGTGCCTTGTCAACCACATCGGTCGACTTGGCATTATCGGCTTTATCGTTGAGTATATGCAAATAGACGTTGAGCACTTGCACCAGGAATATCACCAGAAATGTCAGCGCCACGGAAATCACATCAAACCAATTTAACGTGACCAGCGTCAACTCCATTATCGCTGATTTCTATTTTCACAGCTTTTTCTATATAGATTTTTAGGCACTTAACATAACCGTCGACGAATTCGACGCATATCGATGGCAGTGGCTTTTTTATTATACAGAGATATGGCCAGCACACGCGATTCCGTTACCGATCTTCTGCGAATCAAATGCGAAACTCGACTGAGCGGATATTAACGCTGAGCATTCGCAAAGCGTAAAAAGCTTTTAAAGCTCCCACAAAACGATCGCTTGCTCTTTCTTGGGGGTTTCTCTTATTTAGTTTAAAACAAAACAAAAAAGCTTAGCTGACCACGCGCCGAACACTTTGTTTGTAAACATGGAAAAACGATCTGAAACTGTGAAAATCATTTCAATGTCTGGCATTGGAATAGAATTCATCGGAGCCTGTAACACTTTTGCTTTCATCGTGGCTTTATGGCCGGGGCAATAATAGCATATAATCGTTTATGATTCCATATTTGCATATCAATTAAGGGGCTTTTGGCTAATGGCCGGGCAATAACTGTAATTATAGCCACTACCTATAGTCGTGGACATTGATTTTGCCTTGAACTTTGGTGTATTTTTTGTGTGGTTTTTGTGGAATGCAAACTGGTTGGATTTGCTTAGACCTGGCATGTTTTGCCACACTCTAAATAGAGTTATAAATCAGAAACCAAATAGTTTTTAGACAGTTAGAGGTGGTAAAGATTTTATAAGCTATGAAATTATATAGAAAGTATGCATTTTCGTACTTTTTTTTCTCGAATTGCGGGATATTTTGTAAAGATTTTCATAGTAAAATTTAAAATTAATAAAAACACCCAACAATTATAAATTAATAAAACACCCATTTTGTTTTCTTTCATTTCTATTTTTAAATTAATTAGATTATGCGCAATTCGATGATATTGTGGATATTTGTGGATATATTTTAATTAATTAATTAATTTGTGATCGAAAATCTCTAATTTCTAAAAATGTAACTAACGTAAATTATCTGTATTTAAATTAATTATACTTAAAAATATACCTTGCTCAATATTTTCTATATTATCGAATATTGTATATCAAACATTCTCGATTTTTCTGCCATGTAACCCTATAATATAACATACATTTTTTTTGTATTTCCGTTTTATATAACGTTTAGTAATTGTTTCGAGTTTTTGTGGTGATGATCTCATAGAGATCACCGGAAAACCAGCAATTGTCATTTGCATCTTGCGAATTTCACATGTTAAATTGCTCACATTTTATTGGCTTTATTATTTATACAATTGATTTTTTAGACAATCGGTCGGAGGAACGTATAATTGAAATCAAAAGAATTCCCTGATGAGGCAACAAAGAACAGCGGGAATTATAAATAAACATCGAGCACTTCTGGGCGCTATTGATGAGCAGCAAGCAGGCAAACAATAATAATTGCTTATATTTATTTATATGCGCCATTTGTTTATTTTTATACATTTTCTTAGTGATGTCACAGGCGGTTGCAAGTGCCGCCCCGAACCGAAACAACTTGTTCGCTGCTTTGAGTATTCCGTGTCGTATCATTAACAGTATTAAGAGTGATGAGGTATACGTCGGCATGGAGGAATGGAGGCGCACAACAGCTGCCTCACGTCTGGCTCTCATGACAACACCGATGGCGTGCGACCTTTCCATGATAGATTCATTTGTTTTGACGTCTGTGAAGCGTGTGATTTCGCTGGCAGAGAGTGGAAGGAAGTGGCAGATATACCTAAAATAATTTTCAAAAATATTTTCTTAATGAAAAGCTGTGGGAAATCATACAAGTAAAGACATATTTAGGTAGAATCATTCAGAGGTTTAAGGTATTTTCATCAATTGAGCATTAAATTCTTTTCTAGATATTTCTTTATTACTTGTGATCCCTTAAAACATAATTTGTAAAGCATTTACCATTTTATTTATAACATTTTCTCTACAATTGGCTTTATTCTAAATATGTATTTTAGTTCATTAATAGTTGATGATTATTAAATACAGAAAAACATAATAACTTAACAAGGTCGGCACAAGAGAAACTTTCAACGAGCTACAGTTTGAGTCAACAATAATACAGGAATATGTACACTTAGAGTAACTAAACTTAGAATACAAAGAATATTTGGTGATTTAGCATTCAAATCGAAAGGATTTTGCTGCAGTTCGCGACAAGCGTTGAGCATATATTTGAAACGATTTCGATTATTGAATAGACCCGGCCTTCTTGGCCCTGAGGCAGGGGATTCGGGATCACCCCATTTTTGTTATCACTGTGGATTTCCCGTAGTCTGGCAAAGATCCTATCTCTCTAGAGTGTTTTCATTAGGATCTACGAGGCCGCATACCAAGTAGTGCGATTGCTGATGGTGTCCTCGTCCGGTTTCGGCATTATCCAGATGTTGCCAATGCCACTGTCTGAGCTGAAGCGATTCGAGTCGCGATATAGCGAAAAACTGGGAGCCTTTCGGTGCAGATGATCGTTCTCCCGGGAGTAGCGCTCCTGCAGCTTGGCCCGCTCTTCGTTGGCAAAATTGTTGATCATGTCCCGGATTAGGTCCAGCCAAAGGGCGATCTGTGTGGGATCCGCGGTGAATTCGCACTCCTGCTGCTTCCTGCGCTCATAATACAGCGTAAAGGACTTGGTCTTGGCCGAAATGCCAATGTGCTCGCAGGGATAACGACCATGGAAGAGCAGGCTCTTGCCCTTGATCTCCGTGTAGATGATGCACTTGTCAAAAATAAAGACCTTGGCCCGGTAGCTACGCTTCAGCTTGTGATCGAGCACCTGGAACTCGTTTACCTTGCGGAATTTTCCCTGATAGAAGACATTGAACTGGAGGAGAGTAGCAAAAGTCAGTTAGAAAATTCCCAGAAAATGTGAGAGAGTATTCTCCTACCTCATGACAATCTACTATGTCGTTGATGTTCTCCGATTCATTGGTGGTGGTCAGCAAGGAACGCAGACGCTTCTCCAGTCGGCAGCATGATTCAATCAGTGGCTTCATCACTATATCGCGGTTTTTGAAAAAGGTCTGCAGAGGTTTTTATAAGATTTTAATTAGTTTATTGAAGAAGTTCCCTTGTTGAGTTGTTCTTACATTGATAAACTGCGTGAGGAGCAAAGGATAACGGGCCATGCGCTGAATAGGTTGAACCAAGAAGCTGTTGATGCCCAACTTGTCATCGCGTTCCAGGCGAATGCTCTAAAAAATGGAATATTGTGAAACTTAGCATGTTGCTATTGAGCTTCAAATTTATATTCAAACTCACAGTAAAGTAATTTTTGTAGAGATCGCATAGCTTTAGAGACTTTTGCTTGTTCATGGTGAAGATTACATAGCCGTAGAAGCAGTTTTGCTAAAGGGTCCAGAGATATCAAATTAGTAACTGAATTATAACAACATTATTCAGTATCAACTCACATCCAGGAACTGCAGAAATTCATCGAACAATCGCTTCAGATCCCTTCGATTGCGTTGCAGCATGGGCAGGAACTCATCGCGATGGAACTCGGCGATCTGCTCGATATTTCCAAACAAGTCATACTTCTTGCCGCGCAGACCCAGTGGCAGATCCTTTCGCTGGAAGATGTTGCCATAGTTCTCGATGCCCGTGTACAGGTTCTTCACATAGGCCTCCTCCGTCTTGATCAACTCCTCCAGAATGGGATGCACGCACTTGTCGCTCTTGTCCCGCAGTTCGATCTCCACCTCCTCCTCTCTGGAAATTAGCATTGGGGTTTTAAGATAATGCTTATTATTGGTCAAACACTAATACTCACTCATCTCTGGGCTGGTAAACCGAGTGAAACTTGCCCACGACATGCTCGTTTGTGGTGCCAATGATTTCAGTCTTTCGTCTCGGCGTCGAGCGATAATTTCTAGGGAGGAAAAAGGGGACTTCCATTAAAATAAATACTCGTTATCTGAGACTTAACGAAAATAACAACACCCCCCGACAAGAACAATAATAACAACAGTGATAACTACTTAGATAAACCCCCGCGGGAGCTCTTCGGATGAGTCAGCCTCGAAAGAGGCTCTACAAAATGATAAGAGCCGTGTCAGTGGCAAAGTCAACCTTTAAGCGTCTGGAAACCGGCCCAGATACTATCAGGGCATTCATATTCGCATGGTTCATGAGTCAGAGAGAGGAGTCCGAGCTCGAAGGCCTCATCTCGGGGACTCGTCAGGCGACGAAGTGACATTTGATTCCTTCCTAAAAATGAGCACCACCATGTCATATAATTGGCCCGCTTGCTCTATGACGCGCAGAATTAAATCAAGCTTTAGGATGATGCCCCAGGCTAACATGATCATTAGACACATGGCCAGAGCGGTCACCACGAAGCCCGCGAGCTGAAAGAATACTTTGCAAGGTTGGCCATGGAGAACAATATGGAAAGCGAGAAGTACTACAGACCCCAGCAGTGCAGCTTTCGTGGTAATTCCTTCTGAACGACTCCGTGGATTCCTGCGCTTTGTATGAGACTTCGGATAGATCCGGTGTCCCGGAAGGGTCTCCTCGTTTTAGGACCTCCTCCGTGTCGTAATCCAGCTGCCTGATCTGGATATCGTGGGGGTACTTTCCCGTATCTCCATCTCCGGGGTACGACGAGCTATGAGACCGTGGCGAATGTGAAACCCTCTCGGAGTCGTAATCCACCTGCCTGATCTGGATATCGTGGGGGTACTTCTCCGTATCTCTATCTCCGTGGTACAACGAGCTATGAGATCGTGGCGAAAGTGATTTTGAACGCTGATGCTTGGGGGGTGCACTTGCACTACTGAGAGATGAAAGGGAGCTCTGCGAGTGTCCCCCAGTTGCCAGAGTATCCACACTAGAAAATTCCGGCTGGGAAACGTCCTCGCGAGAGCGTCTAATACGAGGCACAGGCGGAATCGCCTTTTTTTTCTTCCTCCGAGGCGGCAAAGCATCATCCCTGGTGCTAGTTCCCGCGGATACGGATACGGATTTTGCTGTAGGGTGAGTGCTCCACCTGCGTGGGGGCTCCACCTCCACCCACACACGCTCCTCCCGTTCCACCAACGCCTCATCGGACACTTGGCGTTGCTGAGAAGCTCTGCGGCTATGCGGAGGCGAAAATAGCTTCTTTTTTTCCTCCTGGTCTTTTTCGTGGCCATCCATAGTCGAGGATGGAACTGGAACTGCTTCAAGGCAAAACCTGATTTCCAGAGGCACATTTTACGATTTTAGTCATATTTAGTTTCCCGCCAGCTTAGACTTCACACTGCTTGCCTGCTCTGTCTCGGATTTTTTGTTTATTTTTTAGGATTTCCACTCACAAACCTGTTGGCGCAAAGTGCTCCAAAACTCAATTAACACTTTGCCAATTAAGTTTCGACAGTGCGAGTGTAGTTTGTTTTATGGCCAGGCTCGCATAATTTGATTTTGACACCGAAAAGGAATCTCAGCGACCGCGAAATCTAGTTACTCCACATTGAACAACAAGGCTGGCTCTAATCTATTGTAATATCATATATATAGTCTATATAGATTTTACAGCCCTTGCCAGGTAAAGTCTGCTATTTGAATGCAAAATAGAAAAAAGTAGAAAAAAACCTAAATAAACAAGATTTATCTATTGAAGCAGCTTGAGAGAGAACTATTATTTTTGTAATTACAGCCCTCTAAAAATGTGATTCATCATTTAAATAAATAGGGATGCAGATTTATCTGTGATATAGGGTGCCTTTTCATATCAACTTTACAGGAAATGTACATTTATTTTTTAATATATTTTGTGGTTTGATTAATTATTACTTGCTTTGAATTGTAAACAACATTATTAGATATATTTTATTATAGAAACTAAATATTTGTTGATTTAGTGTCCTTTTGTTATTTATTAAGTATTTTTTAAGTATTTATTTATCATTCATTAGGTATTCATTTAGTATTCTCTCTGTATTTATTGAAAAGCCATCAAGTATTCATTTGGAATTCATTTGATATTCATTTTGTTATCATTTAATATTTATTTAGTACTTATTTAGCACTCATTTTTAAATTTATTTAATTTTCAAAGAGTACTCATTAAGCTTTCTTTAAGTATTAATTTAGTATTCATTTGATTTTATTGTATTCCATATCGCACACGCATCCTATAAATAGGTTTCTTTTTAATATTTTAAGAAACTTAGATGGTCACTTTTCCAGGCGCACCTTTATTGAAGTACATATTTCCACGAAAACCCAGAAAACCAGATAATGGAAATCGAAACCACCGCTGCACCTGAACTTTCGTAAGTAAACTCAAGTTCTCGTAGCCCGCCCACTCCGATAAGACTTATCAGTAATAAAACACACTCACCTTGGAAAATCGTTGCGCATTTTCAGCGGTCCTCCCTTGGACTGATCTGCACTAATGGAACGTTGGACCTGCTGCTGCTTGGACTCCTCGATCTCCTCACTCGGCGGCAGCACCTCCGAGGTGGTGCCATCCAGCACATATTCTCCGCCCTCGACCGCATGTGGATCCGTTTCAAAGTCAGAGATCTGGTCCACTTCATCCTCGGAACGCACCTCATCGATGCTGGTGGCGGGAATGCTGGGTATGGAGCTGCTGCGGCTGCTGCTTAGGCCAAGGCGACGTATGCCACGCGGCGGCGTGGGTGGCGGTGTGCCATGATCCTCGAAGGAGGGATGACGACGGTTCTCCAACAATTTGAGACTGTTCCGTTCCTGCTTCAGGAAACATATGTTGGTCTTGAAGTTCTCGAAGCGATGCACCTTTTGCCGCACGTCCAGCCAGGCGGGATCGGGCGTTTGTGGTGACATTGGGGGCTCCTCCGAGGGGATAGTGGCATCCACACCAGCCCCGTTCTCCGACGCCGCGCGCATCTTGAGCAGAGAGCGGCGATTGAAGGCGCTCACCGTGTCGGAATTGACGGAGTACGAAATGTGTAGCGAGCTGGAACTGCTGCTGGCGACACTATCACTCCGTGCGGCGTCGACGGACTCCGGTTGGCTACTAACGAGCGTGCTGCTATGCCGCTCCTGCTCCGCCGCCTGCTGGCTGATCCGGCGGCGCGAGTTGCGTTTGTTGAAGTTTCTGTTGCTGAGATTGCGTTCCCGACGGAAGGGCAGCGGACTCAGATCTTCGTCGGCCATTTTGGTCTGTCTCCGCCGTTGATAAGACTTATCGTTACACCACTCCGGGGGTCTCTCTCTGTCTCTCTGGGGCCTGTCTCCGTCTGCAAACTCACTTGCTCATTATCTCACTGAGCGAAATTCGGTTCTCAGTTCTCCCCCGAATTAAACATTTATGGCCAGCTATTTGGTTTTACTTTTTCTTTTTTTTTTTTTTTTTTGTTATTTTGTCAAGCAAGTGCGGTATATAAAATGTTTATCTTATATTTATTTATTTTGTTTTAAGCTTTTTTGTGGGGTTTTGTGTGTGGAAACACGTATTCGTATCTCTCTGTGTGTTGGCGTCAACTGTTGCGCTTTTTTCCCTTGCCTTTTGATTCTTATTTCGTCGCTTTATTGCGCTGCAAAAACAGAAAAATTTGTAATTAAGGCGATTTATCGTCAAAAGTATTATAAATAAAGTATTAAAGTCGATTATGAGGAGCTAATTAGACATGTTTCGGAGGAAGTGGTCGACAGAAAGCGAATGCAAATTGTGGGAAGGGAATTAAATCATTAACGAACTAGGAAATCCAAAAATTGACCTTGTAATTTAGTTAATCTTAGAGTTAATTTAGGTGTTAGGTAGTATATATTGAATATTATATCAGAGAACATTTTATAATTATTTATAAAAATAATAATGAGCTTAGAATAATTACAATTTACTGTAATTTTAGCTAATACTCCACAATTTTTAAATTTATTTTCCCTTGAGAGCCTTATATAATTATAAAGCATTATATACTTTATTCTAAATTATAATCCCCTATGCAGATGCTTAAATATTTGCTTAGAATTTAACCAAAAGACAGCAGAAGAGTTTATTTTTATGACAAATGACGTCAAATTGTCGGAGGTTCGCGATGAAGATCGCTTGAAGTGCGACAGAGAGCCGGCTATGGTTTTATATGCATAGTCACACATTCTGTGATAGTTAATTATGTGTGACGTTGCTTTTGTTGTTCCTACTGTGTTTTATTTGAGCAAAAAACAAGTACAAAGCGCTCGCAAACCGCAAATGAGGCACGACAAAAAAGCAAATAAAGAGTGAACGGCTTGCCAGCTCGCTCGATAGGAGGAAGTACGAAGTTCCCTTGAACAAAAGAAAGTGGCAAAAGTCGCTGAAATGCAACATTTCAATTCCGGAATTGCCGCCTGACGGCATTTGAATGTGTCTTTGGTACTGAAAGATCTTTGAATCAAAGGTTTATATCTTTGTTTTTTAATTAGCTTTAGGTGAGACGCGAACCCTGTCATTGTCTTTTCAACTGAAACTATAATTCCTGACCTTACCAGTTGAACTCGTTCTGAGTTCGGATTTCTCTTAAATCTACAAATCTATTGGAAATCTCCTTTGTCCTGAATTTAAGCCAACTTTATGATCATTAAATGGCAGCCAATAATTGCAGTCATTGTGGCTTATTTATGACCCAGTTAGATAAGTTCAGGTAAACCCTAATGGGTGCTCTCTCCCTCTATTTGAGCATAATCTTATCGAGGGTTCCATATTTCTGTACGGGTTATACAAGTTTATTGGAACAATCAAACATTGTAGCTGCACGGGCTGTTCTTTCACACAAACTAAAAAAAAAAGTACCTATTTAAGATAAATGATTCATTGAGGACGACTTTTATTTTTAATTTTACACCAAGGCCTAGGTCACAAGTACCTCTAAGTTTAAGAAATTATTATGGATTTATTGTGCTTATAGAACTCCCAGCAAAGGGGGATTTATCAAGCTTTATTTATAGCCAGACTGGCAACTGATTATGGCCGCTTAATTGGCCGTTTAGCGTCGTCACATGCAGGTTCCGTTGTGTGTTAGGCAAAAATGTTATATTGATTTGGTACTAATCGGGAATATATATAAAGCTGGGACTCACTGAGTACTTTCACGGGTGCATTCTCTTTTTTTTTAGCTTATTATCTTTATGTCGTTCCCCTTGTTTATCGCACTCTCATATTTGAATGGGTTTTAAAGCCACTTCTTGGTATTTCCGGAGCACACCAATAAAGTCCAGTAATCGTGAATCGGGGAGTTTTTTCTGTGTGGGTTTTGTGTTTCCTATCTAAATGATGTTTATCAAATCGATTTGATAGAGAATAAAGCCAAATAGATAGATGGGAGCCTTGGAACTATATTTTGTATACCAATTTTGATGATACGCCAAGTCAGCTAACAAAATACGGGGCTCTATATGTGCGTGTATATCTATATCTATACCTGGCTGTGTTACTGTTTAGTCAGCCGATTACAGAGATACAAATGGGCTGAATAAAGCAAACGGAATAATGGCTAAAAAGTGGGGAAAAACGCTCGTTACTGACACGGCTTTGTACGAGAACGATACTAAAGTCTGTGCCGTGAGTACATACTTATAGTGAATATTTGAAAACAGATTTGACTTTAAATGGAGTGATTCGTGGAAAATGTATTTATTTACTTTATTCTCAAAATAAGAAGTTGGTGAGAGTATATAGAAAAACAGATTTTCCTAAAGTTTAAGCTGTTGAAGTTTTTGATTTAACTTAAAGTTTGAATGGTAAATTTCAAGTAATTTTTGAACCAAAATTTAAAATTGTCACCTCTCCTTTTTTAGTTTGTCAAATTATAATAATATTAATAATAAACTAAAAAATATTGATTTAGCTAACAAAAATTACACTTTTTCTCTGTTTATTTGTTTAATTATTGTTTAAATTTGATTTCTGGTTTTTCGCACTGTTGATAATTTGTGGGCACGTGTTAATGAGACAGTTTTGTAAGCGCGTGCAGGGCAAGATACTCTTTTCGGTTTAAGTCTCGCTTCACTGCCTGGCCTTCCAGATATTCACTTGCCAATTTTGGCACTTACATTGTTGCCTGCTTTTTTAGATCGTTATTATTCGCTGGCTTAAGGTCGCGGGTTCGAGCGTGGCCCACGCGGCGTATACGCAATGTCGACTGTAGACCGTTATTGGCAACGATCGGCGAGAGAAGAAGAGCGAAAGAAGGAGAGAGAGAACGCGTAGCGGTACGTTCGCTCACCTGCGCATTTGAATTCGCACTGAATGGCGGCATTCGCAATGCAGCAGGTGCGAGAATTATCGGCTCTCGCGATCTCACGGCTCTCGCTGTGCACATATTTACTTTTCCCTCTCTCGCTGACTCTCTAGCTGCCGCCAGGTTTTAACCGTTTGCCCGTCGTATTAGATATAATTTTTTTATGTGCTCGCCTTTTTTTTAATATTTAGATTGCTCTCGCGAGCTTAGCGGTTCCGTTCTGTGTCGCATTTTCCACAGCAAATTATTGTCATAATTCCGCCAGGCGCTCCCCTCCGCCTCCTAGACCGACGCGTCGGCTGAGTTTCTTTATTTGTGGAGTGCAACTGCAGGCGGCATAAATTCTTAATTAGTATGAGCTACACTGGCACAAATAGATTTCTTTTACTTTGTCACAAGATTTCTAAATTAAAATAAATATTGATAAAATAATAATGAAACATTTTATTATATATAATTTTAAGATCACAACAAGTAGCCCCCAAATACGCCAGAAATCCGCCCGAAATGCACACGAAATGCCCTCCAAATACCCCCAAATGCCTTCAGAAAAATAGGGGTACACATTCAAACAAACAGAAAATATTGTTGGTATATTATAAACTCTTTATGAGGAATTATTAAGCGAAGATTTAAAAAAAAACCACAACTTCTTTTTTTTTTATTCCTGATATGTATCATATAGCCATTATATCTATTTTTATTTTCAAATTTTTAAATGATCAATATTTATTAATACAATAGTTAATCACCATAATATAATAATACGTATAAGTCTACTTAATAATAAAATTTTTAACACCATACATCATTTTAATTTCTTTCGGTGCATCATTGTGCTTCCAAGCAAAAAAAAAAAAAAAAGAAAAGGAATGCGGGAAAAATTCCCCCACAACCAAACAGTCTGGCAGACTAGCTTAAGAATCAAAACCGAAACAATATAAATATTTTCCTGACTAACTGGGAAGACTTTAGACTTTCCCGACCCAACTTTACCAAACGTTGAATTTCGCTGTAATTCGTCATTCCCGAGTATCCTCACCTGTTTCTGTTTCCATTTTGCATTCGTCAGCGTATTTGAAATATGTCTGCGTTATCGGCCGCGATTGCCATATCTTATCAAACGGGTCTGTCCGCAATCGGAAGAGCTGAGTAAACACACCACCGCATTAAAGGCCACAAATCGGCCATTTGCTGCGGGTTTTGGCTTGATTCTCCCAGAATTTGCTTGTCTTCTTGGGGGTGGGGAGCTGGTCAGTTCTTCATCTTTCTTTCTTGCAACTTTCTGCTTATCTTTGCGCATTTTCGAACGTTCACGGCCTGGCCAATAAAACGCGAAAAAATTGTCAAATCTACGGCTAAGAATTTCGGCCAATTGTGGGAGTCCCATAGCATTCGCAAGCTGGTGAAATCGATTGAGTTTATGGTACTTATTTTTGGTAGAACCCAATCGGAGTCCAAGTTATAAAGTGTTGGGGAATCACATTGTTGTTTATAAAGGTTCCGCATGTTGAAAAAGTAAGAATGAAAATTTTGTAAATTTAAAAACATCTTAGAAACAGGTGAAATTATTATCTTTTAAAAAAATAATTTATTATAAATGAAAATTAAAATTTTTTTTGTCTTTTCATCGTTAGTAATTTTTTTTAACATTTTTAACTCATGCTTAGTTTAGATTTATTTTATGAAAATACGTTTCCTACGCACATATTTTAAAATAAATATTTTTTATTTATTTAACACATATTCTCGATAATTTAAATTATATTAAATAATACAAATAACGGTCACTTAGCAGAGGCAAAATCTTAGCTAAGTTTCCTACCTTACTGGGACTGTTTTAGGATAGCGTCACCAGGGGTCGCCACTGTAAAAAGTGTGTCGTACGCATTTATGTAATAGTCTATTTACACCGACCTGTGTTACCTATCGAAGTCGAAATTAACGAATATGATCCTTAAATTACAATAAAATGTGAATGAATGTTATTACAATTTTGTTTTACCAAATGTCATAATATTTTAGTATATTATATAAGTTAATTTTTACCTCAGTGGATTTTATTTAATTACGAAAATAATTTAATATATACAATTTTCCATACCAATATCGTGCATATCATTTTATGATTATTTTCTTGAAGCTTTTCCAACTTTCTTCCTGCAATCAGAAAGTGGTTTATTACAAGCTTAATAACGATGCAGTTTTGTCTTTTGTAACTACAACATGCGTCCTCTTGGAATCCACCTCCATTTTGGAGCAGTGATCGAAGGCTCTGTCCTGAAAATCCAGAAGATTTATAATAGTAAATAATATAGGTAAGTCCAAAGTAAGGCTAAATGTTGCCGGAATTGACCAGGTAAATCAAGTAGCTGACCTGCAAAAATAGGAAGTCCATCAAAGCCCTAAAGGTGAGCAGAAACTTCTGGATCCTGGAACCTGATGAGCATCAGGTTGTCTCTGCCAATTTTGGCCAGAATTTCCAAAAGTATTTAATACACACCTGAGCATTTCACATGGTTTATTAAATTGTGTTTTATTGTTGGTATTTCCTTTTGTTTTTTTGTTCACATTTTCAAATACATTTATATGAATAAATATATCATTTATATTACTATTTTTTGTCATTATCATCCGTTTCTTCAATGACACCATAACCTTTCGCTTTTTCATTTAACATGAGTATATGTGGCTATTTTAAATGGGAATCCATTTGTGTTTACTTCGATTTGAAATAATATGGGGAAAAGGAAGTTGCAAATAGTGAATGTTATTATTTATCTAAAGTAATAATTCTGCCATTGAGCTAGTTTTATTTGTTTTTTTGTTTCTGTTCTGCTTGTTCGTGTGTGAGGACGATCGTAATAATAGTTAGCTATTTTCCGTTGAGTAAGCGTTTAAGTTAAATAATAATATAAAACGTAATTGTAAATTATATAGATACATATTTAACATTTTGTACTTCTTGTTGTTGAGTGTTTTGTTTCCGTTTCCGTTCTTCCTTTTTCTGCAAGTTATCAAGTTATCTCCAGCTGTTGGTTTACTTTTCTTGTTGGTTGGTTTCCACTTTTTCGACTGAATTTTGCACATTTACTAACAATTGCCCGCATTTAGTTAATTTTTACAATAATAATGTTGCTTTTAAATGTGTTTCTTTTTTTGTTTTTGCACAACCTTTGCTTATTTTTTAATAAATATGCATTTTGTTTTAGTTTTTTTTTCGTGTGAAGTTTTTTCATGTTTTTTGTTTTCTTTTCTCACTGACTTAGTACAACAATAATTATATAGTAAGAAATAAATTAATGGTTTTTATTATTTTATATATTTATATATATATAGCTGCATATATGAGTTTGTTGATTTTTGTTTTTTTTTTTTCGAAAACACTTAAATTGTTTTGTATCTAGCTCCTTGCTCAAAATGCCTTGACTTTTTGCCATTTTATAAACGGCCAAAAGCACTCAGCATTTTAGTCAGAATTACAAATTGTTTCGCTGTCTGGATTTATTCAAATTTTCAAAAGAAACGCACAGCGCGCAGTGCTTCGGTGTTTGCCTTGGCTCGTCGACTCTTCTCTAATCCTAAGCCGGGTTTTCATTCCTATTGCTGGGGAAGCAAACCAAGGTATTTGAAATTAAAAGGGGCGGAAGTTGTTTGGCAAAAGAAATATTTTGAATCTTCATGAGCCCTAAGAAGAGACAAAAACATCCTTTTTAGAAGGCAAACCATATCGATTATAATTCTTTTTAAATTAAAGCTCGTATTAAGTAACAATTGCTGAGCACGGTGAACCGCAAAGGTTGAGCACTGCCGCCGCGTCTTTTAACGGAGTTGGAGTCGAAGACAATTTGTAATTCTTGGTCAAGGTTCTCAGAAGATTTGTTCTCCTTCTTTCTTAGTGTGTGTTTTTTATTCATTTTGCGCATCAGGTTGCCGTTTGTTTGTTTGAACTTTTTGTGTGAGTTTTGAGCGCGTGACATTGACATTAACAAATTGGAATCGCGCAGAGAAAATCGCATTTGAATATATATGTAATTAGTTCTCGTTTCGCCGCCTTTGCCTCGGCCTCCTTTTAATACTGTTCTCCAATTTCGAATTGTAAACAAGCAAGTGTAAGTAGCAAAAAACCCTAGAAACAACTTAAACTAAAACAAACATTGTACAATATTTGATCTCTAAAAGAAGTCGGTTACAGTTACGAATAAAAACAAAAATAGCCCGTTTATACAAAACTATTATTAAACGTAAATTACAATTATAAAGTAAAATATTAAAAATAGATACGTAAAACCTTCCCTTCTGCTCTTTTGTATATACAATAAATTATGGCAATTCAAATGGAGTTTTACCGAAATGATACTGAAAGCGAACCATGCCTCAATTTCACGAGTTCATTTCAATGCTAATCTGTATGTTTTTTCAACATTCAAGCATATGCTGAGTTTGCCTGAAATTTACAATCTGAATCTCAAGGAACTAAAGGCTTTGCTTACTTTAAGCCTAAGCCTAAATGTCTCATCTTTGTACTTCTGCTCTTTCACCTGAGATCCTCTGAGCTGTACCTTTTTGTTGCCATCATTCTGTAAGCATTCGCACTTTTGGTGTCTAAATATTCATTTCTCAGAACCTAAGGACATACCATTGCTCTCCACTCTTCAGACACCTCAGCTAACTACGACATCTTGTTTCTCAGTTCTGGATTTTTAAGTGGAAAGATCAATTGTTTGAAATCAACTCGTGAAAATGCGGTCCGAAGCAGTCACTCTGGGTTAAAGCCTAGAAGAGCAAGCGTCCGTAATCGTTTTGGGCCGCCTTCCTGCCTGTTGGCTGCATTAAATACGGCGGCGGCATTTCTTGCTGCGGGGCGCCCAAGCTGTGCGACAGCTCCCAGTTGTAAAAGTGGCGCTGCGATTGGGATTGGGATTGCGACTGCTTCTGCTTGGCACCCCACAACGGACGCTTGTTATGCTGCTCGTGGTGTTGGTATTGGAATTCGCTTCTGGGCCTGGGGGGGTCATCATCGTGCTGTCCTTGCAAGCGGGCCTCCAAATGTCAGACATGCGGCTTGTGCTGGCCACCGCAGAGACCGCAACGGATGCCTGCCCAGTGGCAGGCGCGAAGCGGCGGATAGCACCACAGGCAGGGTACAAACAGCGAGAGGAGGGCCAGGCCCAGCCAGCGCTTGCTGCAACCGGCCTCGCTAATGCTGCAATCGCACGGATGTTGGGCCGTCTCGCCCTCGGCATCGCTCATACAGTGGTAAATCATACAGCGGGCACAGCCCATGCCGGAGATGCACTCGTAGCCGCTGCGAAAGGGATCCGGGGCATATTCGCAGGCTCCGCGACTGTTGAATTGCTCGCTGTACAGCTCGTGGCAGTAGCGGCAGCGCAGACGCGTCTCCTTCTTCAGGATGTCGGATACGTTTGGCTTGTTCAGGGGCTTTTCCGCCCCACCGCATCCACCGGCACCGATTGGCACCGTTTGACCCGCTGCCATGGCCTGGGCCGCCTCCAGAGCGTTTCGCTTCTTCAGCGCACTGATCGACTCCCGCCGAGCGTTAAGCACCTGCGCCCCAACCGGCTGGTCCACCACCGGATAGTTGTAATCATGATGTACCGACGTCAGCGTCACGTACGAATAGTTCTCGCTGGCCGCAATCTGTCCGGCGGCAGCCGCCGCAATCTGTCCAGCGGCAGCCGCCGCCGGCGATGGAGCAGCCGATGATGGCGGTGCGTCTGGCGGCGATGTGGTGGCCGATGTTTTGTCCGTGGATATGTAGTGAATGGGCGGCGGTGGCAGCTTCTCCGAGTCAGAGTTGTTGCTATGCCGGTCGCTGACGCTTTCTGCGATAAAGTAAAACAAGGTTTCAGATTGCAACGCATTTGGAATTCCCCTGATTAATTTATATATTACTTACTGTGACTTTTCTCGCTGCCCTCGGGGCTAGAATGGATCTTTTGTAAACTCTCGCTCTCCACAGGTAAGTCCAGGGTCATGAAAACATCATCTTCGCCAACCGAATCATATTTGGTCAGCGGTGGGCATATTATCGTCGGATTCGATTTGGCCAGTCCTGAATAATGCAAAGAGAATCGGTCTTAAGTGCATGGGAAATAGCATTGAATCGCATTAAAGGCAGAGAACACCCACACGCAAAAGCATAGAATAGTTAGAGTTTCACAAAGAGAAAGATATAGAATGTAGTCTATAGAGCATAAAATCTGTATATATATTGGTGTAAGCTAGGAAATCTCGAAAAAGAGCTCCTTAAAAAGCCGTAGTGACCTGTAGACTATATATACTAATTCACAAAACAACACATGTGCTGGGAGCTTTGAAGTGCTTGGGCATTACTTTGTTTTCCATCATAGCAAACAGCACACTTAGACTTAGTTAAAGTACGGCCTCAGATTAAACACTTACCAATTCGATTGAAATGATAGATTTAAATATTTTGTTGATTTGTTGTTTGATTTTTTGTAAACAAATTTGCAATAATCCAATGTAATTGTGTTTGGTGGTTATTATTTTGATAAGTTTTTGGTATTGTGGCAAAAGTAGAGCATAAAACATACGAAAAAGTTATATATATTAGTAAACGAAAGCAAATGCCAAGGCAGAGACAAATACAGGTACAGATTTGGAGGCAGAGGCAGAAACAGAGGCAAAGGTTTGGATAGAGAAAGGCAAGTAGTTGGTGTTGGTTAGGAGGCGGTGAAAGGCAACTAAAGCGGGCTGACAGACAGAAAGCAGAGAGAGAGAGACAGGATGTGCAAGCCGTTCGTTCGCTCATGCAACTAGCAGATGGAGGTGGAGCCGGAAAAGGGTTTTACCATCGATCAGCTCGTTGTAGGCGCGCAGGACGCCCTTGTCAAAGGCCCGCGCATCGGCGGCCGTTTGAAATGTGAGTCCGTTCCGCTGCTTCCCTGCGCGCCAATGATGAAATGTGGGCATTACTTTGTAATACTTCAGATCACGATTGATCACACAGCTCAAGATTACCTGAAATCGAATCGGCGAATTAATATCTTTTGTAAACACTTCAGGCGGCGCTCTACTTACGCTCTGATCGGATATCCTCTGCCCGTAGATGATGTAGTCATGACCGGATGCCAATGGGGATAGCCTAGCCCGCTTCCGAATGGAAACGTTGGCCAGGCCACCCCCGGCCAGCGGTAGCCAGCCCTCGGTGCTCTCGTCTCTGGTCATTACCTGTGCGCGTACTGTAACTAAGAAGTCGCTGTAAGATGGAAACCGAGAAGGGAAAATGCAATTAGTTTCAATTGTAAAATATAAAATATAAATTAATTTAATTTAATAATTATTCACGATTAGGCATATATATAATAGGAACCAATGACACCTGCTTATCCTTCGTTTGAGGCTCAGTTTTGTGTATGAAACCGTTGCCATTGTAAAACTCACGATGGTTTTCAACGAATGCGCTCCCTCAAAGTCCCTGAGCTCCGTCTATATCTTGGAGAAGATGACCTACAAGTGTCACTAATTTGGCTAATTCAATTTTTCGGGCAGTCGAGGAAGCCGTAGCAAGGATGCTAGTTTTTGCCACCTGCCGACTGCAGGCAGGACATTCTGAATCATCCGGACGAGAGTAAAAAACCAATGACAACTAAAAATAACACCAAGTCCTTCGGTTTAAAAATACTAAAGCACACAGCCGGCACTGGGCGAAAACTTGTGCTCCTATTAACGTACAAATCTATTAAAATTTATGCTAAATAAAAAAAATATCACTAAGGTTTTTTAAGATTTAAATAATTATTTATTTTCTAAATATTTTTACTTTTAAAAACTCTTTAAAAATATGTTTTTAATTAAAAACTATCTTCTTTAAAGCAATCTAAAATCTCAAACTTTTTTATGGTCTCCACGAAATTTGTTTTCTTGAGTGCCCAAATGCGATTTTAGGGGTGTCGAATATGCAAAATGATATTCAACATCCGGCCATGGGGAATTCATTCTTGAAAAAGGGCCGCAACTCCAGTTGACGGCGGGTAGCTCTCGTCTCCTTATGAATGAGGGTCACATCAAGTGGAGTTGCTAGCGACCTGCGCACAAGTTTCGAATAAATTGAGTTTGGCGGGGCTTGAATTGTGGCAGCGGAGTTCCCGGGAAAATATCCCAGAGTTACAGGTTACTTACAGGTTACTCAATGAAAAAAGCTCCAAAAAAAAGGGAGTTGAAACTCCACTGTGCCGCCTGCCTGTGGGTCTGTATGGGAGGGATATGTATGTATGTGAGTGGTTTGCCAGTGAGGGTACCAGTATGTGTGTGTGATATATGTATACACATGCTTGTCCTAGTTTCGTTGGGGTTTAAAGAATGAATATTTTGTCGCGACGTCACACAGAGGGTCTTGGAAGCCAGAGAACGAGAACGGAACGGAATACCAGGACATGTCAAGGACTGTGGGGCTTTTGTATAGTTTTCATTCAGCTACGTCAGCTAGTCAAGGATATTCCGAGACAGTGTGAATGAAGGGAAACTAACGGAACTGCCCAGGGTCAGAGCATAGCGCATAACGGGTTTTCATTGACAAAGAGCAGCGCTAACGGTCGCTCCGCTAGAGTTGCCACCCATTCGCAAAGCTGGAACAGGGTGTAGTCGAAATAAAAGGGACTATACTACCAACTCCGCCAAACATAAAAAGGACATACCCATACAGTGGCACGCACACATGTACATGTACAAATATAGAAGAGCCTGCCCCAAGCCGAAACTAAAAGTCTATCAATATTTGGAAGCTCTCACCCACAAGCACAGCGCATGCGTGGGAAAAAGACAGTTGAAGAGAGAGAGAGAGACCAGCTCCAGTTATCTTTTTCCATGGACTTGTGTTTGTCTGCGTCTGTGACTGTGTGTGTACGGGAGTTGTCGCCTATTAATGATCTCTGTCTAAATATCTTAACAAACTATCTTGACAATTTTTAGCTTTCTATCATAATTTCCATTCATTATTGACTCGAGAGAGTATCGCTTTGGTAGTTGTTGGCATCACCAAAACATTGTTGCCAACTGAATGGCTCGAATACTCCCACACACACACACAAAAGCAGGCACGCAAGCTCAACCAGAACACCCACACAGAGGCGGGCTGCAGCAGAAGGCAGAAAAAGATGAATGAACAACGCGTGTGTGAGTGTGGGCTTCGGCCTGCGTTTGTGTCGGTGTCGCTGTCGCTGTCGCTGTCGGTGCCAGTGTCGGTGTTTGTGCACACCCACTCGAAAAGACGGAGAGGCGAACAACAATAAAAAGTTCCAATACACAGCGCGCCCAGTTAAATAGTCAAATATGTAGTTTTGATAGCCAACCATCTAACCACCAACAACAGTCACCTACATATCTATGTATGTGCATATGTACATAAAGGCGTACATATTTGCATATCTGCCGTGTCGCGTGGTCACGATGTCCCGCTTACCGTTACATTATTCACATGCCAATCAATTTACAATGCAAAATTGAAATCGAATTTTATTTCCGCTGCAAACTATACAACGCAAGCGGAGATTTTTTCTAGAGGATTCAAATACAATAATATATATTTTGTATTTTACATTACTTGCATTCTGATATACAATGAATGTATTTTTCATTCAATACTCCGAGTTTTAGAATTTAAAAGACTCTTCTGTGAACGCAAAGCTTTTAGAAATTCAAGTATTCCAAGGCTCCTTAAAGTAGGCAGTGATTTTTTTGGAGTTATATGAGTATCCAAGAAATCAAGAGATATGTATATCCCACTTGAAAGTATCTACCAAGGATTTATTTATTCTGTTAAAATTTTAGGGATCTGAACTACTAAATTTAGCAAATGTTTCTTGAGATACACTTCAATCTCCAGACAGAATGGTACTGATACCTAAAGAAACCGTACGAAAACGTACAGGCACGAATAGATAAAAATGAAGATGTCCTTAAGATCTTAGGACGATTATCTTGTCCAAAGATCTTAAGAGCATCTTCATCTTTTGCCTGAAGGAGACCAACTCAACAATATGTAGCTGTATCTTTAGGTTTATAAAGAGCACCCTCTATGATAGTCGTGTGTGAGGGCCTGTCGCAGATCAATTCATTGTGGAAAAAGAATAAGGCTAAAGACATGAATGAAACTACAGGAACCTTGGGTGCGATGTGGATTTTTTCTCTGTTCTCGTTGCGCAGGCTTTTAGCTTTAGCTTTTGCCTTTCCGCCCAGATGTATTGCTGTAAATACTGGGGGGGAAAACGATTCGCGGGGCGAAACAACAAACGGACAAACACATAAATGACATCATTTTCGAATAGAATTTAAAGAGCGCCAGTGGCGCGAGGCAATAATACGTGAGTAGTCGTAACAACGGCAATTATTGGACCCAGAGGCGAACGGAAAAAGAAACCGCACCGCCACGCACATAGGGGCGTTCCATTTCATTCATTAAAAGTGTCGACAGACAATGTGGAGACTTCAATTCGCCAGACGAATGACATATGACTCACGCTTCCTTCATTCATTCGCCGCCCCGGTTTGGTTTGGTTGTTCATTGAGGGAAAGAGCAGGAGCCTGTCGACTCAATTAAAAAGCGGACCATAAGTTGAAGAATTGTTTTCGACCAATCAGGCGCCAATTGGAGCCAATTAATCGTGGCACGCCAATCGATCGCAGCTAGCCTGCAGCCCTGAACGCGGCTCGAAGGCCTGTGCATCGGCAACATCTCTCTACTAAATATGACTTTATTTTAAAGGTAGTAAAAAATATATTTTTCTAGTGATGTGAAAATGCATTGGTCATCTGGCTTAACTTAAGATTAAACTTCAGCAGCTATTTCTCCAGCCGTAAAATAAGTCCCCCTTGTATTGAAGCTAGATATAAATGGAACGTTTGTAAACTAGTTTGCTACGCTATACAAATTCCCATTCAACAATTATGAAGTTTAATATTTAAGTTCCAAATTCAACGTAGATGAGTAAATTTAAATGTCTCCTTGAATTCTGGTTAGTACAATCTTATACAATAGTTAAGACAAGGCTCATAATACTTCGTTCGAATTTTGACTCACCTTTCATGTCCTTCTGTCATGGTTCGTTATCAGAAAGATTCTAATATAGCAGCGTATAGTGTCGGTGTTGTTGTTGTTGGTGGCGAAATACACCATGATTAAAGCATAAAGACATTCAGAGCTGCTGCTGCACAAACTGTTTCCGAAACAAAAAGAACCAAGGACGAACGACTAGAACCAAAAAACAGCAGCAGTGTTCAAAAGTAATGGCTTTAAATCCTCTTCCTTCCCTCGATGACTGTGGCTTATTTGTTTGTTGTTCTTATTGTTGCTGCTGTTGTTGTTGTTATCCGATTTGATGTATCTATTGGGATCCTGTTTTATTATTTGGCACAATCTTGGGGACTTGCAATAGTATGTGGAGGGGGTGGGTTTATTCATTCACTGAAAGAGGGGGCGGGGAGAGACGACACATAAATTAATTTCCTTCGACTCTAGTTTTCTTCTTTTTTCCCCGATTTTCCGCTGCAAAACCGAGAATCACTTTTACTTTTCTCCAAATACACAATACACAAACGGGGGCCACTTATGTGGGCGTGTAGACAAACACAGTGGAAAACTTCGCGCACACACGCACACACTCGCACACGCAATTTTTCCAAGCAACAAAAGATGTAACAGATGAAAATGAGCGGAGAGCCCAGTGGCTGGCTCGAATCGCGCAGTTTTCGCAGCCAAATCGCCCCGCGAACTGGTTAATTGAATTTGTTTATGCCTTTTGGCCTTCCGTTCGACGCGAGCCCTGCTTTTTATTAACATAAAATTTGCAAAAGCGAAAATTCATTCATACATTCCACCAAGGCTAGGACGAACGCGCTCTCGCTCGCTCTCTTCAGCTTGCGCAGAAGGTTTTTGGGCGATTTCTCCATGTGTGTATATGCTGCTTGCTGTTGCTGCCTATATTTCGTATTTACATACGCATATACATACATGCAGGCGAAAAGACTGCAGCGGGGCTACATATTTTCACGGATTTTCCAGTTTTCAGACTCGCAATTGGCCTGCCGCAGCCCCATTTTACAACTGTTTTCTCTCGTTCTCGCTCCGTCTTAATTTACTTAATTACGCGCACGCATACACACACACACGCACACCAGGGCAGACGCAACAAAAGAGGCGAAATTCGCATTGATTTTGTGTCCCCCGGACCCCCCACACCACGCGTTTATTGTGCATTTACTTGTGCAACTCGCGGCGCCGTCCTTTTTGTTTAAACTCTTCTAATTCTTCAATAAGTGGGCCCGCCGCCTGCTCCGTTCGTAAAAATTTTATTAGGGATGTGGAAATGTATCAATGTGTCAATATATCGATAATTTCTTCTGAAAATGATATCGAAATCGCGATATTTTTTGATCTGGCACTTTTGGTCGCTCATGCACTGGCGATCTGGCAGCCCTGGTCGCTCATGGCACGAGCGTCCAGCGTTGCCAGATCGTCCGTGCACGAGCGACCAAAAGTGCCAGATCGTCAGTGCACGAGCGACCAAAAGTGCCAGATCGTCAATATATCGATATTTTTCCTGGAAATGGGAGTGCTGCCAGACTTTTCGGTCCGAGCGACCAGTGTTGCCAGATCGCCAGTGCATGGACAACCAGTGTTGCCAGATCGTCAGTATATGAGCGACCAGCGTTGTCAGATCGTCAGTACATAGCGACCAAAATACCAGATTGTTAATATATCGATATTTTCCCTGAAAATTGGAGTGTTGCCAGACTCTTCTGTCCGAGCAACCAAAAGTACCAGACCGTGAAGAGTGCATCGAGCCAAGCTCCCCACCTTTTGGTTGATCGATATAGGTGTGACCAGCGACCTCAAGTGTGACCGGCTGGTGCCCAGCCAAAAATCAGCCCATTGAATTTTTCTTCCTTTCCCTGTTTTTGCGAGCGTTTGATGACGGAAATTTGCAAGTAGACCGCTGAAAATGGCCAAAAAGAAAAGCGAGGAGCACTCCGGTGCCGATGCGAACGACAGCGACTACCAGGAAGAGCCCAACTTCGAGGATCCGCCCAACTTTGTGGACAACATCAGCGATGAAGGTGAGAATGCCTCCGACTGCCAGCGCAGCACACGCGGAAATCTAACCTCAATGTGGGAGCGGTGTGCGAAAGTTGGCGTATATATTAATTGATTATATGTGATGCACTTGCAGATCTGCTCGGCGACATGCTGGCCCAGCGCCCCTCGGAGGCGGATGGCGTGGAGAGCGTGGTGGTGGTCGACAACATCCCCAAGGTGGAGCCGGTCCGTCTGGAGAAGCTAAAGTCGGTTATCAACAAGCTCTTCTCGCACTGCGGCGACATCGTCAATGTGGTGTATCCAGTGGACGAGGAGGGCAAGACCAAGGGCTACGCCTTCATGGAGTACAAGCACGCCGGCCAAGCGGAGGAGGCCGTCAAGAAGCTGAACAACCATCGGCTGGACAAGAACCATACGTTTTCCGTCAATCTTTTTACCGATTTCCAGAAGTAAGTCCATTGTTTCTCACTTTAAAGCCCAAGCAAAGCTAAAGCCGACGTCTTACAGGTACGAGAACATCCCGGAGAAGTGGGAGCCGCCAACGGTGCAGACATTCAAGGTGCAGAGCGACCTGTACAACTTTATCAACGATCCGGATGCCTACGACCAATACTGTGTGGCGGCGGAGACCGCGCCAAACTGCGTGCAGGTGGGCTTCTGGCAGAACGTCCTACCCGAGCCCGCTGAGCTGGAGACGCGCGAGCGTTTCACCGACACCTTCGTCAAGTGGTCGCCGCTGGGCACCTATGTTGTGACCTTCCACAAGCCGGGCGTGGCCATTTGGGGCGGCAGCAGCTTCCAGAAAATCCAGAAGTTCCCACATCCCGGCACCCAGTTTGTGGAGTTCTCGCCCTGTGAGAACTACCTCGTAACGTACGGCCCAACGCCCACCGGCCAAAAGATCATCATCTGGGACATCCGTACCGGCGCAGAGAAGCGTTCGTTTGTGGCCGATGGTATGTCTGTGCTGTCCATGTTCCGCTGGTCGCACGACGACAAGTTTGTGGCGCGCATGGGCGAGAACTCGATCCACATCTACGAGACGCCGTCGTTCTACCTGCTGGACCTGAAGTCAATCAAGATCCCCGGCATTCGCGGTTTCTCGTGGTCGCCCACGGACAATGTGATCGCCTATTGGGTGGAGGAGCAGAACCAGATTCCCGCCCGCGTCACGCTGATGGAGATCCCGAAGAAGCGGGAGACCCGCAACAAGAACCTGTTCCACGTGGCCGACTGCAAGCTACACTGGCAGAAGTCCGGCGACTATCTGTGCGTCAAGGTGGATCGCTACTCCAAGCTGAAGAAGGACAAGAAGGATCTGGACGTCAAGTTCCTGGGCATGTTCTACAACTTTGAGATCTTCCACATGCGCGAGAAGGAGATCCCTGTGGATTCGGTGGAGATTCGCGAGTTGATTTTGGCCTTCGCCTGGGAACCCATCGGGAACAAGTTCTCCATCATCCACGGCGAGCCCAACTCCTCCAACGTGAGCTTCTACGAGGTGAACAAGGGCGTGAAGCCCAGCTTGGTGAAGCGGCTGGAGAAGAAGTCCTGCACGCATCTGTTCTGGTCGCCGCGCGGCCAGTTCATCGTGATGGCCAACCTCACAATGGGCACCTTCGAGTTCGTGGACTCCACCAACGATTACATTATCAGCGCATCGCCGGATCACTTCCGCGCCTCCGAGGTCGAGTGGGATCCCACTGGACGCTATGTTGTGACCGGAGTCTCCTCCTGGAAGGTAAAGGAGGACACTGGCTTCAACATGTACACGTTCCAGGGTCGCATCATCAAGCGCACCATCCTCAAGAACTTTGTGCAGTTCTTGTGGCGCCCGCGTCCGCCTACCCTGCTTGGCGAGGAGAAGCAGAAGGATATCAAGAAGAACTTGAAGAAGTACTATGCCGTCTTCGAGCAGAAGGATCGCCTCCGTCTCACCCGGGCCTCCAAGGAGCTGCTCGAGAAGCGCGCCCAGCTGCGCGAGACCTTCATGGAGTACCGCACCAAGCGCATCGCCGAGTGGCAGGATCAGAAGAGTCGTCGCGTCATGCTGCGTGGGCGTAAGTATATCCTGCCTCGGGATTTCATATTATTGGTCTCTCAAATGCTATATTTTCTCTTTCTGAACAGATGTGGATACCGACAACTTGGAAACTGAGGAAGTGGATGAAGAGATTGTTGAATTTTTAGTCAAGGAAGAAATCACCCTGCTGGAGTAGACGACCCCCGGCTACGCCACACGCCCGCTGTCGTCCCCTGCCCCTCTTCGTATCCCTTAAAGCGATCCTGTCGCCTCCCACGTTTCGTGTCCGGGACGCGTCTACGCCCTGGTTAATGCCAGGGCCCTCTACACCCATTATCCAAGCCAGTAGAGCGCGTCTGCTTGCATATTCATCTCTAAGCGGATCCTTTGCCTATACATACAACATACAATCTACAATTTTAATATAAAGTAGCAGTTCCCACATAAAAAACCATCGCGAACAATAATCAATATTGAATGTCTTTAATCGAACAGCGTCCTCCTTGCAGTATGACTAAAACTAGTTTTGCAATGTATTTGTATGTAAACAGCAAGAAGAAAACGAAAACAAAATATCCCTTTGGTTTTTCTGTTTTTTCCGATAAACGATACTTGGGTTGTGTGCTTATCGATAACCAGTTACCGTTAGCAACGGCTTTAAACACCAAAGCAAGCGAAGTTTTGTTAATTTTTACGCTTAAAATACTCAATAATGGATTCGGGATCACCAAGAAAGAGTGGAAGGAAAAAGCGGAAAACGCAGACCACCAGAAGCTATCGGAGGAGGGAGCAAGAAGTGCAAGCCTTGCTCAGGGAAACTGATAGGAAAGGCAAGGAAGAGAAAGTTGACTACGAGGCGCGTAGCTTGCAGTTCTTCCATGGCAACGAGGACGAAAGACGGGAGGAAGGGGACTCGCCAGTACATGAGACGGGCGGCCAGGAAAGCGATGAGGATTCTGGCGGGGAGCTGGCCGCGGAACCTTCGGAATCGCCCACTCAAACGTTTATTCAAATCGATCTGCAGGATCCGCCGCTAGTTTGGAATCAGCTCTTCAAGCAGCGACACTACTACGACGAGAGCTTGCTCTACCGACCGAGCAATACGCTGCACTTTCAGCTTCAGCAGGGTGACGTACGGCTGAAGGATTACCAGATTCGCATGTTGAATCGCTACCAGGAGCAGGCCAAGAGCTCCTCCAACAAGCTAAGCTCCCAGCTGATAGCCCAGCTGAGTGAGGTGAATCCGCCCAAGTTCATCATGGATACCACTTTGTATCGCAGCGTTTGCCACAAAGAGTTCAAGAGCGTATTCTTTGAGCCCGTGACTCCAGATGAGTTTCAGGGATTGCCCAACCGGCGCTGCTTGAAGTTGAGCCTGAAACAACTTCGATTCAGCCTCCATCCCCAACTGATGGAGGAGCACCGTCTGGCCCAGCAGCTGGAGGATCTCTTCGACGTCTACATCTATCAGAGGAAACACCGGGTCTGCCGGAAACTTAGAGAGGAACTGGAGATTGCCCGGCAGGTGGCCATCAAGCTGCTCGCCTCCGCTGGCCAGGATCAGACCTCCGAGGTAAAGCGGCAATTCAAGCTAACGCAGCAGCTGAGGCAGCGCTACTACTCGGAGTCGACGGCCGAGCGTAATCTTCTACAACGCCTGCTGAAGGAGTGGGCCAAGCTAAAGGAACTCCGCCGCCAGCAGCAGTTCCAGTGCACTCGCTTTCAACTGGGTCTCCGCGTAATCCATCCGCCCGACTTGCAAGCATCCTATTCCGCCTGGAAAGAGAGCTTCGAGACGGATTTAGCGGAGGTGTATCGGGAGCAACTGGAGGTCTTCTACACCCGACAACGGCTATGGACCGAGCAGAGGTCCCACAGCAGGAAGTCTGCCTCCCAAGCAAAGCCGCCCCGCAAGCCCCAGTTCGATAAGATCATGGCAAACTTGCGAAAGGAGTACGACAAGGCCTTTAAGGATCCCGTAGAGCCGTTTGTGGAGATCATGCGCCTGCGTGCGGATGAGGCAGCCGCCAGGATCTGTATTCCGGGCAGCGCACAGTTGCCCAAGGCCCGCAACTACTTTCTCAAGATCTTCCTGGATGGAGAGTTCGTGGGCCAGACCAGAAGCTATCGCCTGGAGCCGGATCTACAGATCACCATTAACGAGTGCATGGGAGTGTTGCTGGAGAGGACTCTGCCGGAAAATCTTAATATTTGGGTGGGTTACCTTGAACTGTTTTCGGTTTTGTATTAATATCATGGGAAAACGGTATTTTATTTATGTATTTATATCTTAGCTCTATGAGAAATCCACTCTGACGCCTAGAAGTCGTCGTTTGGCCCAAATGACCACACCCTTGCTGATGAACTCCAAGGATGACGCAGTCCACGAGAAGCTCAGTTTTCAGACTACATCCTCTGCCTCCACGCAACTGGCGGGCGATGTTTATGTGTTCTACGACTACCGCTCCGCTGAAGGTTTAGGAGGCGAACACAACCTCGATGATGTTCAAAGACTCCCGATGGCACTGCGACAAAAGCTTATCCCTCCAAAGCTCCGCGCTTTGCCAGAAGCATCCAAGGAGTTGGTCACTCCCAGAGCTCCTTACGGAAGGATTAGACAGAGCATGCTGCCACCCTTGATCTTCCTAGAGCAGCAGCTCCAATTCTGTGACATTGAAACTCTTCTGGAGGACAGGCGGCTCCATTTGCTCCGCTCACGCCATCAACAACGGAATCTGCACACCAAGCAGCTGCGCTTTGTGCCCGCCCTGGAGAACGAGATCACCGAGGAGGAGCCGTTGCCAGATAGCCACGGCCTCGGCCTGGGCCAACTCTTGGATCAAGGAACCTACTGGAATCCCATCGATCTGCACAAGCATCGCGGCCGAAAGTTTATTAAGCTGCTCTACGAGGTCATCAGCAGCCAGAGCGCCAGAAGGGCGAAGACCTTACAGACCCCTATGCCCCTGCTCCTGCTGGCAGAAGATTCGGACCAGGCCACCGGATGGCCGGCCCTTTGGCGTGCCATCTGCTCCGTTTTCCAACAGCAACCGGAGTCTCTACCTCGAGAGCCATCGGTTTGGTCTGGCCCGCAGCCCATGCATGATCTCTACCAGCATTATAACGTTTCGCTCCATGTGGTGAGGGCAACTGGGGTGCCAGTGCGAAGTCGTCATATCCTGAACATCAATGAGCGACGCACTAGCGCCGGTGGCGATATGAGCACCAGTTTATTCGTGACACAAAGTGAGTACTTTAACCTTTAACCCTGCCAGAGATTTCCAATTGTCCTTCATCCTTCTCTAGCGCTTATGTACTCTAATGTCCGACCCTTTGTGACGCTGAGCTATGGACAGCGTTTGTGCCGGAGCCGCACCGCCGAGGGCAGCAATCCCACCTGGAACGAGCAGCTGCAGCTGCAGATCCACAGCCAGTTCGGGGATCTGCGCGAGGATCTGAAGATCACCTTGTTCGACGAACTAATCGAGCCGCAGTACAGCGACGAGGCATCCGATCTGTACCAGCGCGTCCAGTGCAATTGGTTGGGCGAGTTCCGGGTGCCCATCAACACTCTCCTGGTCAGCCGAAAGGTGAGCAAACTCACCTGAATTATACTTAAAAATAACCATTTGACTACCCAGTTTGAGGGATGCATTGAGTTGTCCATGCCAAAGGTCCTGGTGGGCTACAAGCGCCCCTTGATCGACTCGGTAACTAATATGTCCACGGATCAGTATCCCGAGTTCAAGGAGGCCGTACATTTGTGGTTCTACCTGAGCATCGAGCCGAGTAAGGGAGACCTAATGCCTCTGCACTCGAGTGCCCTGGCCTGTGCCGAGATGCCGGAACTGCAGCATTATCTCGGCGAGAGGAAGTTGGAACTCGTGCAACTTCTGCCGCAGCCGCAGCGCTACGTGGAACCACTGGTGTGCACGGCTCAAGGGAAGAGGGTGTGCCTAACGAGGCTACTGGACCCGATTCCCCTGCCTCCGGCGGTTGCCAGCGGAGAGAATCCCGTGGAGATTTCCTGTCGCTTCGTATCGTTGCTGAGTCAGTTGCGCTCCTACGATCCCTGTCAGAGTTTCCGCGGCGTTTGGCTGGACAATCAGACACTGCTGGACAGCACCTGGTGCACGGTGAAGGATCTGGGTGTCCTGCTCTGCAACTATCTGCTAGCCTTGGGTCTGGAGTGCTGGCTCATCCTGGGCGTTGCCTGTCCGCATGGCGAGTGCTCCTTTGTGCTCTTCCGCCAGCCAGAGACAGCCGAACTCTTCCTAGTGTCCCCCGCCACGGGAAAGCGCTATCAACTGCAGGATGTCTATTGTCCACTGAGACGCGTCTTCTGCTTAGTGGGAAAACACAATGTAAGTTGAAGAAATCTTCAATCCCTATAATTCATAACTTTTATTATTTTCAGATTTACTTTAATATTCAAACGGAAAACCGCGTCAGCATGACTAACTTCAACCTGCAGGACGGCTCCTGCTGGTTTCCCCTCTTCAGCCGACGCGTTCTTGCCCCCCAGAGTAGCGTCCAGAAGCTCGACTATATGTACAAGCGGAGCAACGATCTCAGCCAGCTGCAGAAGCATATCGAGCGAAAGATTATGAAGAAGATAAGTGCGTGGCGCAGCACAAGGAAGACCGTCTGGAATCGGTGGGTACTTCCCATAGATAAAAGGGATTAAAGATTATAAACTTGAATATTATTAATAAATTCTTTTGATCCTTTTAGAGCCTTTCAGCCGCGTCTACAGGAAATCCTAAGCGACATGGAAAGCCTGGCCACCTTTTCCCGAGGCCGTTATGATGAGCCCGTTTACAGCGAGCAGCTGGAACAAGAGTATCCCAATTACAGGGTAAGTTCTTCTTTGGTTTGTTTAATACATAAATAAATGATAAAATATAATCAATAAGCAGCTAGATTATATTGTCAAAAAAACGTAATTGTAGACATGATAAGTGCCTCAAAAATGCCTTCAATCAAAGCTTAAGTATTTACTTTTTATAACTAGAAAAAAGCATCTTAAAATATAACAAAATATAGTTTATAAGTGATAATATTTTACTGCAGGACAACCGGTTCAAGGTCTGATATAAAATGAATGGGTTTAGCTATACATTGGTGAAATGATTATCAGCGTAATATGTTATATGACCATTGCTTATCTTTGTGACCGAATAGTTTTTTGTGAAGAATTTTCGGCAAAAGCTTCTGTTTTGGTTTAAACTAAGAAAATTCTAAATATCATCAAAATAGATCTATATATGTATGTACTTTCCCATTGACAACACACACACTACGGGGGAAAAATATCATTGACTCGTCACCCAATCATCAATCACTATCTCCCAATCGATCACTGACCCCGCTCCTGTTCTTCTACCACTCAGCTCTACGGCTTCACCCTCAACTTTGCCTATACCAATCTGGCGGCGATATCGGAACGCATACGGACGACCTGCATCCATTATAACAATGACGCCTCGGTGGAGTTTTGCGTGGCGGTACACCTGCATGCTCACGTTAACGATGTTATCTCGGTGTGGTTGTTCCTGATGTCCATGGTGCCACTATTATAAATATATATTGCAATTTAAATAATAAGAAAACCTTTTAGAAGAAGGTTTAATTTAAAGATCTCTATAATGTATCTTTTCATCTGGAAAGGTGATAATTATACAGTTGATAATAATACTTTTATATAGTCATCGAAATCAAATCAACTCACCCTCATTAGGGGCTTTTCTTTATCGGTATCAGTGTGATTCATATACAACTTTTTTATATCAGAATTAATATTTTATGAGTCTTTAATAAGATATTTAGGGAATTCTACAAATTCTAGGACCGTAATTATAATAAACTTACTTCCTTCGGAACTTTACTCCAATAAGTCGTAAATCACAATCAAAAGTTAATACAAATGGTATTACATAAAAGATTACGAGAAAATCAAGTGCAGTAATCATACCTGCTTTCCCTTTCCCAGTTCAAGCACGTGGGGGGAACAAGTACAAGTGCCTCCATGTGGTGGTGTGATTCAGAGCACCCGAACCCAAATTGAAATGCCAGAGGCTATCCCCCCAAGTTGGTATAGGAATCGCCTTATCAGTTTACAAATGCAGGCCCAACCGAACGGACTGATTTTTATCGCCTTCAAAAACCGGCGGCAAAAAAAGAAGAAGAAAACACTGTCGCCGCAAATATAATCTATTTAATTTGGTTTACAGCCCGAAAAATGTGTGTATATGTACTTATAGAAAAAGAGCGTGTAGTGTACGGCCCGTATTTATGATAAGCGATGACGAGGACTGGGTACGGAGGCACCAGGTGCCTCACCTCACCTGGAACTACGACGACAACGGGGTTAGTTCGCAGCGCACCCTGAAACCGACTATACGTCGCCTGATACCGCTCCGATCTTCGTTTCTATACTTCAGCATGTTCGAGAAACTGGCGGAGGATTATGCGAAATGCAAGCGCTACGTGAAATGGCTGTATTTGCTCTACGAGCTGAACACACAGATCGCCATCTGTGAGCCCTGGGAGAAGGTTTTCCTCAGTGAGTACTTGTCCACCTACGCATCCCGCACATACCCACATACAAGTTGTCGCAATTTGTGATTGTCTTTGCTCATCGATATCTTATCTGCGCCGGTCGTTCGTTCGGTCAGTTTGCGGGTCTTAGTCATAGGCGCAGCAAAAGAATAACAGTCCTCCCGCTTTCTCTTCCACAGACGTCCTGCTCGGATCCTGTATGTCCCTCATCCTGTACGCCTCCTTCGCCTACGTGCCCGGCTACTGTTTGAGCGTCTTCCATCTCCTGTGGCCCTTGGCGGGCGTGCAAAATCTCACTACTGGCTCCGTCTGCACCGCGAACATAGACGGCTTTTGTGGCAACGAGAGTGGAGCAGTCCTGTAATCTTAGTTTAGTCTTATCAGTAACAATAAATAATTTTAAAACGCAACGGCCGTGACGTCTTAATCCGGGTGCTGTAGCTGTCAGCTATGTGAAGTCATTGGTGGCAGTGCCTGTTTTTGTTAAAAGGTCTGGCAACGCCAAAATTTTCGGTTCTTTTTCTCCCTTTTGCTCGAGTTTTCAGCGTTTTCTAATTATATTTTCATTTTTCCAAAAGCGCGAGGGCTCGAGACTCACCTTACACCTGTAAAAACTATGAGTGGCGTGTAAAAAATAGGGGAAAATGCTATTTTCCTGAGCCCAAGTGTGGCCAGGTACCGTGTTTCTCCGGTAAATTTAATCGTTATGGGCAAATCAGCAAACGGTCACACCACTTGAATTAAAGAAACAAAATAATAACAAATATTGCATTAAAATTAACCATTTCTGGCCATGTCAAATGATAAGCGGACGGTATATGTGGGCGGCTTGGCGGACGAGGTAACAGAAAGGCTCCTGAACAATGCCTTCATACCGTTCGGAGATATAGCTGACATCCAGATGCCGGTAGACTACGAATCCCAGCGCCACAGAGGATTCGCCTTTATTGAGTACGAACAAGGGGAAGATGCGGCTTCTGCGATAGATAACATGGTGAGTAGGAAACCCTATATATCGTTGTATGAAACACTACATTCCACATCCCTTTCAGAACGATTCCGAGTTGTGTGGCCGCACGATCCGCGTTAACTTGGCCAAGCCCGTGCGCGTGAAGGAGGACAGTTTCAAGCCCGTTTGGGCGGACGATGACTGGTTACAGAAGCATGCCGGCGCAACACTTCAGGCCGAAGGAGACGCGGAGACGGAGAAGGTGGAAGAAACCCCCTCCACCGGTCCGGCTGTCATTGAAAAGGCAGAGAAGCGCAACCCACAGGTGTTCTTTGACGTGCGAATTGGCGGTAACGATGCTGGTCGTATAGTGATGCTGCTAAGGGCAGATGTGGTTCCTAAGACAGCCGAGAACTTTCGACAGCTGTGCACGCACGAGCAGGGTTACGGCTACAAGGGCTGCTCCTTCCACCGCGTGATTCCGGAATTTGTAAGTGGCTAATCCAGTCGTAGCTTGGTTCCCGTGTATACAGTAAATTACTTGTTTCTAGATGTGTCAAGGAGGCGACTTTACGAATAACAACGGCACTGGCGGGAAGTCCATCTATGGCAAAAAGTTCAACGACGAGAACTTTAACCTGAAGCACAACAGCTTCGGAACTCTGTCCATGGCCAACTCGGGAGCCAACACAAACGGGTCGCAGTTCTTTATATGCACCACAAAGTGAGTCAACCGTAGACATTCTCGAAATAATCCGAAATTAAATCGTCTTTCCTTAAACAGAACCGACTGGTTGGACAACAAGCATGTGGTCTTTGGTCATGTCATCAGCGGCGCCGAGGTAGTACGCAAGATGGAGCGTTGTGGCACCAAAACGGGAACGCCCAACCAGAAGATCGTCATCTACGCGTGCGGAGAACTTAAATAAAGCTAGGATTTCACAAAAGACTACTCTTCAACGTTCTCATTTATTGAAAAATCCACTAAGTCATAGGTAAAAGCGCACGCAGTGCACTTCGATCGGTAGCAGGGTGATCCCACCTACTGGAAGTAGGTCCTTGGCTTCCTGAACGAGAACAGCTTCCTGTTGCCCTTGTGGTGGACACGCTGGACCAGAGGGAACTTGATCTTGGAGTCGTGGAACTGCTTGACGTGCACGCGACGCGTCTTGGCGGCGGGGATCGACTCCACCTTGATGATCTGGATGGAGTGGGCACGGGCACGGTGGCGGGCGCCCATGTCGCGGTAGCACTGTGTCACGGCACCGCCGACGGTCAGGTCACGGTACTCGCGGTACATGTTGTGGGTGCCCGAGCGGGAATCGTAGCGCAGCCAGATACCGAAGTTCTTGATCTTAATCGGCGACGTCTCGTACACCTGCTTGATGGAGACAATCTCGCCGGTGGTCTTCTTGAACTTCTTCAGCTGGCGCAGGAAGTACCAGAAGCGGGATTTGGCGACGATGTTGTCGGGAGCGAAGATGCGCATCTTGTAGAGCGGGGTCTGGGGCTCCTTCTCGCTGGGCAGCTTGCGGCCCACGACCTCGTACTCCTTCAACTGCAACGGAAAGACATAAATTAGTGAAATTGCTCGTTGTAAACAAATGCGGCGACAGACGGGCGAACACAAACACACGCATGGCAGTTCTGTTGGTTTCTTTTTCTAGGTTATGTTTTCGGCGACGCATCTAAATTGTGAATTCATTTAGTCCAGCCTTCCAAGTGGCTTGTATTTCCAAAGCCATGACGTAGAACTATGCACTACATTATTTAAGTCAATTAGCTGGCGAATAGCGCCCATTTTCTTTACGAATAGTGGGCATATTTTCAGTCCACGACACATTCTTCTTTGACTTTGCTTTTTCACACAGAAATAGCTTATTTAAACTATTTGCAACTAATGCCATGCATGCGCCTGGCATCTGCCTCGCTGTTGTACACTTTTGAGCCGCAAAATTCGATCATTTAAATCATTTTTTTGCTAAATACTAACCAATCCCTTGGCTCTCATGTTGGACGTTCACGCGAAAAGGAAACGGAAAGAGCTTGTCAAATCGAAAAATCGACCACCTCGACTCAGGGCTGGCAAAAACGATATCGATAGCCAAGAGCACGAAAGAGTAATTAAAGAAATTGTTTAAATATAGCCAGGTACAAGGCAATTATTCACATTATCATGAATAATGAAGCATTAAATTTCCAATTACTACGTTTAATTAAAATATTACAACTTATTTCTGACTATCGATATGTCAACACTGAACCGCGATGCCACAGGGTTGCATTTTTGGCAGTCACACCAGCACGCTGCGCAAGCTATCGAAACTCCGCCCATCCCTAGCTTCTGCGCGTGTTTCAATGGCTGTAAAAGCGAAAAATATTGCTAAAAAGTTGTTTTTCCCACGTAATTCGAGCGTTCTCGCCTGCAATTTTTCGCAATTCGCGGGCCTCATACAATACTTAAAGTGTTGCACGCAATCCGCAGTGGGAAGGAACGCGAACAAAGTGAGCAGAACATAAAATGCGAAGCGTGGACGGCGACGTGCAAAAAGAAGAAAATTTTATTCCTCGTTACCGAGACGCGCAAAAAGGCGAAAAGTCTGGATTGCGCTAGAGAATTATTCACTGTTGTGAAATAACATTGCGCAACTTGTGGAGAGTCCTGGTGTGTTATTAAACAATTGAAACCAGGCGCAAATTGTATAAGCAGAGCGCCCGTCTGGGGCGCGCAGGGACGAGCACTCAGAGGGGTGGGGGTGCCGTTCTTGTTCAGTCTCGGCCAATCCGCTGGGCAAATCTCTCGGTTTCGGTCTCTTGGTTCAGTTGTGCAGCGAACTTCCGTGAAATCGGTTGTTGTTTTGGTGCGGTACGTTCTCTTTGCGGTTTGCGCGCGTAAAATCATCTCCTTTGCCCGTCTCTCTCGCCGCCGTTTCTCTCTCTCTTGCCGCTCTTGCTCGTCTCTCACCCGCGCTTTGTGGGAAAATTCTACCTAAGCACGGTACAGCAACAACAACAAGCGGGGGAAAAAAAAACGGCAACAGCAGCAGCAACAACAAGAAGTCACAGGAGGAGAGGAGCAGGTAAATAAACGTGCATAATTGCTGTACATGTGATTGTAGTATCATTCCAAGAATATTTTAAGTAAATTCGTTTATTTTTAGCGAAAAGTGGCTCTCGCTTTTCGGTTTTCTACCACTTATTTTGGTATTTTCAATTATTTTGCTTTGCTATTTTGCTTTTGTGCCAGGGCTGCACACTCAGAATGACCGGTGACTTTTTCCCTTCTGCAATTGCAATGTTTATGCCGTAAAAATATATTATCAAACAGCGGAATCTCGTATTTAGAGCCGCATAAACGCATATTTATGGACATTATCATGGATATGGGTGTCAATCCTAATACCACATTTTATAAAATAATGTTCATTTCGCTTTCAGTTGTGCTGAGAACGCTACGAATTCGCAGAGAGAAAGAGCGAGAACCGGAACGGATTCAACGCAAACGGCATGCAAAGGTAATAAACTATACAAATTTCGCCCCTCAAAGTGCGTTTAATCGACTAACGCTCTGTTTGTTTTTTCTACAATCTGTTTTTAGCGTGTGAATGCAGAAAATATGATGGAAGCATTGGATCAGCAACAAACCAAGCTAACGTCTACAAAAGATGCTGGAGACGCGGGAACAGGAGCAGAAGTCGGAGCTGGAGCTGGAGCGGGTACTGTCTGTAGCGAGGAAGATGACTTCGAGGAGCCTCATCCTGCGCTGGGCTTGGCGGAAGAGGATACAGCAAACGAAAACAATAACGCCGCTGCTGATGGAAAGCGGAAAAAGAGCGCAGATGACGTGATAGACTTTACCCTGGCAAATGGCCAAAGCAGCAGAGATAGACGAGAGTCAAGAGATGGGGCGGAGGATGACGCCGAAGCAGCCGTTACGGAAGAGACATTAAAGGAATCTCCTGTACATTTGGAGGAAGATAAAGATCTTGAGAGCAAAACAGCAGCATCTCCCGGTGAAGCATACCCCGAGTCTGAGAAAACAGAGCAGGTCGATGATGTCCAAGACGAGCTCCCAGAAAACACAGCAATCTCCATAGAGGATGAAAGCTTGGCGCATGATAAAGTAAATGCCGAAGTGACTCCCCCGCCTGTTATAGATCTGGAGTCGGATTCTGATAGTGGAGCTGAGGAGGAGTTTCTGTCCTTTAAAGATCCCAAGAGCCCAGTTCCAGAGAGTGACGAAGAAGTGGAAAGGGAAGAGGAGGAGCAGGAGGAGTCCCAGCCCTCCAATGAACTTTACAAAGGTCCAGCTGGTGATCGGGTCTCGGCAGCAGATGAAGACATGGATTTAGTTCAAGAAAAGACACCGCAACCCACACGAGAATTTATGTTGGAGGAATCGGACACTGTGGACTCTCCCTCGTTGACCATGGATCTAGATCACGTGGATGTACCAAGTAGTGAGAATGGGGATGGGCATCCCCATATCGAAGCCATTAAGCTTGAGTCCGATTCTGAAGAGGAACATCCGGGGGAGAGCACCAAGTCAAAGGGTGCTGCACCTACTGCCGCTGATGTCGTCCCGCCGATCAAGCTGAACGGAGCTCATCAGTCTGCGAAAGAGGGACATAAGGAAGAGGATGCAGAGGAGCTTCAGCAGGAAGAAGGTTACGTGGAGCAAGAAGAGCCCCAGCAACTGTCTGTGATAACAAACCACACTGGCACCAACGTTGATGCTAAGCCGACAGCCGCTTCGCCGGAGCTGTCCCTCTCTCGGGTGCTACCCATTCGAAGGAGCCGCAGCAGGAGCACCAGTTGCGGGAGCAGCACCATTAGCTCTGCTTCGCAGCCCCAATTGATTATTGATCATCCGGAAACTGATCAAAGTGCCAGGGTGCCGACGCTGAAGCTTTCCATGAAGCGCAGGCGCAGCAAAAGTTCCTCCGTCAGCCAGCCCGACCAGCAGCAGCAGCAGCAGCAGGACCAGCCAGAGAAGCAGCGGCCGAAGGACGAAGCAGACGGCTCGTCCTCGCTGCTCCTGCAACGCCTCCAGGGAAATCCCAATGCTGGTCCATCGGTCACAACCGCGGACAGCCAATTCCTTAACTGTGCCAAGTGCAATATGCAGTTTGAGTTCGAGAGTTTTCAGCAGCTAAATGAGCATCAGGCTCAGTGCCGAGGTTTTGCCAGCAGCGTTAGCACGGGCAGCTCCACGTTGCCCTTGAACAAGGAGCGGTACTTCCGGTGCAGACAGTGCAGCAGTGTCTTTCAGTGCTGGAACTTCTTCAAGCACATGCGGGATGCGCACCAGCTTTACTTCTGCTTGTACTGCTCACACGTATTTCACGTTGCCGAAAAGCTGTCGCTGCATCTAGAGAACAAACACGACATCGACCAGCGCCATTTCGCCAAGGAAGGGTGGATGCTGCAGCGGGAACAGAGAGATCGGGCCTCACATTTCATCTGTTGCTCCTGCCAGTCAACTTTCCTCGAGGGCACTGAGTTCGAGACCCATGATTGCTCGCAGTTCATGCAGCCTTGCACTCTGTGTGGCCAAAAAGGCGGCCATGCGGTCGGCTGTCGGAATAATAAACGAAAGCCGGCCAAGAGACGCAGAAAGATGCGAAAGCCGCCGGAACCGACTGCTCCGCCACTTTTGCAGGACCACATTGTCCAGCCTGCTCCCATAGAGATGGAACTGGTGCAGTTCCAACCGCAACCTCAGCAATTTAACCCTGCGGAGAACAGTAAGTTGTATAAGTTACCTATTACTAAGCCACATTGCTTCATCATTATGCTCTTTTTGCAGTTCCAGCGCCCGGGCCCGTCGCAGAGCCTCCAGCTCCTCCCAGTCCTAAATTGGTGGTGCCCAAAATTATGTTGCGGGTACCTAAGGAGTTTCAAAAGTCTGTGGATGCTGCTCTTAGCAGCACCGACACGGAAGAGGAGGAGATGGACGTTTCGCAGCCGGCAGAGGAAACGGCGCCACTGCCGGCCGATGATGTGCCGATGGAAGCTGCACCCCCCGAGAATTTGCCAACGGAAGCAGCACCAACGGGACCATCGCCAATATTCAGCTTTGATGACTCCCCCGCGGCCAAGCTGAACCGCGTTTTGGCCGAATTAGAGCGCACCAAGCTGGACATTGAGCGTACCAAGGCGGATATTATAACAAAGAAGCAAGCCAAGGTAATTATGGCCCAAGCCGAGGAGAATATGATGGCCCAGCCGGCGGACGTTCGTCTGCAGCAGCAACAGCCACAGCCGGACGAGCAGCGTCGATGGTCGCTAACGCCGCCTGCATCTCCCCACAACAACACCAACAACCATAACAACCACATGAATCTGCCCCAGCCACCGCCGCCAGCTTTGATCACTGAATTTGCTGATCAGCCCGATGCAGAGCGTCGAAACAGCCTCGGCAGTGATTGCATGGACATAGATGACACCTTGAATGGTCCGGATTACGCGGATAATAGGGAACAACACGTGGAGAAGGCACAGGAATCGCTGATACGACCTCAAAGTTCTCAGGAGAATCAGACGATACCTCATTTTCAGCCATCTCTGCCTCCTCCCCCTCCGCCTCCTCCAGCCGATGGCATAATGGTTGCTGGAGTTGAGACGCCAACGGTTGATCTGCAATTAAACCGCCCGTTGGACCGATTTTCAATGGTGGACTTTGTGCGCTTGTGTTTAAACGCGGTGTTTTCTGTGTGTCTGTACTGCAACCATGCGCGGCGGATCGCGGTGAACGGAAAGCAGCTGGTGCTGCACTTGATCAGCCAGCACCGCTTTACGGCGACAGTTGACAGCATTACAGCCGAGGAGCTGTATGCAGAGACAATTGTGGCCCGGCTGAAAAGCTTCCTGCCCCACCTCGAGCAAGAGTATCTGAACGCGGCCAGTTTCTGCACTTTGGAGAAGAGCACGTATGAGGTGCAGGATTTCAACGAGCGTATCTACGAGTGCTTCACCTGCCGGTTCATAACCTACACGCACAAGGAGCTGTACACGCACAACCGGAGGCTGCACATGAAGTCGAATATTACGTGCGTCATGTGCCAGATGAACTTCTATAGCTATAGCGAGATCCTGTGCCACATCTGTCCCGGAACGGTGGGTGGCAGTATCTATGACCTAAAGTTTCGATGCTGTCTCTGCGATGTGTCGCCCCTGCCCTCCGCCTTCCGGCTGATGGTGCATTTGAGGAAGCAGCACCAGGCGTGCGACATCTGCCTGGAGGATTGCCAGAATCAGTCGAAGCTATCGGCGCACGTGTGGAAGCATAAGCTGTTGCATTTGTGCTATCGCTGTGGCATCGCCTACCGGAACAAGCAGGACATCTCGAAGCATCTGTTCTGGAAGCACGGTACCGAGAGTGCCAGCTGCAGGAAGTGCTTACAGAAGCGCTGGCGCCATGTCTATCACTTTTGCGTGCCGCCCGTGCAGTTTCCGTGCGAGCAGTGCGGCTTCAACTTCAGCAAGGCCATTTACCTCGAGGTCCACGAGCGGATGCACTCTGGCGACTTCCGCTATGCCTGCGCCGAAGAGGGCTGCGAGGAGAAATTTGTGTCGCGCAAGCTGCTCCTGAATCATGCCAGCAGTCATGTGGTAAAGGAACTACCACATGAAGCTCTGATGGCGCCGGCGGATGAAGCTTCCACGGGCGGCCAAAAGCTGGAGGAGATGATAAAAAAGGAGTCGGAAGAGGAGGGCGTGGAAATGCAAGATGGAAAGCCGGCTGAAGGACAACATTTGGCTGACGTCGAAAAAAAGGATTCGGACAAGAAGGAGGATTCCGAAAACAACAAGGAGTCGGTGAAAGGGTCAACTGACAGCAAGTCGGAGAATCGCAAAAAGCGCAAGAAATCCAAACGCAGCAAGGAATCCCTCGAGGACCTCAATCTCATCGCACCCAATCTCTCGGAGTCGGACAGCAGCGATGACAGTGACTCGGATGCTCCGCGAAGCAGCCACCAAGAGCAGCCAGCAACGCTGCCGATGCGATCCTCTGTGGACGACCTAGACATGCCCAAGGTGATGCTGTCACCATCCTCTGAAAGCGATGCCGACGAGCCGATGGATGGAAAGCCCAAACTGGAGGACAAGGAGCAACCAGCTGTTGAACAAGTTCAAAAAGAAGAAAAAGAAGAGCAGAATGGATCTAAGACCGAAGGAGAAGGGGACTCCAAAAAGGAAGATGAAGAGGAAATGGATGTCTCCATTTGGAAAAATCTCCTGCAAAATCAGGCAGCCGTTCCCGAAGAGCCGGCACCAGTTAAGGAAGAAGAAATTGCCACCAAGATTCTCGAACAGCCACCTGCCAAGATCCATGTGGCCTGGTCGGATCACGATTACTGCAAGCTGCACCGCACTCCTCCCCCCTCGCCCGTCAAGCAGAAATCCACTCCGAAGTCCGCTAACAAAAGGCCTGGCGGTGGGAATGCCTCCAGCGATAGCGACTCTTCGAGCTGCTCCAGCTCTTCGGACTCGGATTCTTCGAGTTGCTCCTGCGGCACTAATTGCAGCTGCAGTTCCAGCAACAGCAGCAGCTCCAGCGACGACTCTGACGATTCTGATAGCTCTAATAATGCTGCAGGCTCACCGCAGAAGCGTGCTCGCAAAAAGTCGCTGAAGCACAAGAAAAGCGGAGAGTCGCTTACGCGGGCTGAGCAATCTGAGCGAGGTCACGAGGACTTGGATATCAATGTGACGGCCTTGAATGAGGATAATCCAGCCCCTGCTCCGCCATCACCGCAGCCGCCGATGTATAATGAGTCCGACTTCGATACTGCTTTCTCGGAAACGGATGAAGAGTTCTACGACCCGCATCCCCAGAAGCTGGCCAACGAGCTGCTGACGCAGAAGCGCGAGGCTCTCCTTGCGGAGCATGCGCCCCTGGTGCCGAGCAACAATTACGATATCGTGGAGAACAGTCGCCCTTCGACCCCATCACTTCCGGAGGAGGCGCTCGCGTTTGCCGATAAGCGGGAACGGGTGAGAAATAAGAAAAAGAAGAGAGAACGAAAGTCTACATGCAAGTCGGGCAAGATGCCGCCGATGGTCGTCAGTACGCCGCTGCCCATGGACGCGATGCCTGGAGTTTCTGCAATGTCTGGGATGTCGTCGATGACCGGAATGGTGGCGCCTTTGGAACCACCCACTCCTTTGCCGGCGCACCACGAGGCGCCTCTGTTTCCCGTTACTCCCCTAACCCATCGCCATCTACAGCCCTCGGTCACGCCGAGAAGTGAGGGCAGCAGTTGCTCGGATGCCGATGGCCAACTGAAGCGCTCCAAGCGCCAGCGAAGACCCAACAAGTTCTACGGCTACACGAGCGACGATGAGAACATGAGCACCATATTGGCGCCGCCGTTACAGGTTGGGATGCAGCTGATTAAGCCCCAGCCCCCGCCACAGTTGACCTGGGCCAAGGAGGATCTACCCACGCCGCCCAAACAACGCAGCAGGAATAACAACAACAGTAGCCATCATCACTCTCACTCCCATAGCAATGGCGGAACCCCGCTGGCAGGATCCTCCCGGAAGAGGAGTAAGCAGCGCTCACTGCTGGGCGCTGGCGGATCTCGATCCGCGAAACGCCACAAGCCGGATCGAGAGGATAACTTACCACCCATTCCAACCCTCAAGATCCGCCCTAGTTTGCTGCCCACTGCTCCGCCCACGGACAGCAGTGAGAGCAGCTCTGAGGATGAGGACGTTGAGGTCAATGTGACCAGTTTGATACCAAACCCGCAACTAGCACCGCCATCCGCTGGCTTGCTGGCGCCACCAGTTGTGGCGTTGCCGGTGCAACCACCACCTCCACCGCCACCAGCGGCCACGGCCTTTAATCAACCCATTCCGCCTGCCCTGCTGCCCAATCCTGGATTCGCCACGCTGCAGTACTTCAAGGCCAACAACATCCGGTATCCCATTCGACCACCAGCCGGAGCACGTCTCGCCCGCGAAGGTGAATCGGTGTACTGCTACTGTCGCTGCCCCTACGACGAGGTGTCTGAGATGATTGCCTGCGACGGAGACAACTGTCTGATCGAGTGGTTCCACTTTGAGTGTGTGGGCATAATGGTGGCGCCACAGGGCAAATGGTTCTGTGCCGAATGCCGGCCGAAGTACTCCGAGGGCTCCTACCAGGGCGCGAACCCTCAGTGACGCTGAGGCGGGCTGGCTCTAACGACATCCTTGCTTCCTCCTTGCAACAGCCACAAATAATAATATACTATAACTACAACAAAACCCACTACAGAATGGATTACGCTTATTAATTGATAAAACAACATGTAGTCGCTTCTTCCCGGTAATCAGCTGGGAACGAGATATATCTAAAACTACTAACAAAAAAAATAAACCCTCTTTATATATTTATATATTACGTATAAGTAAAGATCGAAGAAGATAATTGTGTAAACCCAGGCTCAAAGATGCTCTCCGCGGAGGGAGCGTAAGCTAAGCTAATGCTAATTCAAATATCTGCAACAAGCTTATATATAAATATATATATATATCTACTTCGATAAGTACTAAATTTGTATATAAATATAGAGATGTGTAAAATAGCTAGAGTACGCAAGAGATCCCATAAAAAAAACCTAGGCAATAAGGGCCTTCACTTATACATAGCAGTCCCCAAACTTAGTTCTTAACTAAATCTACATATAAAATTATACATGACTATGATTAGATACAAAACCACAATCGAAAATTAAATGCAAATCTCTGAATGCAATCGATTATGAGAGAAATAAACAACACGCATCAATGTGAGAGACATATACAAAAGCCACTATCGAAACTAATTGTCCTAATTTGTTTGGTCACTCCTAGGAAGGGGCTAATATTGGTTCATCAATCCATATGGTAATCAACAAGGCTATATGACTGGGGCTTTTTAACAAGAAGAGACTCATTAGTAATTGAATCTGGTTGAAGATAAATTTAAATTTATCCTCAGTTGGATTCTAGTAAAATCGGGAATACTGATAATATATACATATGTTGTAGGGTCTTACTTGAATTTTAAAGGCCTAAAATATACTAAAGCATTTCTTGTTTCATAAAATATACATACATCTAATGGTAATTCGTAAATATTCCCAAGAAAAGTCCTTGAGGTTTTCGGAAATTTCAAGAACTCTTTCTCAAGCATATGCATTTCAGGGAACTCCCTTAATAAATCTCAAATAACTGTGAACAATGGGTTAACCCAGCCGTCCAGGCTCGTGGCTTAATATCCTGAAAAAGGAATTCCACGTTCCCGACTCTGATTATGCCAAAGTAAATGCAAATAAGCCACGACAAGCCAGCGAGCCAGCCAATGTTGTTGTAGTTGCGCACGATGAATGGGCACGAATGGCGCCAGGGTCAGTGGTGGGGTCATCCGGACAACCAACCAACCATCCACCCAACCATGTTTGTTTACCAACAGCACGTTGATTTAATTGCTATTATGGCCAGGAGTCTCACCAGCGACTCGCAGCGAGAGCTGCCTTTGGCGAGTGGAATCAACAACCACAACAATGTCCAATTACAGGTGGTGCCGGGCGGGGGTGGCGGCCACTGGGCAGCGGTCAGTGGTCGGTCGGTGGTGTGCGTGCGTAGAAATTACCATAAATCTGATGGCTGGAATAAAAAAGGCTACTCTGGTGAACTTGGCCAGCCAGTTCGTGTTGAGTTTTTGCGGCGCGAGGTTATCCGGAAGAGCGGAAAGGCAGACACTTTTGAATATTAACCCGACCTGCGTGTCACCGTAGTGAGTCGCTTCGCACATTGCCATGTCCACGGGACATCTAAGCGCCGAGCAAACAAGAGCCCACTTATCCTGCCTAGCTGGTCGCATCTAGGCGGTGGCCATGGTTCGTCGGGCCTCCAGTGTTCCGCATCTGAACAGCAGCGGCGGGAGCAGTGCGGACAGCGCCGGTACGTCAGGTAGCCGACGGGGTCGGGCGCCCGTTGCCGGTTCTCGTGGTAGCCGGAAGACGCCTTCGTCCACCGGTCAGGGCCAGCGTCAGGGCTCAGGGAGCAGCAGCAGTGTGCCACGATCCCGTAGCCTGACTAACGGCATGCGTCGTCTCAGTCCGCAGAAGGGAACGGGCAGCAGCGGAGGCACCGGCAGCGGCGGAGGAGGTAGTTCCCGGAATACGCCTTATTTTCTACGTTCACGCGAGAATGAGTAAGTGTGGGATAAGGATTGCGATGCTTCCCACCGTAATCAATAGGTGATAACTTGAGGACAGTGAAACCTGCTTAAAATATTGTTAGGCCAAGACTCAAGTGAAGCCAAAAAGGTTTGACCAGGAGTGCCATAGATTTAGCTGTGGTCTTTAAACCAAATGAAAAAGCGTCCAAAAACAGGAAAGCCAAAAGCCAAAAAATATTGGGCTATTAGACACATTTTTAATTAAGTTTTTAAATTCATAAATTAGGCGACTAATTCTTTAAATTAATAGACTTAAAAATATATTCTAATAGTGTAGAAAAAATGAGTTTAATTAGAATAGTTGTACAAATATTATAAATATCAGGTATGCCTTAAAATCCAAAATTAATCATCGAAAACTTTAACTAATAATTAATTTTTTATTTAAAAAACCTTTTGTTATAAAAGCTTCTCAAATAATTGTAAATGAATTATCAATTAAAGTTTACAAAATGGTTACTGTACTTATATTTTTGGAATTTTAATAGCGATATACACATTATACACGCTCCCCTGTTGTAAAGCCTTGGCCAAAGTCGTAATATAGGCAATTATTTATTAAATGAGTCTATATGGGCGTACTGGGGAAATGTATTAATTTGCATCAGACCATTTGGCAGGACGGGAATGGGAGGCAGGGGGTAATGATAACACGACAGGTCGGGAGTAGCCAACTAGCCAACTCACCCCTAATCGGCGATCCATTAAAAACCGACCAACTCGAGGCAAAGGAAAAGAAACCGGGGAAAAGCCACGGGCCAAACCATAATGACCACGCACAATAAGTAATCCAAGGGAGATAGACAGGAAAACTGTCCGGCGGACAGGCAATCAAGCGGACGGACAGACAGCGGACGAGCAGTTAGCCTCCATTTAGGCAGCGGGGGCGGAAAAAAGAAGGCAAGTATCACCAAAGATCTGGGGGTTGAGTTCTCGGCGAGCACGACACAAATCGATTTTGCAATTAAAGCATATTGAAGTCCGCGGCTGTGAGCACGAGTATGTGTCCTGGCCTATCTTTGACCGGAGTTGAGAGCGAAAGTGACATATTTATGATAGTTTTTATTTCGGTCTCCGCACAACGGAGTTAAGGTTAAGGACCCTAGTTCTTTGCCTCGCTGGCAACTGGGTTAAGTTTGTGGTTAGAAGTGGTACCGAAAGGTTCATCAATTATTCAGGCAAGAAAAGGTACTACACTCCGGTTACTTCAATGAAAGTTTGAAACCTAATTATCTAGGCCAGGAAACTCGTGTAATTTTGTTGCTCATCTTCCAGAGAAGTAATACCAATACTTTGTATTGATGACTGCAAGTCTGCAATTGGCACCTATGTCATTTGGTAATTAAGTCTGTAGGTATATGGAACTAGGAGTTTTTTTTTTTAGATAGAACACGATTAATCCCAGCAGCGTTATAATTATTTTCGAGCACGCATGTGTTTCAGTCTTTTGATTAATGAATGCGTTGATAGCCTTATGATGGACGACACACTCTTTCGAATTGGCAGTGCCCGCCAGTTGTCATAAATAATATTTATTAAATATATATAGTATACGACCATAATTCAACTAGATCTGGCCCGGGCATCGATGTACATTAGCTAAATTCCCGGACCTGCCCAAAGTACACTTACACCGAAAGCGAATTCGCGTGCGTAGCGACCAGTAGTCGGGAGTTTGAAAATCCATACAGTTCGTATATAGAGTATGGATTTTCCTGGCATGCACACAGAGAGTTAGGTCATAATTACGCCCCTAAAGATAATCAAGCCTGACAGTTCGTTGCCTAAACTTTTGCATGGCTAATAAATGTCTCCCACAGTCCCAGCGATTCAAAATCAGCGATTCCATGACTGAGAAATAAAAGTGAGAGTTCCAGTTTCTCGCTCGCCGCTACGCTTTATTTGATTCGCAAACAACTGACACGAAAAAAACCCATATTTTCGATGCTTTTAAATCGGCACTGGGCAATTATTTGATATTTGTTTCATGCTAACATTAACCTTCTGGCCAAGTAGGCTTCTATTTACACAGGCTTACAAATATGTTAACGACTGGCCAATTATCTATAGTATCTTGTATAGACAAAGGAAATTATTGGTCTCTTAAAATAAAACAAAGCTTGAAACAACTAAGAATTAAATGGAAACAATAGTCTTCGTAAAGTTTAAATCAAAAATGAGTACCAAACAAACCTAGGTTAATATAGAATAAGTTTTAGCTAGGTCAAAGGATGAGTTAGTAAACCAATTACAAAATTTCCCAGAACTTTTCAACAAAAGAAACTCTAGTTCTCAGCTACTTATTTCTGTGGTATTAATATATATTGTCCAATAGATTATTTAGCAATGACTGGGGGCAAAACCACTAAAAGTTGATTGAACTTTTCTTAGCACTAAGCACTTAAGACTTCGCTCCCCAAGGGGTTCGTGTTAATTCTTCTCCATTGGCGCCTTCTGAAATATTTACCAAGAGCACACGGCAGGCCCAACTCATGTCTGATTAATATACGTGGACGGTAGATTCTTTGGTAGTATGGCCATTAGGCCATGAATATTTAACAAGTCATTTACGTGAAAAAGTTAAATGTCAGCTCCGTGCCACACACAATCACGCCAAGATGGCGCATCGCACATACGCCGCGTTGTCCGGCCTATTTGCAGTTCAATAAACTGTTTATATTGGAAACATTTTCGTTCTAGATAATTGCGGGGTTAGCAAACACAGCTAAAACAAAAACTTGTGGAAATCTGAATCAATAACTTAGGGTCTTGTATTTACATATTTCCATAAGGCAGCGGACGATAAAATTTTGTTGAAGCGAATTTGTTAATCCAATTGAAATGTAACCCCCCGCACTCTTAGGTAAACTAATTGCGACCTAGTGTGAAATAAGGGGCTCCAATAAAACAGAAAAACCCGAAAAGCAGTGAGCCCTGCTGCCATCCACCCTTAACCTTGGTTATTTATAGGCCAGTCAACGTCAGAGCTCCATCAAGTTCAAGGCAATTCAACAAAAATTCAGCGAATTCGCAGAAGCCACAACAATTTTATTCCATAAAATAATGGGGGAGCTGGGTTTCACTTTGATTGATTAATTGCGATTGTGGAAGTTTCGTTGCCAAGTTTAGGAGCTGCTTGAAATCCCGCATGGAGAGAAATAAGTAATAACTATTATTTATTAAATTAGCTTTATTGGGATAGGCCACGGCAGGTATTTATAGGAATCCTTTAGGGAAAACCGCACAATATATGTATCTATAATGACCCGAGGTAATTTCCACAGGATTGGTAGTGCCGACACCCTGGAAATCGTGGCCTCCAAGTCCACGGGCAGCGAGGAATGCTCCACGCCCGAAGACAATATCAATGTGGTAGTGCGAGTGCGTCCTCTGAACGACAAGGAGAAACGAGATCGCCATGGATCAACACTGCAGTTTCCCGGAAATGGACAGGTTATAGTAAGTTGTATGTCTAAAATCTTGTAACTTGTATTAATGCCGAACCCTCGACAGCTTGAGGGTCACGATGTGGGCCAGAAGAAGTCACATAATCGGGACAGTGTTCGCGTCTTCACCTATAATGTGGTCTTCGAGCCGGGTGCCACACAGGAGGACATCCTAGACTACTCAGGCATCAAGCGCATCATAGAGATGGGCATTGAGGGATTCAGCTGTACGGCGTTTTGTTACGGCCAAACGGGCTCCGGCAAAACGCACACGCTGACAGGACCCCCGGATTTGGTGAGTTAAGGAAATGTTTCTGAAGGTAAATTTTGGACTTTGCTATCTTGTACATATGTATATTCCAGTTCGTTGGCAAACCGAATCCCAAGGATCCGCGTCATGGCCTCATCTTCCGTTCGTTTGTGTACCTCTTCCAATTGATTAAGAATCGCAAGGATGTCAACTATGTGCTCAAGGCCTCGTTCATGGAGATCTACAATGAACGGGTATGTTGGTGCCCCACGTGGGACTCGAGCTTGAATTCCCATCAGAAAAGTCCGAGGCTTGACTTGACCTCTGGCCGTTCAATTTAAATTTAAATTGCATTTGACCATAATACTGATTGCGCCTAACCCCCTCCAAACATTGTATTGACCTCCTTTTAATGGATGTCAGCACGCTCAACCCTCGACCACCACTTGACCGTTTGGCCACCACCCACCTTTCGTGGTTTGTCACAATGCGTGAAATGTTTCTGCATTTTGCGTGGCATTTTCAATGATTTGTTTTCTTAGCCCTTTCCTCCTCCAATTTCCTTATTGGTTTCGCAAATTGAATTGAATTTTTTATTGCGTCCTTAGGTAATCGATTTGCTCAATCCGGGAAGTGCAAGGAAACCGCTGGCGGTCCGTTGGTCCAAGAAATCGGGTGGTTTCTTCGTGGAAAACCTGTTTACGGTGGACTGTGAAGAATTGGATGATCTGTTGGCTGTTCTGGAAGAAGGTAAGTCCATTTTGGTTACAAAGTTTAGAGGTTCTAAAGTCCTAAATATCCGTCTTCTATCTTCAAGGTATGAGAAATCGTGCTGTTGGCTCTCATGCTATGAACGACCACTCGTCTCGATCCCATACGATACTCACCGTCCACATCCTGTCCGATCAGCAGACGGATGGCGGGGTATTCCTATCCAAGCATGGCAAGATCAACTTCGTGGATCTGGCTGGCAGTGAGCTGACCAAGAAGACCATGAGCGAAGGCAAGACCTTGGAGGAGGCTAACAACATTAATAAGAGCCTTATGGTCCTGGGCTATTGCATTGCCTCGCTGAGTGACAACAAGAAGAGAACGGGCCACATTCCCTACCGGGACAGCCAGCTGACCAAGCTTCTGGCCGATAGTCTGGCCGGGAATGGAGTGACCCTGATGATCGCCTGCGTTTCTCCAGCCCATTACAATCATGCAGAAACTCTGAATACTTTGCGCTATGCCTCCCGGGCCAAGAGAATACGCACCAAGCCCGTGATCATGATGGATCCGCGAGAGGCACTTATTCTAAGCCTGAAGCGTGACATCCATGCACTCCAGATGGAGAACGATCACTTGAAGGCAGCCCTTAATCTGCACCATCAGGCAGCCACAAATGGTGCCGGACCCACGGAAAATAATCTCCTCGAGCTGCAGCTCGACCGAGTAAGCAGCGGTGGCGGCGGAGTACCCGTTCCCAAAGTGGATCTGGAGCGATTACCCGAGCTGGATGGCTCCGAGCTGGCCGAACTGGTGAAGCTGTACATGGCGGAGAATGAATCGTTGAGGCAGGAGAACAACCACCTGTTCACCGTGCGCGAGACGATTCTCAGGGATCAGGAGATCGTGTGCCGAGAGAATGAGCGTCTGCTTAAGAAGCTGGAGGATGTGAATAAGTAAGTGCGTCATGTGGGTGGATAGGTCAGACTTAGGTCGGTGCGTCTTGGTTGACCGGGATGCAATCTCCATCAGGCTTGGCTCATTGTTCTCTCCCATTTCTGACTCGTTCTAGATCGAAACCGAGCGGGGACGAGGACAATGAGCCGAGCAAGGAGACGCAGCCCAAGGAGTGAATAAAAAATATATATCAGACGTTTTCTACTTTATAACATGTTTTTACGGAGTGTGTATTTGTAACTGTTTTTCAAAAACAAGCCTAGAGTGTGACTAGTAATGTAAGAGATTTGTAATAAAAGTTTGTTTCTGTTCCTACGAACTTAAGCAATACATCAAACGGGAAAAGGGTTAATTTGTGCCTTGAGTTAGATAGATTACATTTGTATAATTACCTCATTGCAGAGTCTGCGTGCGTTCACCTTTGATACCGGCACGCCCGGCTATATCGCCGACCACTGGAAAGGAGACACCCGGCACTGAGATATGGACCAATCCCGAGCCACTTCGAACTCCGCCGGGACCGCAGCTGCCTCTGGACCAGAGAATGTCGGAGAATGCCGAGAAGCGGACACATACCGCCCAGAAGCGTATCGATCAGCAACGCATAGCTAAAAACATTCTGATTATGGCCAATGCATTCCGGAAACCGGACGCAGACTTGGCAAAGGAATTGAACATTAACCCGGAAAAGGCACCTGCAAAGCAATCGAACGACTTTATGCCTGAGTGAGTTAATTATTGAACAATCCATATTCAAACTTGTAAATCTCTCTTTTATTATCTTCAGCATGCTCACTTAGAGGCCTTTTTAAAGGAGACACAATGTCAACTCAGAGGATTATATAAATATATATTTTTGCAAAGGAAAATGGAAATTATAATTATAAATAAAATCGTTATTATTTAGCATATTACGTACTAAAGAAAATTCTTTGAATTAACCTTACTTGGTTTTTAAAAATCCAAGCTTTTTTGATCAAACTTCGTTCAAGCTTTTTTCCACCCCTTGAACCTTTGAAAAAGCTTTAGGAAAATCCACAGAAAAGCCGGAAAATCGAATTACCATTCCGTACGCGGCCACACTTTTGTAAATATTGATTTTTCAGCGCCCCTCCAAGAAATATCTGCGTAAGGTAAAGCTCACCGACTGACTGGCAGCAAATCGAGGAAAATAATAAACATTTTGGGTGAAATATTGCAGCTCCCAAGTATCCGGCGGCAGTATTACCATACCAGCATCCACCATAGGTCTCGCCGAGACAGCTGTCCTGGACATAATGGCTGCAAACCTGCAACAGCAGCGCTCCATCAACTCGCAGCTGCGACGCGAGGTGGGAATCGAGAGGATGCCCGTGTCCGAGGCCTGCTCCCTCATGATGAAGTACATGCTGGAGAACGAGGAGGAGGACTGCCTGCTCAGCGGCTTCACCCAGAAGGTGAATCCCTTCCGCGAGAAGAGCTCCTGCAGCATCCTGTAGGGTGTAGGTCTGCAGTGACCAGAACCCCCCGTTCCTAGCAGTATTATCCCATAAAGTATACTCAAATGCGGCGCAGATTCCAGAGATCATAGCCGCCAGGCCGTGTCGTGTCGTGTAACCTATTTGATGTTCGTTGTAAGTGTGTGCTCCGACCTCAATTATGTCTATAAACTGAATATATATGTATACAATGGATCCGGGCGAGAATTGATGAACGAGTAAACAATGAGAAGGGGAACCGTCTTGAGCTAAATGCCTGCACATCTGTGTATAGTATATAATATCGTGTATTTTGCTAATCCTGTAGCTCTTTATTGGAGAAACTAGCAAACATCCTGTCTATACCTATATAAATGTTTCGTATTGAGATATTCGACAAAAATAAAGCTATGTAGCAGCGACTTTCATGTAAATTGAATTGTATTTTTATAAATATATTGGAAATTTCCGGTTTATTGGGAAAATGTCGTCTGAAAAGTACTGCCAGAGGTCTAACTGTAGAAGCCCGAACGGGTCTGTAAATCCCTATTTCGTTTTCCTTTGTGAATTTCGAAAGAATCTTAAAAAGCGAGGCGTTCTCAACCTGAAGCCGACTTCCGTAGCCAAAATTGCTGGCAGAAAGTGGCGGGAAATGACTCCAGCGCAAAAGTGGGTGTATATCGAAACAGCCAAGACAAATAAGGCAAAGATTAAGGCCTCAAAATATCGCAAAACTGAAGAGGCTAAACAATGCTGCTTTAAAAAGGAGCAACATTTTAGAGAAAAAGGTTTAAATAAAAAATCAAATCTATCCCTGGTTGTCCCAGTTTGAGAAAGCAGTTCTAATTGGAATCTTAGTGCAGAATGGGAGTTTTACCTAATTGGAAATTATATGATTTTTCGAAATTATACGTTGTTATAAAATAAATTATACACAACAGTCTGCTGATCAGGCTAAACAATGACGAGCTCAAAGGGGTCAACACTTTACCAAAAATCATTGTAGATATAAAATTAAATCCACTCCTTTTTTATACCCTTGCAGGGTATTATAATTTCAGTCAGTAAAGGAGACCTTTCCGACCCTATAAAGTATATATATTCTTGATCAGCATCAACAGCCGAGTCGATCTAGCCATGTCCGTCTGTCTGTCTGTCCGTCTGTCTGTTTCTACGCAAACTAGTCCCTCAGTTTTAAAGCTATCTGAATAAAACTTTGCATATAGTCTTCTATATGCTCTCACTGCTATATATGTCGGAACGGGCCGGATCGGACGACTATATCATATAGCTGCCATACAAATGTTCGATATATTTTTAGAAAAAAAAATTATAACTTTGCTGCTTTTCAAAATTTTTGCACCATTTTTTAGATATGGCCATTTTATATTATTTCAGAATTTCGATAAAAATGTTATGAAAATCGGACGACTATATGATATAGCTGCCATAGGAACGATCGAGAAATAAATAGGAAAACAAGAAAGGAAGCTAACTTCGACACGCCGAAGTTCGTATACCCTTGCAGATTGCAATTGGATCACTAAGAATCGAGACATTCTGGTTAAATAATTAAAAATAAAAAATAAAAGAAAATATATAAAAGTTGTATATTTATTCATAACATTAATAAAATGCTGAAAACACACACAAAGCAGTTTGACAGTTTTTCCTAGTTTTACATTTTCTCTACATCTACCGATCGCTTCTATGGCAGCTATATGACAGTTGTCCGGTTTTCATAAAATGTATACCAAAATTTTAAAAATAATAGCAAAAGCTTAGTTTCTTGTTCATTTTTGTTCAAAAAATTATATAACAAGAAAGAAAGCTAACTTTGGCCAGCCAATGTTTGTATACCCTTGCAGGTAACAATTAAAATATATCATAACTAAGCCAAAAATGCATTAATTTCGATTCGGAAAGCAGTTTTGTGTTAGTTTTTATTAATTTAAAAAAACTGCATACCAAATTTAAAATTTTAAGAAATCAAAATTTTTGGCCATTTTTGCTAATTTTAATGATGTAACCCCTTATCAAATTTCGCAAAAATGGCAAAAAAAATCGATTTCTTCCGGACATGTCTAGAAAGATTCCCCTGTTGATGCTGATCAAGAATATATATGGTTTATGGGGTCGGAAATGACTCCTTGACTTAGAAAAATATTATTTTGTATTATAAAATCGGATTTTTTATATTAAAAAACTTCTTGATTTTTTTTAAAATTAAAAATATTATAACTCGGCCAAAAGAGCATAAATTTTAAATCGGAAAACTGTTCTGTGCTAGATTTTCTGCAGTTAATAAATCTGCATACTTCATTTAAAAATTTTGAAAATTCAATTTTTTATCAAAATTAAAAATTTTAATGATGTAACCCCTTATAAAATTTCCCAAATATAGCAAAAAAAATCGATTTCTTCCTGACATGTCTAGAAAGATTCGCATGTTAATGCTGATCAAGAATATATATACTTTATAGGGTCGGAAACGTCTCCTTCACTGCGTTGCAAACTTCTGACTGAAATTATAATACCCTGCAAGGGTATAAAAATGACAGGTAAGTATTTCAATAAAACTGAGTATGCAGTTTTATTAAGCTTAGAAAAACGAACTCAAAACCGCTTTCCGAATTGAATTTCATGCGTTTTTGGCTGAGTTATGATCATTGAAAATGAAATGAAATGAAAATGAGGTTTTTTTTCCCAAAAATGATCAAAATAAATCGCTCAATAGAAGGGCATTCTTGCGGTGAACAATGGAAAAAACATCAAATATTGCAAAATTGCTAGATCAGCATCACTGGCAGCTAGAGAGTTGCCATTTTGTACCAGTAATGAAAAATAGCTAGTTGAGCAACACTGGCAGTTAGAGATGCATTTTGTCCCAATAGAGCATCACTGATGCAGATGAGCATCACTGATGCAAGTGAGCAAAACTTTTCATTCAAATTGGCCGCTTTCCAAACAGGGGTAACAGGCGAACAGAAATCAGCAGCAAGCAACTGAAAACTGGTATAAACTGTTATAAAAACATTTGGGCAAAAATAATAATTGGTATAAAATGTTATATTTCATTTTATGCATTTATACCTATTTGTTGCCGGCAACAATAGCTTATGGCAACAACAACCTTCTTACAACAACATCCCACCAGCAGCCCATCAAAATTTCCGAAAATTTCCAAGCAAATTGCCCGTTTCCCAAATTGGGGTAACAGGCGAACAGAAATCAGCAGCAAGAAGCTGAAAACTGGTATAAGCTGTTATAAAATGTCCAAGTTCAAAACCATTTAGGAGCCGGCGCAAGTTAGCGGAGACTCAAACCTTTTGAATCCAAATTTAGGTGTTATCTTACAGCTGCACCTGGGCACACTGAAACTGATCGTCGTTAAATTCAAATTCAAATTTGGCAGTTAAAATATTTTAAAAAAATTTGTTTAATTCTAAAAAAATTCGTAAATAAATATAAAAAATCTAAAAATGTTAAAAATTTAGAAAAAAAATTTTTAAATTCAGAAATATTTTTAAAATTTAGAACAATTGTTTAAAAATTTAGAAGAATTGATCCGAAAAAAATGTTTAAAATTCAGAAAACAAATTTAAAAATTTAGATTTTGCTTTCAAAATAATTAGATTTTTCTCCAAACGATCCCAGATAAATGCCGCCTTCACAAAAAAATTGCACATTGATTTCACCATCTTTTATTGATTCATATTTGTGTGTTCCATCAATTACATTTAAATATTTAAATTGCATTTATAAATATTTTACTTATTTACGCCTGCTGCAGGGTTTTAACTAGCCCGGAGCCAAGATCCGATCACCGTCCTCCACTGCCATCGGGTTGAGATCTGTCATCCCTAAAATGTTTATTTCCCGCCGAAATTATCACAATAAATGGCACAAATTTTTTTCTTCCAATATTTCTTTAAAATTTGTTTAAAAATTTTGCGTAAATATTAAGGGGGTCTTCTCATTGGCAACTTTTTTTTCGATTTTTTTTTTTTGCATTTATTTATAGCTTGAGACGTATAGCTGCCATAGAAGCGATCGGTAAATGTATACAATATGTAAGACTGGGAATGTAAAACTGAAACTGTCAAACTGTAAACATAATAGGTATAGGTAAAATTTAATGAAACTCTGTTTTGTGAGTGTTTTCAGCATTTAAATCTATAATATAAACATCGAAACCAATCTGCAAGGGTATACAAACTTTGGCGTGCCGAAGTTAGCTTCCTTTCTTGTTTATTTTGAATTCCCTTCAACGTTTTCCAGCACTTGGATGGCACACAAACAAAATTTTCTGTTCTATTCGAGTGTTGGAAAATCTCAAGTAGGCAGCTGTTCAGCTGTTTTCGGAGTGTTGGAAAACTTTTAACGTGGTCTGGCCTGGCAAAAAGTAATTTGTGAAATAAAACATGAGTTCTGGCTTTGTGACTGAAGCTGAGGCTGCCGAGCAAAGGCAGAGACGTCAGGAGGAATGGGAGCGTGTACGTCAACCGGAAGATCCAGTCGAACGACCCGAGGAGCCCTACGACGCACGCTCATTGTACGAACGCCTCAAAGAGAATAAGGATAAGAAGGACATGGAGTACGAGGAGGCTCACAAGCTGAGTAGGTGATCAAAACACTGCAATTAGCCGGTCCATAAAACACATTCAATATTCAGAGAACCTGATACGCGGGCTAGACGATGACGAGGTGCAGTATCTAGAACTGGTCGATGCCCGCAAAATGAACGCGGAGCGTCAACAAATGCGAGATGAGGAGCTGGAACTAAGGGACTTTCGCAATCGCGTTGAAAAGCTGCAGGAGGAGAGCGTGGACAAGGTAAAGCCCATAAGTAATAATAACTAAACACATTTATACCACCGAATCAATCATCTGGAACCCACAGAAACTGCAGGCGGAGCTTAAGACAACGGCCAAATCCGCAGGAGCTGCCGTTGTTGGACGCAGCACTCAGAAGTCGTTACTTGGCCAGGGCATCAAGCGAAAGAATGGCGAACTGCCCACCACCAGCAAGTTGGCCAAGACAGCCGAGGATGAGGCAAAGGAACCCGAGAAGACTGCACCCACATCGACGCCCAATACGCTGATCACAGACAAATATAATACAGGCGCATTAAAGTGCATCGGTCTGCTGCCGGGCATAGGATCCTACACGGAGTCCAGCGACTCGGAGGCCAGCACGGACGATGACGACCACGCATCGTGCACCCGCACAGATCTGTGCGGCCGCAAGATACTGAAGAAGAAAGATCAGTGCGCCGAGTAGGATCAAACAGTTTACTTGGATTCTTATATGTAGTTTTTCTTTCCTTGCAACAGAATATAGCCTAGAGTGTAAACGTAGGTGGTGTGTTACGCGTCCTTCTTTTTGTTTCGATTGCGGTTTTTCACGTTCGTCATCTCGTAGAAGTTGCTGCCGATCTTCTTGCGCTTCTGGCTGCGCTCCAGGGCTCGTTTCTGCTTGGCCGTCAGCCGGGGTGCCCTCGAGGTGCTGGGGCCGTCGTCATCGGAGCTGTTGCCAGCGTCGTCCGAATCTCCCGGCTGCATTTTGGCTATGCGGAATTTTCCGGATGACGTGATGGCCAGCGCCTGGGTCTTCTTCGCCTTGGCCTTCTTGTGCACCACGCGCTGCAGGTCCTCGTTGTACTCGTCCTCCGAGTAAAAATCGTCGGCTCCATCGCTAGACTCTTCCTCCTCTTCGCCAAGGTTGTGGAGGCGTGCCTTCTTGCGGGCCGCGCGCTCGGCCTTCTGCTGCTCCAGGAGCTCCAAGTCGATGTGGTCCAGCTCCTTCACGTCCTGTTGCTCGTACTCAAGACCTACGCGAATCTTGCGGAAGTCCTGAATCTGCTTGAACTCGCGTGCCTTCTTCACCGACTCGCTGACAAAGGTTGGCGCCTCGGACTTGGCATCGTCATTGGGATCTTCAGGCGCAACCTCTGTCTGCTTGCCCTCCTGGGATTTGGGAACGGCGAATCCCTCTGGCGGGACGTAGAACGGCAGCTTGCCGCGCTGCCAATCGTTGAGCACCATGCGAGCAGATTGCGTGACATCCGGCTCACCTCCCTTCAGGAGTTTGCCCGACTTCTGGGCCAGCTGCTCCAGGAAGTGCTTTGACGTGTTCCAGTGCTCGATTTTGTAGTTTTTCGAAATGTATTCAGGTCGCACGCGTTGGAGTAGGGTGTCCACATAGTCCTCGGGATTGGTTACCAGCTCCACACGCACCACACCCTTCAGCACCTTCTCCGTGTCCGTTTCCGCCGACGGATACACCACACCGGGGCAATCGATGAGGAATATGCGCTTCATCAGCGTGATATACTGCCACACCTTGGTCTCGCCGGCAATTGGAGCCACGTTGCAGACCTTCTTGGAGCGCAGAGCATTGATCACCGAGGATTTGCCCACATTGGGATAGCCAATGAAGCCCACGCTGATCTGCTTCTTGTCCAGATGCAGCTTGCCGAGCTGGCGAAACAGGTTGATGAGAGCACCTACAAAGGGATAGGATGATTGAATATCTTTCAGAGATTTCTCATTGGATTTACTCACCCTTGCCAAAGGGATGCTGGAGGGATGCATGGAAGGCTATGGTCGGATACTCGGCACTTAGGATGGCCACCCATCGCTGGGTAACCCACACAGGCACCAGGTCCACCTTGTTAAGGATGAAGAACAGATGCTTGTGCGGCTTTTCCTTGCGCAGAAACTCCTCAATGTACTTGGAGCGCGTGCCCATGGGATCGCGAGCATCGAGGACCTGGAGCAGCACATCGGACGCATCTACCACCTTGTGCAGCTCGTTCCAAATGCGCTTGCTCTGCCCGGCGCCGAATACCCAATCTCGCACAGCTTTCTTTTCGCCGGTGTCCTCCCGAATCAGATCCAGATCCTTGGCGGAGTCGTATTTTTCATGTTGCTCATCCGCGGCTTTGCTCAGGTCCTCCAGGTCTCGCACTTTAAGGCTGACTCGCTTGCGCTGCTTCTTCGGTCCAAATGTGCTGTCAAAGCTCTCGGTGTCCAGCAGATGAACCCTCTTGTATTTGGCGGCCTCGTTCAGCAGTGTCACTGGCAACTGCGATGGCTTCATGATCACCTGATAGGGATCCTTGACAGCCTTGCCGATCTCATCCTGGAACTTTTGCAGTGCCGTTTGTGAGATGACGCGGGAATTGCTGAACCATTTGGGTGTGGGCTCCACTCTAGCCATTGTTCCAGCCGGTAGGCGCCCCTAAAAAATACATGTACATGAATTTTAGTATAGCTTTGAAGGACATTTTGAGAAAGTTGTACAGAGTATTCACTGAACTGTACCTCAATATTCACTGGTTTTTAGAAGCAAGAGCATCGACTTTCAAAGGTTTGTCTTGGATTTCTATTATATTTCTATTACCTTAATTTTTCACTAACAAACAGGACATTGTTATAATTTATTCAAATATTACCGCCATTGATATTCGCATCGATACTATCGCGATAGTCGAGCTTATTGCGTTGCAGTCGATCCCCGATTAATGTACCGGGCTGCCAACTCTGCCATTTTATTGCGTTTTGTGTAATTGAATGCACAAAGACTAAAGTTCGCACACGTGTTTTAGAAAGGGGAAGAACTGCATCACAAAGAGGTAGATTTACAATGTCCCAAAGGCCAACATCGTCGCAGAACATGAAGCGCGGAAGCTCTTCCTCCGGCGAAGCTCCACTATCGCAGCAGATGAAGCAGAATGCTCAGAAAATGAACGATTTGGTGGAGGAGCTGCAACAGGAGAACTCCGGGCGCAACCGGCAGCCGGAGCGCCACAACATCCATATGGAGCAGTTCAACCGGGAGCGCGAGGGCATTCTACTGCAGCTGCAACAGGAAATGTCCAACTATGCGACCATTCAGGAAAAGTTTCAGGAGCAGGAGAAGTCAATGCAGTTAATTATTCAAGAACTGGAGAGCGACCGCTTGGCCTTGTTAGACGAGCTTGCGGTTAATGATGTCATGAGCGCGGACAGCATTGACGACCTAAGCGAGGAGCTGAATGGACTAAATGACAAGCTAAATGGGATGACCGAGGACACCTCATGCCCTATCTGCATGTCCCAGTGGCAGGCTGAGGGCGGCCATCGTCTGGTGTCGCTGCGCTGCGGTCATCTCTTTGGGAACAGTTGCATCCGCACGGCTCTGCGTCGTTCGCGTCAGTGCCCTATCTGCATGAAACGGGCTCATCCTGCCGACGTGCGAAAGATCTACGGCAGTGCCGTTTTTCCAAATTGAATATTAGCTGCGATTATTGGAATCCTGAATCTGAACAGCATTTCGCTTATCTTAAGTTTTTATTTCCCTAATCTACGAATGAGATTGAATTTCATAACTTGCTACCAAAAGTAACAAGATCTCTGTAAACAAAACTGTTTAAAAATGATGAGGCGTGCCAACTAAGCATATTTAAAAGACACTAAATAACCAAATGAACTGGGTTTCTCAAATTAATTTTAAAGCATATGAATATGTAAAGTATTTGCTTTATAATAAACAATGTTCTTGAACACTATTCTTGTCAGTAGATTTGTTATCAAAATCATAAACACAGATTTCAACCCAGGGACAAATAATTGCAATGCCACCTGTTGAAAGGAACTCACCTGGAAGGGGGCCGGCGTGAGGATCTTTCCCGTGCGATCGCGCTTGGCCTTGAAGTTACGGTACATCTGCAGCCGCTTGATCGTGCCCTTGGTACGGGGGTGGGCGACCCCTTTGAGTCCCTCCTTGGAACGCTCCGGGTTCATCGAGTGGTTGGAGTGGTTGAATCCCTGCGTCCGGGGCTTGCCCGGGGTGCTGCGTACCTTCGGCATGGTGGCTTGATTGCGCCGCTTGCCTTTTAAATATATTAAAATTTAATTTTACGGCACTTTCAGGCCAAGACACACGTGTTTTGGTTGAAATAAAAAACAAAAGGGATTTCGTTTTACCCAACACTGTTTTCGTCGACTAGCAGCACTGGCTAAGAATGCGCTGGCGGAAAATCTCTACCGCGAGAACAGGTCACACTAAAATCAAAACAGCACGAAACATAAGTTTAGGAGGGGATTTGAACAATTTTATAAATTAAATAAATAGCCTTAAGAGCAAGATAAAAGTGGCAAAAAAAAAAAAAATGCAAATTTGACAACAGATGTTGTGGTTCTATTTGTCCCATTATTGTGGCAGTCGTGAGCCTTGAAAAGCTGTTAATTTTTTTCCCCTGGCCACAACTGTGTGACCCGAACTGTGCCCAAGAAGCTGGTTTATATCCGTGTGCATACATATCCGCTTAGCATAATGGCCACGAGCTTCGGCTATACTTAATAAACTTAAAAAAATAGTCTAAATACGCTGCTTAGCCCAGCAAAGTGATAATGTGAATCAGAGCATTTAAGCCTAACTGTAGTGATTAGTTGCAACCCATTCGAATAATAGATTCATATTTCCCAAGCGCGACTTGGAATTGCCAGTTCTAGTGTGTTGGTGTGCGTGTGCCTGCTTGCGTGTATGAGTGGCGTTTTGGAATGTTGCCCTGCACGAAATTCAAATAGTGACCATCCTTGAGTCGAGCTTTTGCTTCGCTTTGCACAAGTGATCGCGATGGACGCGCACACGCTAAACGACCTGTTGGAGTGCTCCGTCTGCCTGGAGCGGCTGGACACCACCTCGAAAGTGCTGCCCTGCCAGCACACCTTCTGTCGCAAGTGCTTGCAGGTGAGTGTAATGGAATGCAATGGGTTTTCCCTGGGAACTAATGCAAATTCTTTGTTGCAGGACATTGTGGCCAGCCAGCACAAACTGCGCTGTCCGGAATGCCGCATTCTGGTCTCGGTGAGAATTGACGAGCTCCCACCAAACGTTTTGCTGATGCGAATATTGGAAGGTAATAACGCTGCCGCCCACACCAATCGCACTCTCAGCCTTCGCTGAAAGTGCGGCTAACTGGCATTGGCAATTGAACTGCTTTTACTTTGCCACCACTATAACTATAACTATCCACTTCTCTGTTCTTCCCCACCCTGTGTCCGTAGGCATGAAACAGTCCGCAGCCACTGGCAAGGGCGACAGCAAGAGCGAGGAGTCCGAATCTCAGCCGGAAAAGCAGAAATCGCAGTCATCTGCGGAATCGACGGCCACGCCCGTCCAAAAGAAGCCGCCATCACAGCAGCAGCCACAACCTCAGCCGGCACGCCAGAAGCAGCGCCGCTTCCTACTCCCCCACGCCTATGCTCTCTTCGATTTCGCCTCCAGCGAAGCCAGCGACTTAAAGTTCAAGAAGGGGGATTTGATACTACTAAAGCACCGCATCGACAACAACTGGTTCGTGGGCCAGGCGAATGGCCAGGAGGGAACCTTCCCTATCAACTACGTGAAGGTGTCGGTGCCGCTGCCCATGCCGCAGTGCATTGCCATGTACGACTTTAAGATGGGGCCCAACGATGAAGAGGGATGCCTTGAGTTTAAGAAGAGCACGGTCATCCATGTCCTGCGCCGTGTCGATCACAATTGGGCCGAGGGACGCATCGGCCAAACAATCGGCATATTCCCGATAGCATTTGTCGAGCTAAACGCAGCGGCTAAGAAGCTGCTGGAGAGCGGAGTGATCAACCATCCACCGTGCCATCCCCCGCAACAGCAGGGTCAGCGTGCGCTCCCTCCGGTTCCCCTGATCGATCCCACAGTCGTCACGGAGTCCAGCTCGGGATCCTCAAACAGCAACAGCACGCCGGCTAGCAGTAACTCCAGCTCCACATCCAGCTCGAATAATTGCAGCCCGAATCATCAGGCATCGCTACCGAACACGCCCCAACATATGGTCGCCTCTGGATCGGGATCTGTTCGCTTCCGCGACAAGGGAGCCAAGGAGAAACGGCACTCGCTGAATGCCTTGCTCGGAGGAGGAGCTCCTTTGAGTTTGCTGCAGACAAACCGCCATTCGGCTGAAATCCTCAGTCTGCCGCACGAGCTAAGTCGCCAGGAAGTGGCTTCCAAGCCCACCTCCGCCTCGCAGTCGTCGCGCGTGCTGAAGACTAATGTCCAGCAGCAAATGCCGCCCACTCTGCCGTGGGGATACTTGGCCCTCTTCCCGTACAAGCCGCGACAAACAGACGAGCTGGAACTCAAGAAGGGATGCGTTTACATTGTGACCGAACGGTGTGTTGACGGTTGGTTTAAGGGCAAAAACTGGCTGGATATAACTGGGGTCTTTCCGGGCAACTACCTGACGCCCCTGCGCACCCGCGACCAGCAGCAGCTAATGCACCAGTGGAAGTACATTCCCCAGAGCACGGATGCCCAACAGGTGCACCCACAACAGCAACCGGTCGCCCAAGATGTGCGTCTCAATAACATGCTGCCCATGCAGCCACCGGATTTGCCGCCACGCCAGCAGCAGACTAACGCCACGACCACGAGCTGCTCCTCCGTGTGGACAAAGCCGGTGGAGGCGCTGTTCACCAGAAAGTCGGAGCCTAAGCAGGAAGTTGCAGCCGCCACCGCCGCAGCTTCGAGCAGCAGCAGTTCCTCCGGGGCAGTGGGCCTGATGCGACGTCTAACGCATATGAAGACGCGTTCCAAATCACCGGGAGCATCGCTGCAGCAAGCACCGAAGGAAGCCATCAGTCCCAATCTTGAAAACACAACTAAACCAACAGCAAAACTACATCCAGTGCACGTGAGGTAAGTGCTTGGCAGAATATCATATTCAATTTGACGTTAATGTGTGATTTTGTATTCCTTCAGATCCGGGTCCTGTCCCAGTCAACTACAGCACAGTCAGCCACTTAATGAGACCCCCACAACAACAGCAGCAGCTACTCCGTCGGCAGGACAACAGCAACCGTTTCTGCCCAAGCAGCTGCTGGCACCCACCAGTACCAGTGTCTCCTACGGATCCCAGCGCATTAAGAGCAACAAGGAGCGTCCGCAGTTAATTTGGTTCGTTGATTAGATTCCCAAGAGGCTACAAACCCCACTAACTATTGAAATTTAACGCAGCGCAAGGCAATCCCTAGATGCAGCCACCTTTCGTAGCATGTACAGCAACGCGGCTTCACCGCCACCCCTAGCACCCGCCTCTTCCGTGACTCCAACCATCTACTCAGCAGGCGGACAGCAGCAGGCGCTGACTGCAGGTGGAGGAGGTGGCCAGTCGCAGTTGCATGCCAATATGATTATTGCACCCAGCCATCGGAAGTCGCATAGCCTGGATGCGGGCCATGTGCTGTGTCCCAGCAGCAATGTGATCACCGAGGCAGCCATCAAGGCCAGTGCCACCACCAAGTCAGCCTACTGCACAAGGGAAAGGTAAGCTTTCATCGAGATACTAAGGAGTTGGGTGAAAAATTGACAATATCTGTATTTGCAGTCGCTTCAGGTGCATTGTGCCGTATCCACCCAACAGCGACATCGAACTGGAGCTGCATGTGGGCGACATAATCTACGTGCAGCGCAAGCAGAAGAACGGCTGGTACAAGGGCACGCATGCGCGCACTCACAAAACCGGACTCTTTCCCGCCTCCTTTGTCGAACCGGATCCATAGGCAGCCTTTCAACAGGACAAACCAGAATTTATTAAGCGAAATTCCAAATTACTTGTCAAAATTAGTTTAAGTCGCCGGTCGATTCGGGCTTCCAATTCGCAATCTCCTAATGCTCTTTTTGAAAAAGAATTAGTTTTGTACTCCTCTCCCGCTCGAATGCGCAGTTCGCCGTACTTTTTATACAATCCCTAATCAAAATAGGCTAGTTATTAACGTAGGTCCTAAGCCCAGGTTACTTAAGCACTAGCGACTAGTTAGCTAGGAAGGAAAAAGTATGTTGAAGGAACACTAACAATCTAACAGGTTCTCGTGGCCCTTTGTACGATGTTATTTGTAATATACGAGTTTTCCCGTAATAAACATTTTGTACACACACGAAAGTCGTTTGAACTTAATTTATTCCACCAAGCAAAACATCGAGGCTAAATGGGGTCTGCGCTTGACCAAGTCGAAATTACTCGCTCTTGTCGAATTTGGATCCGTAGATGGGCACATACTGCAGGACCACCTTCCAGTCGGTGTAGTAGAGCACCGCCAGGCCAGCAGCTCCACCGAATCCAGCTCCAGATCGGATGCTACAAAGTGAGAGACATTATTTTGGAGTTCTATGTGGCGGTTATGCAATGTGTGCTCTGCGGTCCGCGTTCACAGGAATTCTTGTGGTTCCAGGATGCACGAGGCGATGTAGCTTATTTATACTCACAAGGACGACGCGATTTCAGCGTGCTTCTTGCCAAAAGGGATGCGGAAAGCCATATTTTCGTCGAATAAATTACTTTTCTCCTGGACAGAAAACAGAAAGATTCGCAATAGATGTACGGCTCGAATGTACTAAAAAATACTACGGCAGTATGACCCTTCACAAAAATGGTCAATATTTTACTAATTAATTTTTTTTAATTACCATTAATTAACTTTAAAAATCGAACACAGAACAACTTTCCGAATTGAAAAAAATGTGTTATTTATTTATTTATTTTTCCAATTTCTATTATTCATCGATTTTTTTGTATTAACTCCCGGCAAACATCGGTGATTTTCCATCTCTAGTGAGAACCACAAATTTGTCATCAACAATTCAGATCGTTTGGCCAAAAAAAGTACTTACGATTTAATACATCACAATGAATGTCTCTGTTTTCGGTGAATTAAACACGTTCGAGCTGTTTGTCCTTTGCACAGTAATACCGGCAGTCTTTGTTTACCTGTGGTCCCTGATTTCCGGCGACATGAAGGTAGGCACCAAGTTCTTATCAGAAGTACTATTTCATGGAATTTACCTTTTCTGGGTTTGCAGAACTTCAAGGGCAGCAAATTGGCCTACTCGGTTTTCACAGCAAAGGATCCTATTAATTGCTATCAGGACTATGTTCCCGAAAAACAAAAGGATTCCTAGGATAAATGTATAAAACTTGTATATAGCAGGAAATCTGGGTGACGAGAGCATCTGGATTTAGAAGAATAAATGGCTCCCATCCGTTCTCTGCAAGGAAGAACGTTATTTCGAAATTGTATTGTTTATTGGGATTATAGGAACTTTCTTTAAGCCACGGGGAAATAAAGTAATAATTTAATTTTCCCATCTTAATTGGACTAATACTGTCTTCCCACACAGCGCATCTGCGAGGAACGTTTGGGATTTTTCGCAGATGCGAAACTCGTGTTCCCACAGAGCTGCATCAAAGTGCATCTGCATCCGAACAGCTGATCGATCAGCTGTGGCTCATGAAAACGTAAACAAAGGCGGTCGAATTGGCAGTTGCAAATTTGAAATGGAGCATTTACCAACTATTTTGGCTGTTGTACAACAGCAAAAGGCACAGATTGCGTCAGAATTTATCCGCAATAAATTTAAATGAATTAAATGACATGGAATTTTAGTTTTTCTAATGATTTTTCTTTAACAAAGAGCAAATTCACCGAAAAGTGTCTATAGGTGGTATAGGCATCCAAAATCTTTAAAATAAGGTAGAGGTAGGCGGTTTATATTAAATAGTAACAATTGGGGACATATTGGGGCAAGAATATACCGAAAAACGCCAACATCTATTTTGGGCATGCTTGTAGCTTTGGCGCCACGTTTTAAATTCCATATCTCATTTGTTTCTCGCCAAGTGTGTATACACTTTCGTAGTGATGGTCAAATTTTCAGAGTTGCACCGAAGAACTATCGCCAAACAAACGGTCGTTACATTTAGATGCGCTTTGATGCAGGGCCAATTGAGAAAATTCGGAACGGCAAAACCTTATGGACCGTTTGTTCAACGGATGCCAGATGCGCTTTGACGGTGTGTGGGAAGACCCTATAATGAATGAAATTAGTTCTCCAACAATTTGTTTATCAGGATTTTAAAAGTAAACAACTGTCCAATCGCCGTATGAATCACCTTTATAGCCGCACCTGGTCACACCCACAAACTAGGTTTTTTCCCGTTAACCTGCAACAGCCTTACTGAACGACGATTCATAGACCATAGAGCTGTAAAAACATCGATAGTGCCCCTACTCGATGTTTTCGATAGTGATAGTCCAAACCATCGATATTTTCGATAGTATCAATCGAATTAGTATTTAATTTTTTATTTTGTATATTAAGCGTATTTGCTTTAAATTTTTTAATTGCGAGGTATGAATACAGCTGTGACAAAAACCATATAATTTATTAAACTATTAAAAACACATAAAAACACAAAGGTTAAAAATTTAAAAGATTTTGACTAAAATAATAACTTATATACTTTTTTTTTATTCATTAGTTAGAAAACTTAAAAATTCTCGTATGTCGTTATAAGCCATTATCGTTTGCTTTCTGATGCTAAAATCGAGAACATTAAAACTTATAATGAAATACCAAGCAATGAAATGACTAAATGAATGAATTTTATTTTTATTGATTATAATTATAAACGAAAACATGATTATAAATTAAAAACGCGATACATCGATGGTGGAAAAAAAAAATCGAGGTATCGCGCAGCCCAGCCACTATCGATAATATCGATAGTACCATCGATGTTTTTACAGCTCTAATAGACCATTTAACGCAATTTTTGATTTGTTAATTGTTTAAACGCGCTTTCCACCGTCGGATACTGCGGATTTCGATTGCATCCTGTGCACTTTCTGGTGCCCATCCGCACCTGCAGACCGACCAGCCCGAAAACAGGCCTGGGGACTTCCCATAAACACAGACAAAGAAGCCAAAACTACGCAGAAGACGAACAAAAACAATGTCGGAAACATACGGTTTGTCACTACAGAGATATCTAATTAGTGACTATTTCTAATTAATTCTGGTGCGGGGCACTTACCTAGATTACCTGTTCAAGTTCCTGATCATCGGCAGTGCGGGCAGTGGCAAGAGTTGTCTGTTGCATCACTTCATCGAGAGCAAGTGTAAGTCAGGGTGCATTTTCAGCCTGCAAATCCAGGAATCTCAATTTACAAACATTTTTGCCAGTCAAAGACGACAGCTCGCACACCATTGGCGTGGAATTTGGCTCCCGGATCGTGAACGTTGGTGGGAAATCGGTGAAGCTGCAGATCTGGGACACGGCCGGGCAGGAGAGATTCCGTTCGGTGACGAGGTCATACTATCGAGGCGCTGCCGGGGCCCTCCTCGTCTACGATGCCACATCGAGGGACTCCTTCAATGCCCTGACAAACTGGCTGAATGATGCTCGCACCCTGGCCAGTCCAAACATTGTGATTCTGTTGGTGGGAAACAAGAAGGACCTGGAGGAGGCGCGCGATGTTACTTTCCTGGAAGCCAGCACCTTTGCCCAGGAGAACGGTTTGTTAGCTAGACGTACATTTCTGTATTGTGTTGATAACGCGTCGCCCCACGCAGAGCTCATCTTCTTGGAGACCAGCGCCAAGACGGGCGAGAACGTGGAGGAGGCGTTCCTCAAGTGCTCGAAGACCATTCTGGCCAAAATTGAGACGGGGGAGCTGGATCCCGAGCGCATAGGCAGCGGCATTCAGTACGGCGGTGCCGCCCTGCGCAACCTGCAGACCCGACAGCGCAGCATTAACAAACCGGATTGCACCTGTCGCGTGTGAAGTGTGCGCTTCGATGAGCGAGCAAATTAATCTCTACATTATCTCAAACCCGGAATGCGTCCACACTCGTCGCATTCCACCTTAGTTGTATCCCCCGTATTTGTGTGTGTGTGTCGCACCTTTTTTTAGGTTCGTATTTCGTTTTGCTAGATTAATCATTCCAAAATGTAAGCGCATAGTGCGTCTTCTGTTCGTTTTAAACTATGTACTCTTAACCATCTTGATTTCTCTTGATTACGGATATCTCCGATTGTTACTTACTATTGTTTGTAATTCGAAGCACCAGGCCAGTCGGAAAGGGCTCGATGGGAGTGGGCGGAGTAGAATGCACTCGGCATTTTTTTATTGTAAATAAGAGGCGCTTTAGGTCGTTGACGACGTCGCCGAATGTAAATCTAACTCAAAGGCATGCACGCGGTAAATAAAAACGCAAAACCATTAAAACAAACGTTTGTTTTTCGTTTTTTTTAATGTAATATAAAAAAGTTTGTTTATGGGATTTAGCCTAGGGTGCAAAAGGATGTTTGTTATGAACAAGTAAACCACTTTTTATATAAAAAATATCAATATATAAAATTCGAATTGGTTTCTAAAATAACCAAAAATAGATGCTAAACTTGTAAATTTTATATTGAACCTAACTACGTTTTGCATGAATTTAAAATGTAGAAACAGTTTTTTAAACTGGCCTACGAAAAATGCATGAAAATTGGTAAAAAAATATTTAAAATATTACTGATTTGCAGAAGGAATAATGTTTTTCTTTGTTTTTACTTTGTATTTAACTATGATAACCTTCATTCCGCTTTCAGAGGATCATTCGGAGACCGAAATATCCTTTGAAAGCGCAATGGAGATCCTCGTGGTTAAACACAGCGTTCAGAGCACACTCGTCTAGGCATCGCATTTGGCCAACTTTTGGAGTGCGTGCTTGGCAGCCGCCATCTTGGCCTGATCCCTGTTGTTGCCGAATCCGTACACCTTGATGGTTTTCTCCATGCAGGTGAACTGGCAGCTCATCATCACCTTCTCCTGGTCGACGATGGGCGAGCCGAAGACAGGATTCGCCAGCTTGTGCTCGTAGAGTTGGCGGATCGGATTGATAGGCACGTTGCGCGAGAATTCCTGAATCTCTGGCTCCAAGAGGTTGTAGATGACCTGCCAGGTGCGGTTGAGATCGCGGCAGTCGAGGTAAACGGCTGCAATCAGCGCCTCCAGAACATCGCCCAGGGCTTTCGGCACATCCACATTCTGTGACATATTATATTCGCCCTTGGCCGGTGCATCCCCTTTTCCATGCTGCGTGATAGCTGGCGAAGCTCCCGTCATCCCGGTCATTTCTTCATCATCATCTTCATAGTCCAGGGGAGAGCTCTCAATGTCGCTCTCCTCGAGCAGAATGCGCACATGGTTGGTCACCCGATGACCCTGGCTCTCCTGAAAGCTTACAAAGTTGGCTATCGTCTCCGATAGCAATGCATTCTCCGCCAGGATGAACAAGTGTAGCTTGTGCCGCACACAGATGCAGGCCAGGGTCGTATTGTTGACCAGCGCCGAACGCAGATCCGTGAGCTGGCCCGGGGTCATCTTGACGTTGTTCTCGTAAATGTGCGCAGAGATGAGGAAGTCCAGGATGGCGTCGCCCACAAACTCAAGCTCCTGGTAGCAGCCGGTGACGCGATTGGTGGGATACGAAGGATGGGTGAGGGCCTGCAGCAGATATCCCCGGTCCCTGAACGTGTAGCCCAGATTCTCCTCCAGATGGGTGTGGTTGATGAGGAAGCCATCGATCTCCGTGGTGGTCACATTGGCCCGCATCCTGTCGCCGCTCAAGCTGAGGTCCAGCAGCTGGGAGAGCGGCTTGCCAATATCCGCCTTGCACACGCCAAAGTATTCCAGCATCCGGAAGCCGTGCTGCAGTCCGTAGTTCTTTACGATCACGCCCAACAGCGCCTCCAGGGTGTCGGCCACCACCTTGTCGGCGATCTTGGTCTCTCCCACGCAGAAGCTCACCTCGGCGGAGAAGTCGGCGCCAGCGTAGTGGCTGTTCGCGTTGCCCTGGCAGCTTTCGACGAAGTTGCGATAGGTAAGCTCGTCACAGCTGCCCTTGGCCAGCGACTCCTCCTCGCTGAGCACCAAAGCGCGCAGATTGTGTGGACCCACTAGTTCCGCCAGACCCGGCTTCTCTCGCCACAGCGCCAGCACGTTGTGCGGCAGACTAACGCTGGGCGGTATCCAAGTGTACTTCGGAGTGAAGAGCGAGTTGCTGATCCTCGTCGGTATGTCCGTTTCGCTGAGGCAGTACAGCAGGTTCCGGTTCGACACTAGCTTGGACTTGACCTGCGTGAGGGTGCCCTCGTTCCAGTCCGAATACTTGCTGGTCAGGTAAAGCGTGGCGCTCAGCTTGAGGAAGGAGTCGCCCAGCAGTTCCAAGCGCTCCATGTCGTAGACATCCGAACACGCTGCCGATGTGAGGGCAGCCAGAAATTGTCCCTGCTCCGCTGGCGTAATGTTCTCATCGGACTGGCTGATTTGCAGGACGGAGAGGCGGCTTTCCGGGCAGGGAACAGCTGTCGAGGTGGCGGGCATCAAGGCCGGCAGGTCATTGTTGGCCTTTGCAGCCGACCTAGTGCCGTATACATTCCTATTGGACATTTTGAACTGCGTCTCCGTCCAGAACTGCTTGTCCGCGAACTCCATCTCGTCGATCTTTGACACGTGACCCTGCGTGAAGTTGTAGTAGTAGCTCAGCTCCACCGGATAGATGTTCATGATGTTCCGCGACAGATCCCTCGGCTCCATGTACTGCTGCCAGGAATTCTCAAAGTCGGTGATCTTGAGGTTCTCCATCTCCGTCACAATGGACTTTGTGGGCAGCGGCTCCAGCAAGGAGCGCGGCTCCTCGAAGTCCTCGTTGGCCACGGCATTGCCCAGGGGGTCCACGTTTCTCTTGAGCGACCAATCTATCTCCAGGGCCTTGGGCCTGTAAGCCACTCCGTTGATGGGCAGTTTGTCCAGGCCGAGATGGGCATTGAATCGCCTGCGCAGGGCCTCGGCATGGAGGAGGAAATGCAAGCGCCGCAGAATGCTGGGCAGGAATATGGCCTTCAGCCAGAGGTCGCCGGGAAAGGCAAAGTTGAAGCACAGCTCTGGTATGAGAACCACTTTGGCCCTGGCCTTGCTTTGGGCCGAGGTCTTGACCCGGTTTTGGACGTAGAAGTTGAGCTGCTCCGTGACTTCCCTTACCTCGATCAGGAACTGGTCGCGGTGCACCACGTCCCCGATATGGTTGCTGTACTTGGACATGGTGAACTCATAGTAGGTCTTGTCCAGGTGGTTCTTCTCCATGAAGCTGGAGGGAGTGAGCTCCCTGTGCACCTTGGTGACCAACATGCGCTTCTCCTCGTAGTTTGCATACCACTGAGTCACGATCTTGCCCTCGAAATCCTCGGGCCGGGGGGCTGGCTGCTGCTTGCGCTGCTGCACACTGACCTTCTGCGGGCGGGGCAACTTCTGGAACCTTGTGACCAATGGCCAATCGATACCCTTACGCTGACCATCGCTCAGCACGGATATGGGAACCACCAGAAAGGAGTTCTCCTTGCCACGTCGGTCCAGCACGAAGTACGGCTGCCAGATCCTTAGAATATCGCGAAACAGCATGCCGTGGAACTGATGCAGTAGCTCCAGTTGCTCCTCGTTCTGAATGACCACCTCCACGGGAGTCTCCGCCACGCGGACACTCACCTCGCCCTGGTTGCTGAACAGCGGCATCTCCGCCAAACGGGGCAGTTTCTTGCGCAGCAGCAGGGCATAGTTGCTGGCCGTCTGGAGGTTTAGATACATGTGTTCCGTGTAATCGTTTTTCTCGAAACGCGGCTGCAGGCAGATCTCATAGGCGTAGCACACCTCACCCACGCGGGGTCGGGCGTCGAAGAACTCCGCCGGACAGGCGGTCTTGTAGGTTTGTAGCTTGGTAGCCTCCTTGCGGCCCACCGCAGTCACTGAAATGAACGAAATGTTGCTTCACTCTCACTTACATGAATGAGCACTGCTTGAGGCACTCACCATCGTCGCCGTACTTCTTCCAGTGCTCAAAGTGGATGTCGGCAATGGCGGTCATTCGCTCTTTCAGAGTGAAGGGCAGGAATCGCTCGTTGAGTTCTCCCATTTGATACAGCTGCCTGCAGACCTTGAAGGCGGCCGAAACTTTAGCAGATTTCACGCAGTCCATGGGATCGCTCTGAAAAAATGAAAGCAGCTTAAGAACTTCGGTGGCAGCGCCCCTTCAGGTGTAGCTTACATAAATCGTGTCCTTAAGCCTGGAAGTGAGTGGCAGAGTGATGGAGACCACGGGCTTTCGAGCCGCAGCCTCGCCGAAGAGCTGACGGCGCTCGCTGTCGTCGAGCAAGTTGATCCACGGAACTACGAAGCCAAAGGCATCCGACGGCAGGCTCTGGCAATAGCGATGGAGCAGGATGAGGGCGCTACTGGGCAGAAGCAGGGCGCCATGCTCGTTCTTGTACGGCGGGATTATGTCCCGGAAGTGTTCGGTGATCTCGTCTAGTTGGGGTTCGGCTCGGTCCAAAACCCGATCCTTCAGATACTCGGCAATTTCGGCATGGGCCACGCGATACTGGCCAATTTGCTGCGAGACCTTGGCTGTTTCCACCTCTGACGCGAACAGCACGAACTGGGCCTCCTTGGAGCGAGCTCGCCCCTTCGTCTGCACGTACATGTTAAAGGTCTTGAGGGCATCCAAGATGAGCACATAGTTGCAGGCCTGCACATCGATGCCCTCTTCCAGTACGCTGGAGCAGACCATTAGGTTGGCTTCGCCATCCCGGAACTGCTGGATGGCCTGGAAAGGAAAATAGCTAAGCTTCTGGAAGATGTTATGGAAGGACCTTGGCGCCACCCACCGTTTTCTGAAAATTGCGCTCCAGGACGTTCTCGAAATCTTGGGCAATGGAGTTGCGGCCCACCATAAACTGTGGCACCAACACATCGCGTAGCTCCGGCGAGTCCTTGATGAAGGCCAGTAGCATGCCGAGAATGCACTTGCAGGAGTAACGGCGCTCCAGGAAGACCAGACAGCAAATGTCCTTTGGCTGCTTGCCGGCGAATGTCTTCTTGAGATATTGCAGGAATCTCTGCACCTTCGGGGCGGAAAAGGTCATGATGACATTCTCCGTGTCCACCGAGCTGTCCTCATCCACCAAGTCGTGCAGCTTGGCATCCAACAGGTGCCGAATATAATCGCACACCTCAATGGCGCCTCTGTACATGGTTTTCAGGGAGAGTGTCTCTGCCTGGCGCTTCTTGATTTCGAACTCGACAATCAGCGATACAATGGCTATGGAGGCGGGGTATAGACCATACTCCTTCATCTGGAACTGGAAGTCGTTGAACAGCGTCTTGATAGCTCCCTTCTTGTGCGGATCGCGCTGCGCCTGCAATCCCTTGGACTTGCGCACCGGCTGCTTGCCAATGTTCATTGTGTCCAAGCACTTAAAGAAGCTCGCAATATTCTCATTAATTCTGACCACAACCTGGAAGGCGTGGATGTGCGCAGGATACGTCAGCAGATACTCTTTGGGCTTGGTGGAGTACCTACAAAGCGGGGAAAAGAGAGAATATCGTGAGGGATTCGCATCAAGGAGCCCGTGGTCCTTACAGCATCACGTTCTCCATCTCCTTTGAGTCGGATACGGTTATGATTTTTCCACGATACGTCGTCTCAAGCTCTTGGAGCATCTTAGCCACCTGCTTGATTTCATTACCCTTGATCAGGACTCCCGTGAGGCCCACAACGCGTGGCAGCTTCTGGCCTTGGCCAACGCACAGGAAGAGCCGCATGAACTCGCGATATGGATGATGGCCAGTTCCGTGGTGACATTCGTCGATTATGACAATGCTCACGGAGCCGAGTTCCAGGTACCGCTGAGCGAACAAGTCAAGAATCACCTGGGCGGTGCCCACCAGAACCTATTAAAAGTAACGTGGTAAATCGTTATAGTTTCAATTGTTATGGTCCTGAAGGGTATGCTTTTTATGTAGGTTGTAAGCATAGATATTAGGCTATGGGAATTACTAGCTTCTCTGGGAATGTAAAGCTTCTCTAAAATCTTTGCTTTCAACATACATATATCACTATGTTCCGGCGTGTCCTTGATGAAGACCAGCAGAAGCGAATTTGACAGAATCTAGCATATTCTAAAACTGATTTCGAAATATTTGAGTGCATTCATTAATATTTAAATGAAAAACATCACAAAAATAGGCTTGTTTTGTTTTGATAACTTATAAAACAAACTAACTTTTGTTTCTAACATCACTCGAAGAATACAAAGAGTTAAAAAGAAAACGCAAATATGTATGCTCTTTAAGTTTAGTTAATAAGTAAAGAACAACATGTAAAGTATGCTGAAACAAGAAAGAAGGCAAACTTCGGCACGCCGATTAAAAGAAGCTCAGATCTCAGAGTAGATAAAAATACGTTGAAAAACAACGAAGTTTTAAAATTTTTCTATTAATTTTCCGATCGTTTCTAGCTATAAGATATTGCCGTCCGATTTTCATAAAATCAAAACCAAAATTCTGAAACATTATAAAATGGCTATATCTCAAAAATGATGCAATAATGTTGAAAAACAGCCAAGTTAGACTTTTTTTTTTTCAAAATTTATCAAACATGTATGGCAGCTATATGATATGGTTTGAAATGCAAACTGAGAAACTTTCAATTCTTTTTCCAGCCAATAAAGCCTAGAGAATCCATTTGTCTTTTTCTAGGCAAGCTTATCCCTCAGTTTTGATTCTATATTTCAACCCCCACATCAAATGTGATAAGCATTTGAACCTCTTACAAATATTAAGTATTAGTTTGCAGATAAGAAACATATACATGTATTGTTTGGACTCTAAAAACATGATCTTTGGAAGTTTAAAAACCAAAAGTACTTGAGTTTATGTAGAAGCTCCATTAAACAAAGAGAAATGCGAGTGGACGCCTCATAACTCATTGAAATCCAATTCCGAGTGCGGCTGTAAAAATGCTGATCCTATTTCCCTCGAGCAACCAAGACCGCATATGTATATACATTTGTAGTGTATGTGTGTACTTTTATGTATTCCAAACGTGCCGATATGCAGCTGCGACACGTCATCGCTTCCCCCAACCCCCATTTCCTTTCTTATTTCTCTAGCTGGTCACTCACTTGATTATCGCGAATTTCATCCGTCCATTTGCCTCTGGGCCAATCGTCGACGCCCTGCTCGCCCACATAGAATCCGACCTTGAAGTTGGTGTGGCGTTTCAGGGCCACTGCCTGCTGGCGAGCCAGCTCCACGGTGTTGCACATGAAGAGGGCCCGCTTTCCGCCATTCTCGATGGTTCTGATGAAATGGGAAAAGTAAACAAATCAGCAAGGGGGCTTATCAAAGAGCAGCCTAATCCAAACTCACTTATCCATGTCCTGCGAGAAGCGCTTGAGGGCCAGGATGGCCACATAGGTCTTGCCGGATCCGGTGGGCAAGTAGATAATGCCATTATGCTTGGTTATGTAGTCCACCAGACGCAATTGATAGTCGCGAGGCTGTGGGGAGGAGCACAATGCTGATGGAAATCCAATACGCAGGGAAGGCACGAGGAAGAAGAACCCACCTTTATTTCGATGGCCTGCATGTTGTCCCCGCTGTCGCCCATGGTGAGCTGCTATAGTCCGCTATACTTACTCTTCGCGATGCAAGAATATTGTAAAATAAAATCGTTCGATTATGCACGGAAGCTGTTTCATTCGTGCCCTTTTCTCGAGGAGTGTTTTCTCAAACTGGCACCGACGACGTTCGGGCCGGTTATTGCTGACGTGTCCCCCGATCACTAGCTTGCTGGATTTCGTAATGCCGAGGAGGGTTGCTTCGAAGCACAAACTCGGGGAATCACCGGTTTTTGTTGGACACAAGAAAAGAAATTACTTGGGGTCGAACCACCTGTGCGCCCACCCTTTTTACGCGGAACGGATGCTATTCAGTAAGCCCGGCTCATGAATGTATTTATAATAACTTATTCACAGAGTTTGACTTTTAATTGGGAAGGCCTACCACAATCACTTTAAGAGCGAAACAAGAAACTTCATTAAAATAAACTTAACAAAGAAAGGCAGCCGGCTGTGGAGTGTGACCAGCAATAACTCTGTAATGCACGCGTCTAGTCTTTAATATCAAGCACCGACTGGGCACACTGTGAATGGCGGGAAAAGCTTAGCGGATTTGGTTTTGAATACTTATCAGTGCTTTTCCCCAAATAAATTTTCTTGAAAATGTAAACCCAAATCAATAGGTTTATCTTAAATATTGAATTTTCGGTCTGCATAAGATTTTCTTTGGCTGTAGTTTGTAAAGTTTTTATAAAATAAATTATATCACTACTTTATTTTGTGTTGAATATATATATTTAACTTTATTGATCAGGATCGTCACATCTTACACATAACATTTCCCTATTGGCTTAAAGAGATAACATGAAAAATAGTATCCTAGCGCCTAAGCAGCCTCACGTCTTGACAGTCTCGTCTTCTGTCTTCGGCATCTTGCCGCCGGAGAGTATGTGCTGGATCTCGATTATCGTCTTGCCCTTGGTCTCCGGCACGAAGAACAGCGAGTAGAGGAAGGAGAGCACAGCGATCACGGTGAAGATCCAGAAGGTGGGCCCTGGGCCAATCCCCTCCTTGAGGATCGGGAAGAGCAGCGTGACCATGAAGGCCGACAGCCAGTTGCTGGTGCCGGCAATCGATCCAGCCACACTCTTCACATCCTCCGAAAAGAGCTCGGCCATGACCAGCCACGGCACTGGCCCGAATCCGATTGAGAAGAACACAATGAAGATGCAGATACTAGAGATGGGCAGCCACCCAAAGTTGTCCATTGATCCCGGACTGCTCTCCTTTAGCTGGAAGTATACGCCCATGAGGGCAGTGGTCACGGCCATCAGGAGACCGGAGACCAGGAGCAGAATCCGCCGGCCAGCCTTGTCGATAATAAGCACTCCAACCAGCGTGCTGAGAACCTGGGTGACTCCGATAATGATCGAGGCCAAGCTGCCGGATATACCAGAGCCTGTGTCCTCGAAAATTGAGCTGGAGTAGAACAGGATGGCGTTGATTCCCGTCCACTGTTGGAACACCTGCAGCAGCACAGCAATGCCGAGACCCTTCAAGACAATAGGGCGACGCAGGGCCACTAGGATATTGGTCTGAAATTTAGAATGATAAGAAAGGTATCAAATAAAATATATAGATTTTGTTTACATAATTAAGTAGTTGAAAGCCCTTGTAGGACACTATCTGAGCACTAGTTAGTTCCTGTATTTTAATTTCAATGACATGACACTTACTGATAAGGAGTATAAATAAATATAAAGATAAAGAAAGCTGAATTATTTTCATGACTCTGGCAAGGTTAAGAAAGCTGGGCCTAACGGACATTCAAATTGAATATTTTATTATTTTCAGTTCCCTGATCATATGAACCTTTAAATGAACTCTTAAATACATACCTTGGGTTGGTCATTCTGCCTCTGGGTCTCCTCCATAATCTCCTTGAACTCGTCATCGATGTCGGCATCCTTGCCGCGGAGCCACTGCAGAGCGGCGGCAGCATCCTCATTTCGTCCCTTGATGGCCAAGTAAACCGGTGACTCCGGCATAAAGAAGTGCACGAGGGCAAAGATCAGGGGCAAGATGGCGCACAGGATGTTAATGGTTAACAGGGGTAAGAAGGCTCCCACCAAATAACCATAGAACACTCCCGACACGATTAGCAGCTGGAAGAAGGCGCCGATGGTACCTCTAAGAGCCGTCTGGCTGATTTCCGTACAGTACATAGGCGCAGTGACACAAAAGGCCCCGCCACACATGCCCAGGATGAAGCGTCCGCAGTACAGCATGGCCACGTTATTTGCCCAGATCATCAGGACCCAGCCGACCATATAGGGCGGAATCAGTGCCAACATAGTGGGTCTGCGTCCAATCCAGTCGATGGAAAAACCGATTGGTATGCAGATCACTGTGGCGCCCAGTGTCAGCAGCGAGGATATCCAGCCAAACTGGCTGGATGTGATCGTGAAGCCGTAGTCATAGCTCTGCGTTATCATCGACTCCACTGGTGAGGACCAACCGATGCTGGCGCCCATGCAAAGGGCACCGAAGCTGGCCGACAGCCCAGCAATATATTGCGGCAGAACCGATCCTTTGGACATGATTGATGCTTTCTCCTCGATCGTTGCAAGTGAACTGAATTAGCCACGCGACCGTTATTTGGCTGGAAAAATCGCTTTCCATGCGATAACTAAAGCGCCGCCGCCGACAGCGACGTCAACTGCGAGCCACTGCAAGTTATAGTCGTAAATCAGTGACTAGCAGTAAGTACTACTCTCGATCGGAGCAGGAAGAGGGACTGGAAGGTGAGGGTGGGTGGAGGCACAGCGTCATTGAGAGCCCCGAAAATCAGTTTAGAGCAGAGGCACCTAATTAAACGTCTGCCGATACGCTTGTCCCGCTTCCACCAACAACACAGGTAGTTAGAAGAGCAATCAAGTGCTTCCATATAACAATTGTCCGATTATGCCCTGCGGGGGGGTATCCCCACTAGCCCTACCCACCTGGATTGTTTGGGTTAACTAGGATTTGGTTCTGGGATTCCCTAGATACTTGCTCGATCAGCTTCCTTTTCGTGGGAATAAAATCTTTAACATATTAATTTTTTTAATTGCTGGGATCTTGGGTATAACTTTGTATAGAAGTGATTTGTAAGTTTTCATAGAATTAATATGTTAAAATTTAAAAACTATAAACGAGTCGTTGGGTATTGGTAAAATAATTATGAAATATTCGAATTATTAATTGAAAGTGGATATTCGACTTTACCTTTATTTCCCTGTTTTTATTAGTTAGGACGTTATTAGAGCAACGAAACGATATTAATATAATAGAAAATTTGATATTGTCTCTTAATTTATGAGAATTAGTTAGAGCATTCTGTGTCGCATTCACTTTTAGGTGCTAAAATCAGAGCTAAAGTGACATTTTCTTTGAGAAACAATTCTCTCCTTTGGGGCATTACCGATGCCACATACAGCTCCTCCCAATAATATAATGATAAAACAATTTAATGAATCTTAATATTCTTCTATAACATCTAATCAGCTATTAAAAAATCAAGTAAAATAAACAAACTTGGGAATCCATATATTCATGCCCAAGGCAAAGCTCCCTTAGCTCCAAAAACTAGCATAGTGTAGTTTCGTCTTCGGCTTGATCTTAACTTTATTTCCGGTATGTTGTGATTTACTACTGAACAATTGGTTCTGAGCTGCCGTGTGAAAACGAGATAATGAGAGACCCTACGACGACACAAAATAATTGAATGGGCGTAAATCGGACGGAGTTCATCTAATCTCTCTGGAAACAAACATCGCTGCGAGCATCACGCCTAAAACACATGTAGAGGAGGTTGAGATTGGGTCGAACTCCGAGAACTGTGACAAAATACCCACATAACCGGGCCCACTCGAGAGCCAACGGTCACCTGGCGGTCAAGCGGGCCTATCGGCAGTAGAGGACTCTCCCGATAGCCGGGAACGATGAGCGGGCTCGGCCGCAGCTGATAAGTGATTACCGCGATTGATAATATTCGGCTGAATAACCCAGTGTGAAGTAGTCCCGAGGGCTCTCCTTGTGGGCCAATAATCATGTAATAAGCCTTATCGAGGCAAAGCCCCCCCACACACCGAGGCGGGCTCTTGGACTGCAGTTGTTTTCCAGCGATAATGGACTTCGAAATGCATTTCGAGTATCCCCCGGGGCCGCCGCATCACAGGTATTTCCTGATGATTTACAGTCGTAAACACTTATCGTATCCTCGATTCGAGTGTTTTTCGGTTAACAATACAACAAGTCTTTATTACGTCGCACACAAATACAGAACGGTTGGGTTAGTCACTCCCGCTTTTGGAGCACCGGGAGATGCGTTTGTTTGTTTGCTCGCCCCCGGTTGTATAACGGGGGATTAGCTCCAGGTGCGGATCTGGATCAGGATATCTACTTCTTGCGCTCTGCTTCCTCCATGGCCTTCAACATTTTGGCGTCGTGCTGGGCATGATGCTCCCGGATCGCCCGTTGCAGCTCCTCGTGGTGGCTTTTACTCTCCGGTGGGTACAGCTCGCGCTTCTTTTTGGTCACCCACTCCTCGAAATACTCGGGCTGATTGAAGATGTGGAAGAGAGTCACGGGAAAGGCCATGTACATGCCCATCTTTGCCACCTCCAGCACCCAGGTTCCCATTTTGTTTGGTTTAGTAACTGGTTTTGTTTGAAAATATAAAGAAAATGTTGGATTTCGGCAAATAATTTGTGTTTTTCGGCAAACTATCAACAAAAGTCAGCTGTTTGACGGGTGAAACAGTGCTGAAAAGCGCCTGCTGGGCAGCATAATTAGTGTTGGAAAGGGTATGATTTGTCTTGGGACAAATGTAACAAAAACCGTTATTGGGACAAAACCTTTTAAATATTTAGTTTTGTTTTATTTAAAGAAATTATTAAAGATAATAAGTAAATCAGTGCTATGATTCCTTCAAATTCTTATGAAACTTACATATTGTTATGTATACGCTCTTGAACAATCCTTCAGCTGGCCTCAAAACAGCACAAAATTGTAAGTTTCCCCACTGCAAACTTCAAAATGCTATCTCAAGCACTTGTAAACACATTATTCAACCATCTAATCAGCACGGAAACTCTCACGTACCCCCAACGTTGCCTTAATACCTTTAATCCTCACATAAAGAACACCACTTACATTCCGATTATATATAATTATATATGTATTTTATGGTTTTTTAAGCATGCATTTATAATGTTAGGACTTAGGCTAAAATTTTAGAACGCGGCCAAGTTAAAACGAGAGAACGTGTCATACCGAAAATGTTTTTGTTTCTTTGTTTAACGGAAGCAATCTTTTTCTTAAACATTTTGATGAGAAATGATTTTTTAAAACCGTACAACGGTTTTAACGTTAGATTATGCAAATATCTTAGGAGTGCGATTGGCTCGACTTAAAGCTAGAGGGCCGTCTCGCCCGGATACTCCGCGGGAGAAGTAATTAGCAGCTTTTTGGTGCGCGAATGGTGCTCCTCCTGGACATTCTCCTTGTTTTCCTTGTTGTCCGCCTCATCGTCGTCGTCGTCGTCTGGAATAAGGACAGACTTCAAGGGCGCGCCTGCCGATCGCTTTCGCCCATTGCTGTTGGCAAACGGTGATGCCAAAGTGGGCTCGTTTCCGTCAAGGCAGTATAGCAGGCTGGGACTCAGATCGGATTCGTCCAAGTCATCGATGTCCTGCGTGGTGCTGGCTCCACCGAAGTCATCCGAGCGACTGGCAAACGACAAGTCAGCCGGACTGGCTGTCAGTACGCTGCGTGTGAGCAAATATTCCCTAAGGATTAAGTAAGACCCATTTTCAGTTGAATCAACCTCAACATCGTTATTGCAACTCACTTGAAATCACTGGACAGGGCATTCGAGGGCTTGGAGTCTTCGTTGCTGTTGCTACTGCTGGTCGTCCGCTGGCGCGAATTGAGTAGGGCAAAGCTGTGCTGGTGCCTCAAGATATCCGCATAGCCGCCCAGGGATGTGGCATCCTCGCTGTGCAGCGAAGGCGGATCTAGTTGCTTGGTTGGTGTGCCGCCAATCGAGTCCTGTTCCTCCTGCTCAGAAAGGCTCAGGTTCAGCTGCTTGTCGCCATTGCCAGCCAAGGCTGTGAGCAGCATCACGGGCTTCCTTGAACGCGGCGTCATTATGGATTCCTAAAAGAGCAGAATATGTTATGTATTATGAAATAAGAATTAAGATTAAATTAAATTCTTAAAATATTCATTGCAAAATAAATTAGTAGAGAGATCTACGATAAAATCTAATATCTAAGATAAGATTATTTCTACCAAGATTCCTATCAATATTTTTGTATAAAACCTGCTGATATATGGGAACTTATCGCACCTGCATCGCCTTGGGCATGCGTTGAGTCGACTTTGTAATGGGCGACATGGAACGCCGGCCCATGTGAAGAGCTGGTGTGCTCGTTATGAGATCCATGTTGCGATACACGCTGCTCTGCAGGATCTGCTGGTAGCCCAGGCTGAGGGCAGGCAGTTCGTTCGAATTGTTCTCCGACAGCGTATCATCGTCATCTTCCTCGTCAGCTTGGTGTGCCGTCTCCTCCTCATCGCTGTCATCGACATCCTCTAGCAGGGGAGCATGCTTGGCCTCCTCGCCACTGGGACGCCTTCGCAGGGTGGCAGAAACACTTCGCACCAATCGCTTTGTTGTCTCCGGCGTGCTGAAGGGGAACCTGAGATTGCCCATGCTGACGCCCTTCATCAGCTTTCGGGTTATCGATCGGCCAACGTGACTGCTGCTCGCAGCCATTGTGCTGGCGCCCTCGACAATGGGAGTGAGTGCTCCGTCATCGTCGTCGTCGTGAACCTCACCGGCGTGCACCTGCGGCAGTATACTTGAGAGATTAGGCTCCGACTTGTAGCGCGAGGATTGTTGCACAGGCGTGGAGGGATTCGAGTACTCCTCGACCTCCAGCAGACGGTGCTCGTCCCAGGCCACGCTCTTCTTGTCCATCAGCTGCCTGGCAGCCGCCGACATAATTTTCAGTGGCGTCACACAACAATCAGCATCGATTTCGTCCGCATCCTGACCGGGAAGAGCAGGTCCACCGGCCGCTCCGTGCGGCAACTCCTTCGACTGCTGGCGACTGACTGGCGCCGAGATGCTGCCGCCGGGCGCACAGCTGGAGCTGCTGTCCGAGGACGAGGACTCGATCTTGAGGGAGGCGGATGAGATGGATTTCTGAAGCGGATGCCTTGGGTTAGTGGCCAGCGTGACGCTGGTGATGGTCGATGTGGGTGTGGGTGGCGTGGGGCTCTGGAAGAGCACCCGCAGCTTGGGTTGCTTCACATGCGACAGGTTGGGCGTCTAGCGGTGGGTGGGAACGATGCGGTCAATGAGAAGACATGCAGTTAGTTACTGAACACAGAAATCCATGCTACCAGAGTCAGACTCACCTCGGCACCACCTGCCAAGTGGAAGCTGGGCGGCGGCACCCTCTTCGGGGTGCGCGACATGAGGCTCTTGTGGAAAATGTGCTTCTTGATGGAATCGCCCAGGGACTTGGCACTCCGCGTAGCCTCGTTGTTCTTCAGACGATTCATTACCACCAACTGCAGTGGCGTGCCTAAAAATCCAAGTAATTACTGAACAATCCTCCTTAATTACAAACTCTTCATACCCTGGCCATTTTGCTTGTTAAACTGCTTGATTAACCGCCTCTTCTTGGACGACTCCGGCATGCTCTGAATGTGAGCGTATAGCTGCGCCAGCTCCGTGTCCGTGTTATTGGTGTTGGTGGCCGCTGCGGTGGCGGCGCGATCTACAAAAGTGTACACCGTGTTGACCGTCGAGACGTCCGAGATGGACTCGTCGAGCGTTTGTTCCGGCGACATGGTTTTCTTGCGTTTGCGCTCAAGAAAGTACGCCCGGATGTCGGTGGACAGCTTGCCGGGCACCTCGAAGATGTCCACGCCGCGGACGATCATGTACGTCACGATGCTGGACATTTTCTTGGCCTGGTAGTGCAGCACCTCCGGCGGCAGTTGCCTCGGGCAGATCAAGTGCGGCGTGAACAGGGTGGCCAAATTCTCGGCGCTCATCTTGTTGCTCTTTTCGTGCTGCGCCACCGCATGCAGCATCTCGATGATGTGTCGCAGCAGGTCCCGATGCTCTTCGGGCAGGAGCAGCAGCAGCAGTTGCACCGAGTTGAGCAGGTGCTGCTGACGCTCGCCACTGGCCGCCACCTGTCCACTAAGCGCCTGGCAGAGCGGCGCTATCTGCAGATGGGCGGGATAGTGGGCATCGGTGAGCAAGGGCTCCGGCAGCTCGGCCAGGAAACTCTTGAAAACGGTGGCGCAGTCGTGGGCGGAGAAGCCGGCCAGCTCAAGGTCCAGGGGCTTGTCGTGCTGGATGTGCAGCCGCAGCTCGTTTTGTCGGGACACGGCTCCTGCTTTGCGGAACAGGCCCTCCTGTGTGAGATCTGTCAGAGAAGCATAATAAATAAAACAATTTTCCAGCGTTTCAGGCTAGACTCACTCTTTTCCAGCATGAGGAACTCCTTGAGCTCCTGCAGATGCATTAGGAAGCCTGGATCGATTTGCTGCTGTAGCGTTTCCGTGGGACTATTGCCCACAGACTTGCTTCCCGAGCCCTGCGCACAAGCGGTGGCAGCTCCTGCTCCATGGCCCAGACGGTGTTTCTTGGACAGGCGGTTCCACTTCTTCAGCTTTCCCTTCTCCTCGTACACAATCTCGTGGCAGGGGAGATCAAACCTGCAGGTGGCTCATTAATTATGCGTTATACACCCAATGTCAATCCACTTACTCATCCGTGTTAAGTTCCAATTCAAAGGAAAGGTGCATGCGCACCAGGGATTTGTACTTCTCGTAGTTGCAGCGACGCATGCGCGCGGCCAAATCTCGGTCTCTGGGCTCACTCGGGCTCGCATGGTCCATCGTAGAATCCTCTTATTCGTGCTTATCGAGTCAACACTGTTCAACAACCACAACAACAACAACAATGACAGCGGAAACGCAAAAACAACAACAACGGAGTTGTAGCAAGGACGACAAGTTTGTTCACAAATCCCGAAGGTTGCTTCTCTCAAATTCCGCCCGTTGTGAATTCCGTTTTGGGAGCGTTGTTTAATTGCCGATCATATGTCGCCCGGGCACATATTTTTTCATTTAACCCAAATTTTAACTGCTGAAAATTGAACGAGACGCTACCGAACAGTGTGACCACGGCTAGAGCGCCAAATTATGCCCATTTCAGCAGAGATCTGGTAGCACGTCGGAATAAGTGGATTTAAATTGATTCAAGACATTTTCCATGAGCAAAATTACTCATTGCTAATTTTCCGAGGTTTCAAATAAAGAATTTTCCGAACAAAGGCACCTGTAAAATGGTGGAAAATTCAATTCGGCGTTGCCAGACTGGTCAGAGAACCATTTGGTACGCGCGCTTCCCAACACTGAAGGTATGGGGAAACATTTACCAACACCAAATAAATAATTGCACATTTGGACCATTGTTTGATCGCATTTATAAAATATTCCTGTATTAAAATGGTGCTGATAATGCCCGTTTCGCCGCCGGAGCACGGCCTGATGTACACGGCCAACAACATCAAGCTCAAACTGGGCGACAAAGTGGTCGGCGAGGGCACCATTTACATCGCCCAAAAGTGAGCTTTTTTTGCACAAAGCCGGCGTCTGCCGCGACGTTGTTATTGTTAATGATAAAACACCCCCGCTTTTCCAGCACGCTTTCCTGGCAGCCGAGCGACCTGGCCGAGGGCATCTCCATAGAGTGGAAGCAGGTGAGTCTGCACGGGATCTCCTCGAACCCGCGGAAATGCATCTACTTCATGCTGGACCACAAGGTGGAGTGGAGCGGCGTCTATGGCGATCCGCCGCAGCCGGCGGTGAATGGTCAGAACGGAGCAGGAGCTGCTGCCGGTAATGACGCCGAGGTTGATGAGGGCAATGGCAGCGACGAGCACGATGAGGAGGAAAATTTCGAGGACGCCGTGGACGAGCAGTTTGAGGAGGTGACAGAGTGCTGGCTGCTGCCCGACGACATTCACACCGTGGACACCATGTACAGCGCCATGACCACTTGCCAGGCGCTGCATCCGGACTCTGCGGACAGCGATTCAGAGGACAGTGACCCCATGGAGGACGCCGGCGGCATGGACGACGAGGACATGGAGCAAGATGCGCTGACACTGGGCCGCAACGGCGGCGAGGTGGGCGGCATGCAGAACCTCAGTCTGGATGACGACGACGAGCGATTCGAGGACGCCGACGAGTGAAGCCACCATCACCACTACAACCTACTTATAAGCGGAATCTTTTATACCAGCTTAAGTCTAAAGTGTACGAATTGTAAAGATACATCTGTATTTGATTAGCTTTTGGAATACTATATAATAAACGCTGTAAGCGCGCCTAAGAACTGAAGTTTAGGGACTCTCCTTGGTGTTTTCCTTGTTCCGTGCAATTTCCGCCTCTAAATCTTGTTCGCTGATCGGCTGGGACAGCTGTGGGTAAGAAAGAATTATTAATTGGGAAGAATTATTGTGGAGGTCAGATGACCTACAGCCTGGGCCACATCCGCCATGACGAGAGCCTGTCGGTAGGCATCGCCATTTGAGGGCACTTTGTCGTAGTTCCAGTAGGTGAACTCATCGAAAACGCCTGTGAGTCGCAGCTGCCGGTCCGAGGATTCGCTTAGCGGCTTGTCGGTTTCCTGGAGCACCAGACCCCGGTATCCCTCTGGCACCTTCAGTCGCTCGCCCATCAGCGGATAGCCGCGCAAAGCGTTTGTAAGAACGCCAGTTCCAAACTCGGCTGCTTCCCTCGTGTAGTTGTTGAAGTACTCCTCCACATTGGCCTCGCCGTCGCCGTCTACCTTGGCCGGCAAGTAGTGCAGATCCAACGACTTGCTTTTGGCCAAGTTCTTGCCATTGAAATCGAGGGTAATCGACATTTGTTTATATTAGAAATAAGAAAACAATATGGTTTTGCGCGCAGTTTTAACTAGAGCTGGGAAACTATCGATGGTACTATCGAGGTATCGACTTTTTCCTTTTTTTGAGCCACCATCGATAGTTTTTTATCACTATCGATAGTACGGGACTATTTTTATATCTCTGCTTTGTTGCTGAAATTTAGTAAGAAAAATGCAAACAAATATATATATATATGTATATATATATTTTTTTTTTTATAATAAAAATGTATTCTAAATTAACTTAAATTGGAGTTGGTGGTGAAAAATATTAACTGAATCTCAAAAGAAAGGGTGCGTCTACGCCACGTCTTCAGAGTCTAAGCGTATGTTTAGCAATGGTAATACAATTTTATTTGTGCAAAGTTGCTTGGATAGAATATTTATGTTAATTACTTAGTCAAAACATATTGAATAGTATTATAATTCTATTTGAAATTGCTATAACTTTAATTTGCAAAAAGAATCGTAAAAAAACGATACTATCGATAGTATCGAATTTTCGTTTTCAAAACATCGAAAATATCGAATGGTGTCACTATCGATAGTTTCCCAGCTCTAGTTTTAACACTAAAATAAGAATAATAATACCAAAATAAATTAAAAAACTTGTGGATTTTAGGTTTTTTCCCAAGCGGTCACGCTGCTTTCGGAATATCGCGTGACGTTGCCAGACTTTGTACGGAATAGGAAGGTACGGTGGGAAAATGGAACACGGGAAGATTTTTTATTTTTAATTTATTTTGTAAATAAGGTACTAATTTGAACAAAAATAAAGTTTATAAATGCTAAAAAATTCATTTAAAAAGACCTTAATAATTGGATTCGAAAACCGAGGCCAGTGTGACCAGGCTACAAGTTTGCCGAATTCTCGCCTTTGGCTTGAATCAGGTTTTGGTATTTTCAGCTAGCTTCTCTGCACTCTAAAAAAATCGAATCCAACCGCCGAAAAAAGCAGAAGCGACGCGCATAATTTCGAATGTAAACTGACGCGCAGCCCGCAAGTGATAAATAAAAAAGAGTGCTAGTACAGTAACAGTACGTCCGGCATTCAAGTGCGCGCAACTAGAAAACGCATTTGCATTGGCAGCAGCAGCAGCAACAAAAACAACAATGGACGAGTTTACTCAGGTACGAAGGCTGACGCCCTTTGTCTGCGGTGCACGAGTGTTGGTAATTGCATCCATCAATCTCCATTTCCATGGAATTTCCGTTTTCTAGCTCATGCTCGAGAAGGCGGAACAGCGCAGTCGCGCCCTCGGCATCAGCAACGCCAGCAAATTCCCCCTCTCCGAGTGCAGCGTTCCGACGTCGGATGCCGCCGCGGTGGCTCCCAGGAGCCACTCTCCGGGTGTGCAGAGCGCCGCCAGCAGCAGTGGCAAGGTCGTGCTGCTAGACAAGGCTTCGCTGGAGGCGTCGCCATCCAAGCCGCTGCGTCACTATACGGCGGTCAAGGACAAGGAGAACATGGAGATGGGCATTGAGATAAACATAACCACAGACAAAGCAATTGGGGTAAGTTTCGCTCACCCACCCCTGTCCCGTTTCGCGCTTTTTTGCTTATCTCTTGTGTGCTGGAATTCGGTTCCTCCAGGTGCAAGTTGAGATCCAAGAGCAGGAGGTGACCGACGACGACGAGGAGGCGGAGACACCGAGTCCCGCCCTGGAGCCAGTTAACCAGCCGCTGGCGAGACTCAGGGACACTTCCCGTAGCAGACTGCAGCGCATGGGCGCTTTGTACTCGAACACTGACGACCTCTCCTCGCCCATCCACCGCACGGAGGGGCAGTTCCATGCGGGCGACGACGACGATATGACCAGCCGCTGCAGCAGACAGCCGAAGCAGAAATTTGGGAAACTAGCCGCTTTAGCGGACACTATTAACCAGTGGGAGGACGACACGGCACACCACGATGTGCACAGACCCATTGAGGCGCCGCCACCGAAGCCGGATTTGCCCAGTCGGCGGGCAGAGAAGGGGCCTGCCCCGCAACCCCCACGTAAGGACGAAGTAGACGAGGCTGCCCGGACCAAGCAGCTAAAGTGGGATCCAAAGGTACTGAGCTCATTGGAGGCCCAAGGTTTTCAGCGCCGCGAGTCGTCGACTATTAAACACACATATGATTATGCCAAACAGGGAGAGCCGGCGCCAGCGGTCAAGCCACCAGTGCCAGAGAAATCGACGACCGTCAGCCAGGTGGCCAGAACCTTTGGGTCCTCTGCTCCTCAGCTAGCCAAGCCTGCACCAGCTTCAGCGCCTGCGGTGAGCGTGAAGTCTGGTTTGGTTTCCGGCCGAGCAGCCATTTTCGAGAATAAAGCCGGTGGCAGTGGACAGTTGCAAGGCAGCCAGCGTAACCAGAAGGATCCCTGCGAGCTGTCGCTGAAGGAGCGCATGAAGCTCTTCGAAACAGGGAACAACAAGGCCATGCTGCCCAAGGCGCCCATTGGAACTGCTCCCAGTATTAGCCAGATCAGGCCCGAGGAGGCGAAAGGTAAGAATTCCGAGGCTTAGATGCTCGAGTTTTACATTCAATTGGGGTTTCTCATTTGCTCCAACAACAGCCCATGTGGCGGCAGTGCATCCGGTGACCGCTGCGGCTGCTACCACGGTATCTGCTGCTGCGGCTAAACCCAAGCCGGAGAACAAGCTGCGCGACAAGGTGGCCGCTCTGGTGGCCAACGCTCAATCCAGCTCTGAGAACAGGTTCAAGGAAATCGATCGCCAGAGACAGGAGGACATGCAGATAATCTCGAATCGTTTCAACAAGCAAAAGGAGCTTTTCGACATCCAGCAATCGGCCAGTGTTGTGCCTGCACCGGTTCCAGCACCTGCGCCAGCTCCTAGTAGATTGGTGCGTCCCATGCCGCCGCCTCCGCCACCGCCCACTGTAGGACTTTCACCCGCATCGGCCAGCAGCAAGAGGCGTTCACGTAAGCGAATACGACTAAACCAGGGAAATTCGGAAACCTTTAGCTGATATTCCCGTAATTTCAGCTGGTGATGCGCCCATCACTGACGAGGACTCCAAGCGAGCCCGCACATCTCATTCCGATCGCCTGTATCCGGCCTTGTCCGACCTCGATTCCAGCGGGGACAACTGCTGTGCCACGGAAACGGCCTCCGCCACCGATGACAGCCACCATCTGGACGAGGAGGAGACGGAAAGGTGCGCTGACAAATGCTACTCCTGCCTGCTATTCCTGCTCTGCATCGAGTAGCTTTCCCCGACTGATAGGCATAAGACACTTATAGCTTTAGACCCCTCGCCCACCCCCTAGACAAGACCGACCAATAAAATCGCTTGCTTAACTAACCGCTTATCTTTGATTCGAGCAGTTGCATGGATGAGTCGGAGGACCAGTCGCAGACTGAGGACAGCAGCGCCGGTATGTGCAACGGCAGCCTGGGCCGCGAGATAATGAGCGCCGTGCAGCGCAACGAGGCGGAGCATCAGCAGTGTGCCAAAAAGGTGAGCGAACAGGTAGAAAACTCGCAACCCAGCGGGCGGTCGCCATTAATCCCCTTGAATTCCTTTCAGACGGTGCACTATGCGGACCAGAACATGTACTACAGCCACGAGGCTCACGAGGACAGCTCGTTGAACTCGTCGCAAGCCTCGGGCATGGATGATTATTTGAATCAGGCTCTGGGCGAGGATTACGGCAGCACTCAGGACGATGAGAGCGAGAGCGGGGATGATCAGAATGCCAGTCGGCTGTCCTTCGGCGTAGGTTATCTTTAAAACTGCTAGGATATTCTTCTAAAATAGCCTGTTTTCGCAGAGCAAAGGAACCACGGCCTCGAACAGCTTCTCCTTCCGAAAGAATCCAGCCACCAGCACTTGCACACCCATCGATGAGCACTCGGATATCATGGACGTGCAGACGCCGCTGCCCAGTGGAGCGCAGCCGGTCAAGTCCGAGCTGAGCGTGAACCAGGACAACGACAACCTGGTCACCTTGGTGCACACTGTGAGCTTCTACCGTCGCCAGCAGAGTGCCAACGTAAGTGAAATCATTCAAAGTGACTTTACAGATAATTAAATAACCTTCTCCGCTTTCAGAGCTCCAATTCCACGCCCGTGCGGAAGATATGCCGCGAGCAGCAGGTGATGCGATCAGCTCTCGCAGGGGACTGTCATGCCAAGCACAGGCTGGAATATGACTCACCGCAACAGGGCGAAGGTGGGGCGGCTAGCATGGACGAGCAGACCGATGAGGACGACGATCAGGCTCAGAATGCGCGCGACTCCAGCGAGGCCTCGCAGGCCCAGGACAAGATCAAGAAGCTGCTGAGCGAGGTGTGCAAGCAGCAGCAGGTGATCGGCCAGGCAAGCCAGGCCCTCAATCTGTGCGCGGCCACCGTCGAGTTCTCCGGCTCTACGGAGTCCGTGGAGGGGGAGCGGTATCTCCTGCTGGCAAGTAAGTCTTCACATCCAGCTTCCAGATCGATTATTGCTAACGGATAATCTCTTCCCAGCCCATCGTCGGCAGGCCTGCCTGGACGAGGTGCAACGTTTGCGGGTGGAGAACAGCATGCGTCCCGTGGGCGCACCCAAGGAGAAGGGACTGCTAACTGTGAAGGACATCACGATTCCCCTGCGCCAGGAGTATGTGCGTAAAATGGCTTCGGGCAACATTAATGGACATCACTTGGTGTGTCTGCTGAAGTACAATGAGCACGTACTGGCCACCAAGACTGTGCCCACGATGCCTGGCCTGTTGTCGGTCAAGTTCCCCGACGTCTTGCAGCTGAACAATGTGTACGCCGACTTCCGGGTAAGTCTTTAAACAGCTCCTAAGTTATACAGTACGCTTTAATTTAATTTTTTCTTCTGCAGATCACGTTGGAAATCTATGGCATGCTGGCCCAACGCGATCAGCTACCCCACGAGCTCAAGTATCACATTAACGTGAATAAGAAGGGCGGCGTGAAGACGCCCAAGAAGAAGAGTGGCGAGAATCGGCTGGTGATGCCGCCGGTGCAGAGTCCGGCCGGGCCTCATGTGGTGCGAAAGCCGCAGCTGGTGCAGTATGGCTTTGCCATCTTCTCGCTGCGTGAGATCCAGCGCACCAGCTGGACGCTGACCCAGGTGTTGGGCGTCAGCCCACTGGAGGGCGTCGTCCATATGAAGGTTAACTGCGAACTGTCCGTGAGCGTGGAGTACAAGGGATTCCTCACCATGTTCGAGGACATCTCCGGCTTCGGGGCCTGGCATCGCCGCTGGTGCTATCTGAACGGCTCTGTGCTGAACTTCTGGAAATATCCGGACGATGAGAAGCGCAAGACGCCCATGGGTAGCATTGATCTGAATGCCTGCAGCTCCCAGAAGGTGTCAACCGCACCTCGTGACATTTGCGCCCGCCTTAACACCATGCTGCTGGAGTGCGAGCGCCCGGCGATGGACACGGACCAGGAGTCGCTGATAATCGTGCCCAAAGGACACACAACCACTGTGCGGCATCTGCTCTCCGCCGACACGAAGGAGGAGCGCGAGGAGTGGTGCGCCTACTTCAACAAGGCGCTGACGCTGCTGCGCGCCTGGGGAAACACCCACTAGACCCGAGTGGGCCGCTTGCAATTGCTGTCAGACCGCGGACCACGAACGGGCGGGTTGTTTAAAGTTTTCTCTTTTTAAGTTTTACTAACCTTACTACTTTAATTGCGTTTGTCTCATTTTTTGTTTTACGTTTCCCATTCAAATTAAGTGGATTTCTGTAGGCCTTGTTTGGATATAACTCGTAAAATTCATGTACATTGCATTATAGGATGTCCCGCTAAAATCTATATATATATATTAAATACATTTAAATCCCAGTAAAAAGGCTGCCGCCTGCTCTATACACTGAATTGTTTATTGTTTATTGAATACTATTATACACATACATTCACATATATCGTTTTGCAAGAACTCATGGCTATGAAGGAAGTACTGGCTACGTGGCTTCCGTGTGTTAACTATCTTTGTATCTCCCGAATCGAAAAGAACAACAAGTGAGAGTTAAAGCTTGCGTGTTATCACGACCCCGACTTGCCCTGCTCCGGCTGTTCTAGTGCCAACCTCCGCCCCGGCACCAGGCTCGCTTCGTTTTTTCTGTACTGTGTAGGTGGTTCATGTCAGGTAGTTCAGTGTGTCCTTTGTGTTGCCATCGGAATTGACTCTAGTGTGGAGATAACTTCCTTACGTATGTATGTATGTTATGTCAGTTGGCCGTCGTCGGCCTAAAGGCTATCTACAAAAAGTGGATTACGCGTTGCCTTCTTCTTGATACTTGAGTGTGGGTGTTCGCTAGTTCACAACACTATCAATTGTATAGATATATATATATATTTCATATAGGTATATATATAATATGGTATTTTCGACTCGAATATCTGCTGTTAGTTGTAAATTCTCCAAAATTATTACAGTTTGCCAGATATGCAGGATATACTTGTGTGTACTTTGTACAACAGTAGCGCGCCGCTCTCGCTGGATCGGGTACGGAATATATACATATATTCATATATATATGCAAATTATTTACACAATCTCGCTGCTGGAAGGAGGGAAGGAGGGAAAAATAGAAGTCGAGAGCCCGGCTACCGCTACAGTTCGATAATGCATTCGCTGGATTTGGATAGACACCGCTTCAAACTGCTTTGGATAACTCCCTATGGCAATAAAACTGTCAACATTCGCTAGAATACAATGGGGCTAGACTATGTATATAGTAGTATATAATACTGAGAGAAGGATACTTCCATATATGTGTATATATGTATCTGTGCTTGTGTCTCTGTGGCGGTGGTTGTGGTGCAGTTTGCAACGCAAAGATAAAGCCGAATTTCGATGCAAGTCTTGATGTTGCTGAATTGATATATTCACTCATAACCTAAGCACTAAACCTTAAACAGTTGCCAATATATAAAATTGAAAAAATAATGCACTAAGCTTACTTATATTCGTGGTGTGTTTGTGTAGGTGTGTGTGTGTTTTGTGTGTGTTGCTAAGCACCTTTAATGAACATTTTAAAATTCAACACTTAAGGCTACAACGGAATGTACAGTAAACAATGAAATAAATTAAACAGTAAAACGATATGCGTAGAATACTATACATAAAACACAGCCACCAGCTATCACTCCCCTGTCCTGGTGGCTGAATTAGTGTTTCAGGGGCGAGTTCCTTACGGATTTGCTGCCACACCGGCGGCGGGCGAGGTCACCTGGGCATTCTGACGCCGCAGATCCGACTGAGTGGTGGCCGTTATGATAGTGCCCACAATTAGCATCACAGCCATGGTTATGTTGGCGGCAATATCACCGAACGTGGTGAAGAGCTCCGAGTAGAACAGGGTGAAGCAGATGCCGAAGGTCTGGGCGGAAGCGTTCAGCAGTCCGGAAGATGTTCCCTCGGGCTCCGGGAACGTGAGCTCGGCTCCGAACTCAAAGCCCACGGGCAGGTAACCAGTCATAAAGAAGCTGGAAGTAGGAAGAGGTTTTCATTGGTATTTATTTCTATATTCTCCTATTAATGAAAGATTCTAGAAAAGTGCTTTACTTCAAATTACTTTTAAAAATTATTAAAATATTTGAAGGCTAAATTAAATTGATGAACCTTTTCTGACTGCTGAACCTTTGCAACATAAATGTGTTGCCAACCCAAATGGGTGTTGCTAAACATGTTTCTAGCTACATTTTCTTATGCATTCCGCCAGGTATTTGTACTTCTTTTATTTTTAGGAAATCTAAGATCTAAACCAATTTTGTCTTTATCTGTTATTGCCTTTTAATAGAACTCTATAGACTATATAACCATTTTATTAATACATATATAGACTATGTAAGAATTTAATTAGAAAATAGAATAGTAAGGAGAAAAAACCTAAACCGACTTACCCCAGCAGCGAAGCTGTCAAATAGACCACCGCAATGTGACCCGTGTCCAGGGTGAAGGTGAAGATCCACATGCCCACCATGGAAAGAGCATAGACCGCCAGCGTCGTCTCCCTGTGGAGAGAGGAAGAGAGAGAAGGGTAGAGAACAGCCATAATGAGTACCGCTCATTAAACATCGAGTGCCTTCCCATTCAATTAATAACAACTTCTGCAGCTGCCGTGCCAAAACTTTCTCAAGCAGCTCCCACTCGTAGCCGACCACACGGCGTATACGTAATGAGTTCGACTCGTGCCCCTGGAAGGCCCTTCAGCTGTTGATGGTTGTACTTACTTGAATTTATGCGTCTTATCCAGCACAATGCCAGAGACCACGGAGCCCAGCATTCCGGCCAGCACAATGCTGAGCCCGATACGTCCGGCGTCCACCTCATGACCGGGATAATACTTCAGGACCACCTGTAAACAAATCCGAGCCATTAGCCTCCATTAACCGCTCATTAATCGAGTGGCCTTGAACTCATACCGGATTCAGGAGCGTGGAAATGGCGTAGAAGACGCCCACATTGATGCCGTAGGACAGGAGCAGGAAGATGAAGTTCCGGTTGGTCATCAGGTTCTTCAGCGATTGCATGAAGCTGACTTGCTCGGCTTCCGAGTTCTCCAAGCGCTGGGCCTCCTCCTGGGCGGCGGATGGAGGCGTGGGCGGTCTGTCCTGGAAAACTAAAGGAAAAAGAGAAAGTCTTAGCAAAAATGTTTCGTACATTTAGCGGGGATTAAGGTATTTACTTACATATCACCATCAGTACGAGCAGGATGGTGGTGAGTCCGGCCACCAAATAGAACATCATCTGCAGATCACGGCCCACAGTCTCCAGATCCGGGGAATTTGGCACCAGCATGGGTGGCAGCACAAAGCCAACGGCCACGCCCAGCTGCAAGAAGAGAGGGAGAGATAGGCGGGGTTCGCCATTGTACACACAAGTTGCTTAAAGCGGAATCTGGTTCCGGATCCGGATTTCAGCCTCGGAATCCGCTGGCATTTCTGCTACGCTTCCGGACCTCAACTTTCTTCTCGCCCGCCACACCCCTTATCTGACGTTATTTACGCTGCAACTGTGAAATTGATTTATAGTGGGCAAGACCCTGCTAGATATCCTGCTCCTTTTCCATTTCCAAATCTCCATTCCCTTTCCAAAAACCCAGCTGCACTAGATGCTTGCTTCTCTGTTGCCGTTGTGTTTTTGTTTTCGTCAAAGTTTGTGGCGTTGTTCTACGGCGGAAAAAAATAGATGTACACCCCGGGCTCGGCTGTGACAGCTCCGCTTTTTTCCGCACACACGCCATTGCACAAAAGTTGAGCCATGCAATTTTTAGTTATTTTCCTTGATTTTTTATGGAAGGTTGCCGCTAGGGTATCTCATGGGGATTGTGCAAGGGATACCTGCTTGCCTAACAAGCTATAAAATAATGATGATAATACTGAAGCGAAATCGAAAATACAAGGAGTTGTATTTTGTACAAGTGGCCCCTTCTTTGAATCATCCCTGTTTTATATTATTCTCTATTTGTTATCCTTTTAAAGGGTATTTCTATGCGAGTCACTGATTCTTTTTGTTTACCATATTGTTTGGACCCTCTATAAATCGGTTTTAGTGGCAGGGCCCGTATTTAAAACCCAGTGACATTTGACAGTCAGGAAAATAAATTGAATCGTAAAAGCACTTTTTCCGTCTGGATTTTTCATCCAAATTGAGTTAAATTGTGTCTCAAAGGGAGATATGTTTAAGCGAAATTGCTGTGCAATTTAATTACACCGATGCTCGGGTCAATTAATAACAGCCTCTGAGGAATTTCGATATTTCATTTGAATTAAAACACCTTGGTGCACCTTTTGAATTGCAAATAATCGGCTGAACTCGAATTGCTTTCATTAAAGCAAACAACAAAGGGCCTGGTGGAAACTGTTCCATTTCACACACAATAAACCAAACGAAGCTCTTTTCTTTTGGTTTGCAAAAGAACAAAAGGACGAGCTGGTGGTGGGGTTGGGGGTTGGAGACAACCCAGTTCCTGCTGTCGTTAAGTGAAAACCTTTGGCAGTGTCGTCGTGACCATCAGACACCGATTGCTGTAGCCGTGGATGCAGGTGGTCCCGCTTCTGGTCGTAGATTGTACCACCTTTTTTATGGCCGCAAACAGAATCAGTTTTAACATCTTTGCTTAACGAAACCTTATTTTCGAAAGGATTTTTGAAATGAATTACAGATTCCGAGTTTTTCCCGCTAATCTAGGTTCATCTGGAAAATCTGTGAGATGTTAAAGGTGGAAAACCCAAAATGGAAAATTCTACTAAGCCAAACACATCCTTGCAGCTCAATGTTGTGGGAAAATTTTAAAGCAGATTCCTGCGATGTTCCAGGATTTTTATTTTCAATCCAAACTTTTATTTTGCAATTTCCAATTACTTTGAATCCGCCCGTGAAATATAAATTTAAAAACCTACCACCCCCATATTTCAGAAATATATATACCAATAACTGTCAAGGCTTGCCTGGCCTGGTCTTATTTTATAGCTGACAATAAATTTGAATAATTCTATTTGATTCCGGCAATGAAGCTCGGGATGGGACATAATCGAGTAAAAACAGAAATACGATTTCGAAATACACTCCTGCTTATATGAATGCACGGGGAAGAGACTCATAGAATTGCAGCAATTTGCATAAATGTATTCAAGAGATGGGTTATAAACCAGGCAGATGCCAGGAGCTCATCTGCATTTCCACTTCCCTGCACTCTGCTACCTCTTGTCCGTTTTCTTTGTCCTGGCTATTTGGGCTTTTATGAGGAGGCGCAAAAGGACAGTCGAGTGGGACTCGCAGGCTGCTCAGCGATTGCAGTCTGAGCCTCTCCGCGGTATCAAGAATAAATATTTGAGCCGCCTGGAGACGGGCTTGTAAAAAATCGAACGCCGCGTCTGAGCCTCGCTAGCTGCTCGTCATGCCCTACCGGAATGGCATTCGCATTCGCATTTGGCCCTGGAGAATGTTATTTTCGACTTGGCTGGCTTGGGGAACTCGTTCCGGCCGTGTTTACATGACCATCCGGAAAAAAAGCATCGTGCAAAAAAGCAAAAGAAAAAACGGTGGAAAAGAAACTGTGTTTGCTCAGCACTCTGGCAACAATGCTCCTCCGCCAAATCCGCTTCATCCAAGCTCAGCCAGTCAGGAATCACAGATTTGAGGGCGGAGGGTGGCTGCGAGAGCGCGTGGTGCGTCGTCCTTGCCAGATAAGGCAGCCAAGGCGATTGGGCTAAGGAAGGAGCAAAGGAGCGGAGGGGCTGAGCTGGCTCATTCAATGTCACACGGTATGTGGGCCATCTACGTGGCCCCTGCTGGGTTTTTTATGAAGGCTCTCCTTGTTTTTTTTTTAGCACAAATTCGGCTAGGCGTTTCGACAATGGATTAACCGGGCTGGGAGCGCTGGCTTTAAGCCTTGCCTTCGCCATATTTGACCCACTGTTCCGTTATCCTCCACGTACTACATCACGTGGCCCACACATTGTAACATCCCATTGTGACTTCCTACCTGTGACAAGCGGAAATTATAAGCCTTTTCATCTGCACTCGGGTGAAAGGCAAATATGACAATCCCCCGGCACCCTCACATTCTGCGTTTAGGATGCAATGTCTCTTGCCTGGATGACAGCAGAGCAGAGGTGCTGCACGCGGCTGTTCGAGTCGCATATTTGCACTCACAGACCCACTGCTCCGATGCGCTCGTAAATCAACATTAAGAGCAAACGGGGCACACCCCCATTTACCCATTGTCCCAGGCTTCCACTTCCACCTGCCATTGTCATTCATCACCGCCGCACCTGACACTGTTGGCTAATGGCTAAGCAAGCGGCCTAATTGTTTTGCGGCGTTTAAGCCCATAACCTGGCTCGGGTAAAGATGGCAGACATTGCGGATAGGCATGACTTGTTTACGTTAAGTGCTTGTTCTATTTTGTAATACCCCTTAAAAGCTATAGTTTAAATAAATAGAGACTTGCATCCATTAAACATCTTAATCCACGTTAAAGGTAAAGAAAAGTTATATGACTTGAACTTGAGCTTAGTTGTAGAAGAAAAAAAATATATATTTCGATTACAGAGTTAAAGATAGATATTTTTGCTAGTAAACTCGGTTTTATATCGTTAAACACACATGTGTTTTTGCAGCTCTAGTTTTAAATTCATATTAAATAGCATTCAGCTATCAAGCTTTAGTTATTTAATGTTCTTTTCAACTTAACTTTAGTATTTTATTTCATAAAATGTATTTTCATATTTGCTAGTCTATAATATCTCTATAGTACCAACCTCCTTCTCCTATATACCCTTATAACGAATAATAATGGATAAAATAACAAGCCTTAATTCCAGTAAAATAACTGCATTCACCTCAAATGCCTAGCAAATTAGTTTATGGTTAAAGAAAATAGCAATGTCAGTGCCTAAGCACTTTGCGGTTCCTGAATTCTCAAGAATCAAATATTCAACTGGTTGGCCTGACCGACCATACACACTCACTCGGGGCGAGCTCTTGAAACCGCATAATGCTCGACACCTCGGCCCAGATTTGCCTCCGCGTTGACAGTTCAATTGTCCAGAGCGTGGAAGGTATCCCAGCCAGGCAGCCACTTAAAGCGATACTGAATTTCGGAGAGGTCATTTCGTTTTGTTTGCCACTGCTGAATAAATTGAACCTCGTGCCCGCGGCGGCCCAGATGCGGATGCAGTGCTCCAAATTGAATCCACTCAAAGAGCCTTTCGCATGCATTACCATTGAAACCATTGAGGCGAATGAGGGGGCGTGGCACTAGAACGGCCCTGTCGTTGTCAGTTTTGTTTAACTTCCCGAACTCTTTTGGCAATTTCATGATTGCCTGGCCGGGCCAGCAGAGTGGAGCAAAATGTCAGAGCAGGCCACTTCCGCCCACCGGATGTGGGCCTGACTCTCACGTTCTCCCATTTGCCTTTCGTCCTGATTTCATCCTGAGTGCATCAATCTGCCGAGCTGGAAAGGCTTGCAGCCTTTTCTATGTTAATGCAAATTCAACGGCTCACTAACTCACAAGACAATGTCGGAGCAGGCTAACATGGCAATTGGCCATCAATAACGCAAGTAGGTGCAACTTGGCGTATACTTGTCGCCAGTTCGTTCGTTGGGCTCCACCATCACACTCACCTGATTGCCAAACACTCCCACGCTGGTGGCCGACGACACCTGGTCGGGGCCGAACCACACGGCCGCCAGACGGGCCGGCAGTGACAGGATGCAGACCTGGGCCAGGGCCACGATCGCCTGCCCAATGAAGCCCACATAAAAGAGAGATGGATCCACCGAGAAGACCTTGATCCAGGCGCCCACACAGGTGCCCACGATGCCAACCAGGGCGGTTATACGAAGGCCCTATAAGTAAGACACGAATAAAGAAGGGCAAGGTTTTAATTATTAAAAAAAAATTATAATTATAAACTAAAATAAATCTCTCCACTCTGGTGACTTGAGTTCCTCAATTTATTTCTTTAGTGAGTTAACTTACCACTTTGTCCAAAAACCAACTGCCAGGGAATATAAGCGGTATGTACAGGATCATATAAATCATGGACGTCCAGTCCACCCATTTATCGCTGATGCCGTAGTAGCTGAGGGACAAAAAGAGAAGCCATTAGAACGGGGAATCCCCCACGGGTGTGCACTTGACTGGCGGGCGAGCGGGCGAGATGCGGGAGTTAATTTATTCAACCCCATTCATTTGGCCCTCCTCAGTCTAGCTGGTTTAATGAGCTTTATGAAAACTTTTAATGAAATGTGAGAGGCGCTATTCCGTGCAGCAAATATCGCCGGAATTGCCGGAGCACCCCTCGCTGGTTGGTTCACTCACCGTGTTATTATGTTGTTGATGATGGTGTATTGTATCCACTGCATGGCATTCGAGGATGAATAGAACACAAAGAGAATCAGCACAGCCCAGCGACGGGCGTAGACTTTGTAGCCTGAAAAAATGGAAATAGAATGCGTTCAGGTGAAAGCCACTTCAGGAGAAGGCTTGAGGAACGTCTCAAGGCTTCACCAACCTGAGCCGAAGGAGGACCCCATGTAGCTGCACCAGGATTAACCGGATTAGGGGCAGGCTTGCCTGCCGTGTAACACTACTAACTCAGGGATAACACTCTGACTCTGCCTGATATTCATGCAAATGGTTGTGCCCCCCCTCGACCCATTATCATAATACGTTTTCCACCCCTTTTGTTAGTGATTGCCTGGCCTTAAAGGGATTTCATAGTTCCCTCCAACCTCCCCCAAGGTCGCAGTTTAAGGCATTGATTTCCAAAAGTTGGGGAGTCAACAAACAGCTAAAATCGCAATGATACGGACATTGTGTAGGTAATGGCTATGGTAGCCTTAATATTCAGTGATTCTTTATAGTTTGCTAAAGGGTTTTTGTTCGAAATTGGCTTTCCTATAATGAAAAAGTTTACTTATTGTTACAAACTGCTTATGGGGTTACAGGGGCACTGCATTGTTGCTTTTAGTGATTAAAGCTATTATTGTTAAATTATTGAGTTTAACGTTAAGGCAGACAACAATCAAATACCATAAAACCATTTTAAATATTTTAAAAAGGTTGTTATAAAAGTAGTTTTAATTATGTATGGGGCTATGAAACCAGATTGTTGTTTTTTACTAATTAAAGTCTTTGGGTTTTACGGTAATTAAAGTAATAATGTGGTATCATTAAAAAATGAAAAGGTTCTAATATATAGAAATATCAATAGTATATAGTAATAACAATAGTAGTATAGAAATAATAATAGGATATAGTGCTATAACCTAACCTCACCTATACTTCAAAAATAACTTTCAATTTGTTTTTAAGTTGGATAAATGTTAAAAATCCTGATAAGTAATATACCTATTCCTATTACCTATTTCTGCATTATAAATAGCACAATTTAACATTTGAAAATAGCCACGTTACCTCCTACACTTATTTGGTTCCCATAGAAATCAATACTCAAGAGTTCGATTAATCACGTTCATTACGAAGGTAACAAAGTGCAAGGATTTCCAAAAGCTCTCAATCTACCATTTATTTCCTTGCATACTAAACAGCTAACTGGATATAAGTTAGAACTGTTACTTTCTATTCAAATGAAGTGGAAAACTAGCTTTAAACACAGACAAATGCTCTCCTGACATTCGACTTTCATTCGCGCATTTTGTGTGCACTCACACTCTGGCCCAAGGGAGACATTTGTGCGTCCCTGGAACACTAACAAATATATATGATTAAATAAATGTTTGCTTCCATATAATCCCCGTTCGAAATTAAAATGGCTTGTTTAAGCGCATTCTGGTATATAGTAGTACATATAGTATATATGGCATGCATTGGATCTCGTGTGCATTGGCTTTTCTGCTATTTATAGCCATCCTTTTTTGTTCCAATTTGTGACAATTCAGAAGCGACGTCACTAACTTTTTGGTTTGCATGACATTGAAAATACAAAACGCTTTGAAGCCGTTTTTTACTTGTGTTTCATATATATGTACATATATAGATTAAAATACCCAGGTATGCACAAACACCAGCAGGTGCAATAGCCATGCATATGTTTACTGTGCACAGAAAACACTTTTTTTTAAGTTTTAAATATGTTAAAATAGGTTTAAAATAGTTTTCATTACAAAAAAATTATTTAGAAAGGATTAATTAATTAACAGAAATGTATCAAATAATGCAAAAAGCGTAAAATTCATTTGGAAAGGTATTCAATTTACAATAAGCAAACAAGGTAAGCCGAAGTTTGTATACCTTGCAGTTTGCAATTGGATCATGAAATCGAATTGACAATCGATCATACCTTTCCCATAAATGGATTTATTTACATTTCGCAAGCATTTAAGTGTTTGTTATTATTATTAACAAAAAAGGAAGTTAAATTCGGCACGCCGAAGCTTGTATACCCTTGAAGATTGTAATTAGATCATTGAGAATCGATTCATTTTGATCAAATCAAAAGAATACCTAACAGGAGAAGTTTTATTCAGATAGCTCCAAAACTTGGTTGTTAATGCTGATTAAGAATATGTGGTTCATAGGTTTGGAAATTACTTCTTTACTGTTTTGCAAACTTCAAAAAACCTAACATGCCTAGATCGATACGCCTTTTGATGGTCGTCAAGAAATGTTTTCTTCACTGCCTTCAGCAAGGCTGTTAATAAATATTTAGCATTCATATTTATTTCCCTACCTAATAAATATCAAAATGTAATTCCTTTTTAAAGGTTAAAATTACAAAAGTGACAATAAATCGACATACATATATTACCGTTCCTAAGGTAATTGAATTTTTCTCCGTGTATGCATTTAAGTGAATGTGCGGCGCTGTGGCTTTGGTAGTCTTTTGCCAAGTGCATTTGCGTGTGGTTGTGCGGTGCTCGGATTGCACTGAATACAAATGGCAGCCGCTGTGTGTGCACATCCAAACACACACACACACACACACCGCCCACAAACCCAAACACAAACACTGCGAAACTATTGCCTACCTTGTGGTGCAGTTAAGCCAAAATGGTGGCTCATGTCTGACATGCAAAGTGCATGTGCCCATACAACTAAATATATGTTTGTATATGTTGTAGTACACAGCAGGGAAATGCAAACTAGGCGTGTGTTTGGGTAATATAACACAAATCATAACTTAAACAAGGTCTAAGGAGAGGCAGCATAGACTAGGGAACTTGGCGGAGTAATCACAAAGAGCATCAGGGTATTTTAAAAAATAAAATACTATACAGAACCGCCTAAAAAAGATAATGGCAATTCCATATCAGTATCATGTTGCCACCTCAGTTATTCACTCCCTTCCATTAGTATCTTAATCATTTTAATCATAGTGGTGGGACTTGAATCAAACATTTAATCATATTTGGCACAACGACATCAAATACTTTTGACATTTTCAAGTGCTGACGTTGAGATTAAACTATATTGATATGGAACTGTCCGAGTTAATGACCTATTGGGTGATATTTTATTTTGTGTTGACAACGGCCGACAAATGTTGAAACTACACTTGGCCCTCGCTTAACACGAACTCTTTTAGCACGAACTCGGTCTTACACGGTTTCAAATTTGCTCCCATCCCCCTTTTAACACGCTAAAAACCTCGTTCTTAAACGATTGCAAAATATCGAAACAATCAAAAATTACTGATTTTTACAAGGAGCCACCAAAAAAGAAACCATGTTAAAACAAACTGGCTTTAACTATAAATGCCACCAAATGCATTTCATATTATGAATTATGAATTTTTAGTTATCAACTATGAATTATGATATGAATAAAACATATGATCTCCTTACTTTTTAACATTTTTTAGTTTCTATAAAGTTTAACCTATTAATTAATTATAAGAAGCAACTTTTTTAATTAAATACCAACTTTTAAGTTTGAAAATATGAATGGTATGCTTTTATTAAAGGCATATACATAATAACTTTTGGTTAATTTTGAACAAATGTATGAAACTTTAATAAAAACATACCAAATTTGAACAATAAAAAATTTGTTTTGCTGTCAATTTTGAATTTTTAGAACGTAACCCCTTATTTTGTACTGAATCCATGTTTCGCTTAACACGATTTCGCTTAACACGAGGTTTTCTAGGAACGTAACCCCCGTGTTAAGCGAGGGCCAGGTGTATTTGATATAAATACTACTCTAAATAGCAACACAAATTTAATATTGAATCCCCCAAAAACTGTTTACCTGGACAACTCACCTTCTGCTGGGGCATTGGCTGCTGTGGCTTTGGCCGCCTTGCCCTCCTTGTCCTTGGGCGTGATCATGTCTGTGGATTTGCTGGTGACTATATAGGTCTCGGTACTTTCGACGGCACCGCTGGCGCTGTGCTTTAGATCCATCCAATGGGTGCTGCTGGTGGGGGTCAAAGGTCGCTCTGCGTGCTGTGTCCTTGCGGGCAGGTGTAAATTCTGGGCGGTTGTGCTGTGGCAGCGATTGCCGTGATCGGTGGTGTCGTTCAATTGCTGGGTGGATTGCTCTCTGTTCTTGATTCGATTTCGGCAGTTCGTGGTTTCTTAAACCGAAAAGAGTTCTAAAAACAGCAGAAAGTTAAACAAAATTAGAGGGGAAAAGAGCTTACTAATTGGTATTAAATTACTGCCGCTCCCTAATCCAATTTTAACAGCCACGAATTTTCATAGAAGATACTTTTTTGTTGTTGTGGTCCCGGCAAGTAACACACATTATATTGTGCTTATTGGTTGAGGGTTGCTGGCAGTTTAGGGGAAAATTATGTAAATAATGTGGTTATTGTTAGCTGACCCTGAACTTGGGAAAACCCAAGTATAAATCTCTCAAAAGAGCTAGAGAAGTTTTGCTAAGTTAAAGGTAAAAGAGCTGATTGAATAATAAAAAATCCATTGTAACTTGTTGGACTGGGTAATTTATTGTTTTAATACGTGATATTCTGCTTTAAAAGTTTGTACTTAAAAAAGCTAGTCAAACTACATACCTTTTAATAGCACAGATATACCTAAATGAACAGAGTAACTAACTAAGTCTAATACAATTTTTGTTTATTTTTTCCCCTGTCAATACTGCAAATGAGCAAAAAAGCCATAAATCATTTAATATACCATCTATAGAAGCCACTAAAAGTCATGTTCGGTTTGGTTTGCCCTCCCTTGATTTAATTTCAGCTTTTAACGAACAATTCAATGTGGTTTTTGGGTAAAGCAAACAAACGCAATCCCCGATATTAATACGCCTTAATTAGCTTGTTGACCGCTGGGTGATTACACTGCAATTTGCGGATGCTCTCTCGGCTTTAATAAAGCCATTGAATCAAATTTAAGCACGGAATTCACCCTCAGGGCCACTTGTTGCCCCACTATTCCGCATTTTCAGTTATTTTAGCTTCGGCTTTGCATTCAGCAATAGCTTCAGCATCGGCTTTGGGCTTAGCTCTGGCTTTGGCTTTCTGGGAAAAAATGCAATCAGCGACAGATGACTGACTTTGACTGCGTCTGCCGCCAAATAAATTGAGTGGATTGCCCGTCGAATTGGAATGCCGGGTATTCCGGTTGCTCGGATTTCGATTTGGATTTGGGTCGCTTTTTTGGGTTTCATTTTCATTATCGCTGATAGTTCTCGCTCCCCCAACTCATTTGGCACGTGCGAAAAATACACTTCTAGCATGGCTTAATGCCATTAGCTCTGGGATTAAATAGTATTTTCCCAAGTGATGTGCCGTGACCGATTGACAAATCGTGCAAACCGTTTTTCCTCATTTCCATATCTGCTAATTAGATCGTTCGTTAGCCACGTAATGGATTTTAAAATTGATAATCACTGCATTTGAATCAATTTGCGTTTTGTAAATGCCACTGGCTAGCTAGCTTTTCGCACAATCGGAGGCCGTCGCTCGAGCAGAGACAATTACGGTTCTGCCTTGGAAAGGTTCTTCAACGCCTGCAAGAACTTCGGATTGCTATGAATCGCAGGAATTCGTATTGTTTTTATTCGCGTCGGAACACTCAAGATTAGCGTCATCGCCGATGGTTGCCCAACGGCCATTACCTTTGCTGGGAGGTGGGTGGGTCTCTTCGTCGAGATAAATACTCGTAAATGGAGTGGTATTTCACTGGCACTCGATGATAAGACGGATTCTAGACGCTGGCAATGCACTGAGAATAAACTACAGGCCGAGGTTAGGAATTTCATGTTGTATTGGAATTTTCTTGACTTATTTATGTACATTCTTTATTCTAATTATTTATTTAATTCCGTACAAGCGGGGCTTTGCATAAGTGAAGTGGATTTAGCTCTTGGGTTTAAGCTGGCATTACATAAACTACCTACACTCGAAAAAAAGGTATTGATTAAGATTAATTAAAACAGGATTTATTATGTACATATTTAAATAAAGTAAATAACCTATAAAGTAGCAAAAATCTAAAAAAATGGTAGAAGCTATCTATATTTTTCATAAAATTGATCATAAATCTATATCATAAAAGCTATTGAAATTATCCATATAAATAAAACACAAATAAATAAATATTCTTAAATTGATAATTATGGAAAGTTTTTAATGCTTGTTTTTCCTTTCGGTTCTGTGGAAAAACAGCTTTGAAAAGTGCAAAAAGAAATAAAATAAATACAAAACTTGTTATCTTAAAAACCTGTTTTATTTTGACACAATTCTTACGCTTCTCTAACCAATTCATAACAAAAAGTTAACAAAAACATTAAGAACAGCTTTAGTTCTTATTGTAAACAAGTTGTAGTGTTTCATTATATTTATTAATTGGTATTCTTTGTTCTGCGCTGTAAAATACTTTTATTTTTGTTTGTTTTTAACACTTTTTATGACTATCAGGAGCTTCTTCAAAAGCAGGAACTGTATGATTTATGGATTTTTATTTTTTTTTTCAAATCGAAGACATTTAAACCTTATCTTTGAGTACTTGCTCTTTCTGTCTGTTTAATTTTTCGCTCAGTGTAGCTTAGCCGGGGTTCCGAATCAACGTAAATAACTTCCCGAAAAGTCTGGGCATCGGAAATTGACTTTCATCCGCTCGGCCCACCTCCGCCAATAACACGCACGTACACTTTTCATGGGGATTTTCGCGGGGCCAATAAAACTCGTACTGGAACCCCCCAATCCGGGCGGGGGGATTATGGTAGGTCAGACCTGACTTTTAAGCCCTCGCAACACCACCTCCACACAGTGCATTCTGTTCAGTGCACTCTCCACTCTTCGCTTTACTCACTTGGCACTCTTCACTCTTTCTTGGCACGTTCTTCTATTCGAACTTTTAAAACTAAGTACTGAGTAGTGGAGTAGTGAGTACTAGAGTACTGGAGTACTGGAGTACCGTAGTACCGGAATACCGCTACCGGTACTTAAACAGAAGAAAAAAACGGAGAGAAGACCCGGGCACGCAAACGCGAACGGACAAAGCGGTACTGAAACTGATTCCGAAAAGCGCTCAGCTCTCGGGCATAAACAGCAATGTTGATTTGCAAAACGCTTTCGGCTCGCCGCCGCTCACTAGTTGTTCTTGCTATTATTGTTGGGATTGCTGCAAACAGCTGATTTAGCGGCAGCGATGACAACAAAGTAAACCAAATACACTCACTTCGAGGGCCCGCGATTAAGGAAACGTGTGTTCGCGATATTGTATAAATTGTATATAGATTGTAAAACATTCAAGAGCCGCCGCCAGGTGTTTGATTGTTTTACGGTCGCCTAGAGTATTCCATCGTCATTGCCGGGTTTTATTTTGCCTTTCTCATTATCACCGAAAAACGAGTGACAAATATTGAAACACGTTTGCCCAGAGTCTGGTAAGATGGAGTGCTTCAACCTTAAAGCGTAGTGCTCCGACTTTTGGCGCTCACTGTTGGTTGGTTGGTTGGTGGGATGTGAATACGACTGGGAGCCCACCAGCACGGCACGGGCACGGACACTCATTGCTGGGTAACGCCGTAAAAACAAGTCCAGCTGTCGTGAATCAGAGGGAATTACTGGGGGCACCAGCTTGAATGAACTCGGGCTTGATAATACGTCTTTAGAGTATGAACAAGGCCTTTGTTCAGTACTAATTGAACTGTTTTTTGGGGAAATCCAATTATAATATGGTTTTTTTAATACAAAAAATATTCTGGGTACTTATTGAACTTTTAAATTAAGGTTTTTTTTTATTAAGAGCTTATTAATAACCCTTAGCTTTATATCAGAAAGTTTTTAAAACGAAATAGTCTTTGTAAATGCTTTAAAAATACAATATTACTTGGTGACCTAGTTACCAAAGAGTTCTAAAATTAACTTTAGATAAACATGTATTTTCGGAACATCCAAAAGATATTTCAGCGAATCGACTAATACAACTTTAAATATGATGTTTTATATAAATAAACTTTGCAATGTTTTGTCTTGTCTTAAATATATGAATTGAAAAAAAAAAAATTGAAATGGGAAATGTAAGATATGGTAATTGAAACCATAAAAAGGCTAAGATATAAGTTTGTGGAATTTTAAACTAGCAAAATAAATGGATAATATTCTAAGATAATATGATATAATAAATTAAATTGTTAAATTTTAAGAGTCTGAAAACCCATTCTAGATTAGCAATGCGACTGGTAAGGTATTAAAAAAAATTACCTAATTGCAAACTCTAAAATTGAGCTTAGATAGATAAGTATTGTTATAATATTTAAGAGATATTCCGACGAATTGCCAAATAAGAAAGAAATATAACATATACTCATAGCAAATCTCTCTCCGATTTTATTCCTAAATCTTAATAGCTTAAAATAAAATTTTAATTTTATTTAAAACAGCTTCTAAAATTAACAAACCCTTAGTGGATTATTTAAAATTCAACTGCGGCTAATTAGATATTCAAGCAAAGCTAATTCTCCAATTGTCACGGGTCTTCGTACGGGTCTCCCCCTGTACGTGGGACACAATTGCACTTGCAATCCATTTTAAAATTCTTTTATTTGTTTAGCTCTCCCCTTTATTGCGCTCCCTTTATTCATATATATTTTTTTTTATCACTGCCGTAGCACGTGTACTGCCGTCCAGGTTGTGCTTCATATTTTTCATTTCGCAGTTTTGTGGTTTTTATTGAATAATTTGCCTGCGGGAACTTCCACTTCCCTAGTCGTGGGGTCGCTGCTGTCCAGACGACGACGACGGGTCCCGCGGATCCGACGGTGCCCGCAGCGTGGTAGCGACGCCATCGCCGTGGCCGGGGGTCATTATTCGATTAAGGCAAATTATTATGTTTTATTATTTATAATGCAAATATCAGCACAGACATGGCCAGACGCGGCCCGGCGGTGGGACAGTAAATCGCTGCGCGGTGTGAGGTGAAAGTGCTTTCGTTTTGTTTCGAGTGCCTCCCATGAGCCATGCACTTGGCGAAAAAATTACTCCTCTATATAGAAATATAAATTATGAGGCAGATTATATGTATTCTTTTAAAATAAATCTCTATTCGTGAAAATAGATCATCTCATTAGTTGAATAAATTCCCAACTAGCTCTAGAATAGCAACAAAACTTTTTCTGAATATTTCATATTTAATAGTTCTTTCTTTTAATATCCATTATAGCCATGTTATGCTTTGTTCTTAGTTATAAATATTGTTTTGCAACCAAATTTTCTCTGTGTATTTGTAGCTGGGATTCCAGACTTATCACTGATTTGTACTTTGTCACTCGGCAATGCGAATTTCTCGCGCGACATCATCTGTACCCTACACTCGTTCGCCGATAATGACCTCGTAATTCAAGTGCTGATAAGAATTTAACATGACATTACGGCCGATTAGTGTATTAGGGGGAATTACTATTATTAAACGATGGCAGCCGGTTTGATCGGATGTTTTCCACTGATTTTCTCCTGTCATTTCGAGTGGTTACAACTCAGGGGGCTTCAGGCCTTAATTTAGCAATCAGGTGACTTATGCAATTCAAGTGGTAAAAAGCCCCCTTTAAACTAGGTAATTTATAAACCACTTGGGTGTGCATGATAAGTTTTATACATATATGTTTGAGTTAAAGTCTTGAAGATGATACCCTTAAAAATAAATACATTTTTGTTTCTTATCTCTCTCTAATTTTATTTTAGTAATTGGGTTAATAGAGAGCTATTTAAAAGCCATAAGCTAGGATAAAATCAATAATACAATAGCTAAATTTAATTTACTTCGTGTCTTAAGAGCCTAAAATTATAAATTCAAGGAAAACTGTTATGATAACCAAGAGACTTATTTATTTTTACTATTTCGCACAAACCTCAAGTCAATCTATTATTCTTCTGACAAACTAACAACAAGCCGGATGATATGGCCAGCTGTAAAAGGAGCAATTCGCACGGCTCCTTGCCAGGGTACTCAGCTAGGACATCACACCCCAGCCTCGTCGTCTCGGTGCCCCGCGAATGCGAGCCATGCTCTTTGGCGGAATCAACAGCCGTACGCGCTACTAATGGATTCTCACTGCGCCACCAGCTCGTAATCCTTTTAAATCCCCATCCTAACCCAACAACAGCAACACCCGTGCACTTGAGAAGTGCGCCCGAGGGTCGATTGCAACATTCCTCATGTGCCATGCTGTACTGTGTTGCTGGGAACAGAAACAATTGCATTCGGGCTTTTGTCTTGATTTCCTTTTCGCCGGACTGCTGAATTCGAAATGCAATTTGCTGCTGACAAGTGGCCGGCGGACACAATGAATCGCAAATCCAGCGCAATCCTAGCGCCAATTAGGCGAAGGACCCGCGGAAAGGGAAATATTTATGCAGCCAATTTGAACGCGAACGTGCTCCACACCTCCGGGCCATTTGCGGCCAAGCTCATCTAATGCCAGCTTCAAATCATAATCAGGAGGAGCAGGAGCAGGAGCGGGAGCAAAAGGAGGTGGCGGAGGATAGCCTGGGATAAATACGTTTTCACGCTTCCTTGGAGCGGAAGTGCCAAGCTAAATAATCGGGCAATATTAATCGTCGACAGTTGGACTTCAATAACTCAAACTGGGAACCTTAATTACCTAGCTGGGTAATAAAAGTCATTACGACCTTTATAAATTGCAGAAGATAAAATATAAGCTATACAATTTTTGTAAAAAAAAAATGAAGGCTACAATTTCGAGAAGTGCAGTGCGACATTATTTGAAGATGGAATGAATAAATCCTTACAAAAATAATATTTATAGATTATATTTTATATTTATATTCTCAGACATTATATTTTTAATCCTTATATTTTTTAAAAGTTAATTCTTTTAGAAAAATCACAATTATCTTTAATAAGATACGAATATTAATATCAGTGATAACCTCGTGAGATTCAACCTGGAAAATATTAAAAGGAATATTATTCTTATGCTTGTTTTGATTTTAATTGCCTCTCTTATATTTCTAAAAATGTTCAAATCAAAGGTAAATCTTCAAAGAAATCACTTTCCTTTGACCTATAATTGAAATCTCTTAGGTGTAGACCTACAGAAGGCTTTTTTCTGTCACTTAGAACCAACCTCAAGTTTAGGCATTCAATGCTATCTAATTAATCTCAAAGAAGTTCATGTTAGGGAGGCTCCTTCGTATTTGTTTAGCCCTGTATATGCGTTTCGTTGAGCGGGATAAGTGGCATCCCGTCTCTTTATGTCGTCGCGTCCCTCCTTTGTGGCTCACTGAGGGCTGGGGGGAAGTGGAGCGTTGTGGCATCGGTGCTGTGGGGAGGCTCATTAATGCGTCCTTCGTGGGGCAGGCACAGCATTTGTCAGAACCGTCTCTTAATCCCCAGCAAATCGCGTAATTATATACGTACACAAAGCGCACAAAAAAAGCCCACCCACCGGCCGCCCAGCCTAACTGCGATATAATTTCCGCAACATTTATTTATTAATTAAAAAATTTGTGCCATTGACGATGGGGCTTACGACTAAGCTAGATAAATTACCATAAATTGTATTTTATTGCCCAAGTTTCTAAATCACAAAGAGAATTCAGAGCAGAGCTTTTCGCCAGTTTGGAACCTGAAAGTGTGTAGCATACTTCCCAGCGCATTGCTAATTTCCTATTATCAAGCGAAAAGTTTTCGCCGCAGCAGCTGGAGGCAGCTCTTGTACCCTTTTTTACGCCTCGGCCACATGCTGGCCTGCTCTGCGGTTCAGTTTGGTCTACTTTAAATGGAGAAGGACCAGACGAAGGCGGGATTTTCGGCCCCAATTATGCAATTCTCGGCTGGCAGGACGACTGCCGGCCGCCGCATATCTGGGCTGCGATTAGTGTGCAGTTTTGTTCGGTTCTCTGCGGCCAGATGCGTTTTTAATTGCATCAAAGACGGCTTCCGTGGACGCCACCCTGGCCTTGTCAGTTTCCTAATTGGACATTTGTAATTAACTTCACTGGCAGTCACCGGCGATTCAGTTTTTTCCTCAGCTTTCTGTCTCCTGTCTCCTCTTGTGCCTTCTCCCTCTGCTCATTTTTCACCGTGCAGTTGGCATTTAATGCACTTGACTCTTGTCCCCCCGGTTTTACCGGGTTATTTATGTATCGCTCGTTAGTTTTCGGCGGGGACTCTTATTTATTGGCTACCCTGAGGTGGTTGGACAAGGTCGGATTTGGTTTTTTTAAGCTCCTGCTGGACACTCGTCCGCTCGCCCGTCCTTGACTAATGGCCCAGGGAAACAAAGCGGTCTAATTGCATTGGGCGAGTGTCTCCCGTTTGTCATAATTAACCCAGACGGAGTGAACAGAAAGTGCATTTTGTGGTCAAGCGGCAACTTTATGCATTCATTTGTGCTGCCACCAGGAAGTGGCCTACTTTCCGCCCAAACTGAATCAATAATTTCTGACCTCTTCTGGTCTTCTATGCAGTCTCGCTGCTGCAATCGACTATTAAAGTT